CCCACTTTTCGACTCTACGAACTATCTGGCCTTATTCAGGAGTTATCAAAGAGCAATGATCCACTGTCAAACCTTTTCTGTGGCGAGGGGTGAACGAAACGCTCATTTCTCGGTCTTGGCTCCCCGACTACTATTGTTTTATTCCCCTCAGCCTCGATGCTAAGTATGAATTAATAATAGATAATTCGAAACTGGCGTATTGCTCCACGACGTAAACCGTACACCGTTGACGACAAGGCGGTCATCTTAGTTGAGAAGAGCAAAAGTGTTTCCCTCTGCTTGGAATTCGAATTCTTCTTCATGGAAATTCTTTAAAAAATTGTATTACTTTGACTTGAAAACATAGCCGACTTGACAGGTGTTTACAAGCTACCAATGGACGATAAAAGAAGGACTGGCACAAATTTGCTCGTAGCAAATATGTCGCAAAAAAGTAAAAACTGAAGAGTAAATCGTGGGGCAAAGATGGTAAATACCACCTTTGAATACCAAAACACTCCGGGGTAGCAAAAAGGCTCAGGCAAATGAGGCATTTACCAACTTTGCCCCAGATTTACTCCTCAGTTTTCACAATTTTGCGACACATTTGCCGAGGGCAAATTTGTGCAAATCCATTTTTTAGTCCAATGAATAATCTGAAATCTTACAGATAAAACGTAACGACCAATCACGGCGAGCGTAGTATTCAGTACAATGTAGCACTAACCGTTGCTACGGTGTCATTACCTGAACTTCTTTTGTTAACTCGGACAGTTCCCTACAAGCTTTGAAGTAACCCTTCAAGTCTTCAGAACAAAATGCACAGTCTAATTCTTTTATATTTTGTAGCTTTCTCTCCAGTTCTTCCACCTCGCGTTTTCTTTGTAGTGCGTCTTTCTGCATGTGAAACTCAGCGAAGCTTCTCTTCATCATGTCTTCCACTCTTAGCTCTTCCACTCGCAGTAGATTCAGTATCATAGAGTAGGTGAGACGGAATCTGGAGATCAACTGAGTTGGTTTACCCTGTTCAAAGACATAACGGAGAGATTAATAATAGCGTTAGGGGGAAGATATGTCAAAATTAAAAGGACAACCTTAAATTTCTATCGGTCCGCGAGCCAAGATCAAAGTTAAAAAAATCGAGACTGAGCCTTCTTATCGTTCTAGTACAAATCTACCAGCATCCTACTACCGCAAATATTGACAAATAATAATAATAAAAAGTTTCCAGTGATTTCTATAAGCAAAATACTGGCTAAAAACCCGCCTTTCTCTACTTGAAAATCAACTTAGCAATCCGATCCGCTGGCAGGAATGTTATTACAAAGTGTTTGTGAAGGTAACATACGCTACGAGCATGGCGCTTTCTCTACGTGAAAAAAGACTCTGTCGCGGCTGCTTGTAAAGACAGCTTTTAACAGCTGTTTTCCCCATAACCCTTAAATCCCCAATACCCACGTACAAATTCTCCAGACTGATGTCAATAGATTTTCTTAAAGAATTAGTTAAGAGAATTTGATAAAAGATAAAATAGAGCATTTTCCCTTTGATGATCATTTAATTAATTCTCCTAACCTTTTCTCTTGAAGAAATATGGATACTGTTAGGAGAGAATTGATGTTGGTCACTCCTGGGACTTAAAAGGTTAACAGAGCACCTCTTTTCATTCACGTGGCCAGCAGCTGTGCAAATTTCTTGGAACACGAGAAAGTTTTTCGTAGGAACAAGTTTCACCTCCCACATGACTGTTTTGGGAAACCAACATGGCCACCGTTCTATTGATCAGGGACACTAACAAGGGGGGCATGACGTCATGTGAAAACGCCCTATATAATGTCTACTGGCCACTTAAAAGGTTGTCAGGTAAATGAAGACTGGTATAATTTTTGAGAGCTGAAAGACTGAAAACGAGTTACTTGGTCCAAACGTTAGCCTACCAACATCATCTTATGAAGGTCAGCCATAAGAGGAACGCTTCCTTTGCACAGTAGAATCACAGTTCCCGTAGGATCCAGTCCTCTCCGTCCGGCGCGACCTGCCATCTGAATATACTCGCCAGGTAACAAATCTCTAAAGCTACTTCCGTCGTGTTTCCTTATTGAATCAAATACCACCGTCCTTGCTGGCATGTTAACCCCCATGGCGAACGTTTCCGTGGCGAAGAGTATCTGCAAACAGAAACACATGTTTTATTTATTTTAACATTTCAACCGTCGCAGAGTAAATTCAGCAGGTACATTGCTGGCGTTCCTGATGAGCGATATGTCGGGCGTTCCATCCCTGGATACTGTTCCTTCTCTGCAAACGGCTCGACCTTCGAGGAGCTCGGGTGGCCACGTAAAAACGATGTTTTTTTTAGGAGATGGTTTTTTAACGCGTCTACAACGTTCCCCCCGCCGGGGGGGGGGGCTGGGTTTGCGGTGGACCAGTAAAAGACAGAGAGGTCAAAAGCCGGTATACCGTGGTGATCAGCAACGGAGAGGTTTCTTTCTCACCAAATACCAAACAGGCTGCTAATTGGTACTTTCGTTTACTATACCTTTCAAAAAAGCCCTAATATAAAATATGCTAAAAGAGACTTGGTTGGGTCAACACCAAAAAAATCGGTTTTATCATAATGATATTTTGCTGCAATGGAAACCCACCTTCACTAGTCCTCGACCAAAAAGCATTTCTACCATCTGCAAAAAAAGGATATCAAATAAAATGTGAAAAACAGAGATTATTTCAACCTCTATTAAGAATCCAAGTCCGGGCTAAAACGTCTCACGTTTTCTAAAAACGATCACTCTGCTAAAATAAATTCAATATTGTTACAAGGAGATGAGGTGAAGGCAAGCTAATCTCATCCTCATCACTGGCGGCATAAAGTCCGTGCGAGGGGTAGGATGCTAGTGTGCGTCGTTCCTTGAAGAGGATTCACTTCATTTACTCCTTAAAACCACCACAATACGGTATGAATACCTACCCCTTTACTTTCCACCCAAAACGGTGCCTTGCAGGATGGTTTGCAAGTCAAAACAAAAATGAAAGCACTAGGACCTGTAACTGAATTTCGAGCGCTTACGCTGGAGGAGTTTACCTCTTTAATGATTGGCAACACCCCACTGTGGTGAACACCGATTCCGCGCTTTAGTAGCTCCTGTATCCTAGCAACCTGAAATATAACACAAAGAGAGGCTTAATTGACGTAATAATGACTGAATAGTCACCCGCACGCTTTTTATTTTAACAACAGATCCTTTCACGGTTTTTTCAACTTTTCACATGGACCAACTTTGAGGAGCCATATCTCGGTTAGTTTTCAACAAATCACTTTCAAACTTGGCTGTTTTACTCATTTTCAGGCGTTGTTTCCAATGATGTCGACGGATTTTCCGTAACTTGTCCATATCAAAAGTTGAAAAAAACCGTATAAGGGTCACAAGAATCCCCTGAACACTGAGGCTGAAATTGATTCAGATTTTATATGAAGAAACTAAGAGCTAAAAGCCAAAGCAGGTCTTCACTCTTCACTCCTTTTTTCCGTTTTTCTTTGTATCGAGTTATAAATACATAGTAAAAACATGACTTTCTACCGACTTAAACCGTTTTGTGTTTCAGTGTGCTAGTTAAGTCTCAAACAACATTAAACATTTTCAGAGCTCAAGTACATCAAGTTTCGTTTTAGATTTGGGCCATAAAATAGGAAATTCATGTATAAACTTACTTGCGGAAGATTTCGGTCAGGGCCCTTCAGTCTCGCCACGGATTTCTGAATAAATACATGGATTAAACTTTTCTCTGAAGAGGTAGTGAGGTCCAAGCTGCTCAGCTGATCAGCGTTGTCATCGCATCTCTTTCTTGAAAACGTGAAGGCAACTACGGGGAGTTTCTCTTTCTTGCGCAACATTTCAATCAAGGACAGCCAAATATTACGATCCTTGGAACAAACGGAGAAAGATATGTAAATATGCCCCAAATCCTTTGAAGGAGAAAACTATGTGTTATACACCACACAGGGCTGGTCGGTAACGGACACTGTGGCGTAATTGCAATTGCCCAAAATGCAGTTGCAACATAAACTTTACTATAAGCAGTGACTCATTTGTCCTTGGTTATCAGTGTGTAAAGCGCGCTCAAGAAAAACAAGAGCGGACCATTAGCAGTCTGGTTGAAACTAGGTAAACATATACTAAGAAAAATCATTTTTAGTCAGAGAGAGCAACCAACAAGTCCCTTTATTTTCTGTAGGTTTGTTTACTTCACTGTTTATTTTTCCAATTTTTTGCCTCGATTTGAGACTCAATAAATACTAGTAGTGTATATTTTTGATAGAGCACTGCGTCCATGCAATGTTACACAACATTCAGAACTAACGTTCAAATTTTTCTTTGGAACTGGTTTGAGGTGCTTCAAGCAAAGTTGGTTTTTCGTTTTCTTTCTCTTTGTATAACATTCATTACGACAATTACCACAACTAAAACTTGCTTCTGTCAAAAGAAAGAATAGGGACTTTAAGATCCAACGACGCGACGGCAACGAGAACGTCTAAAAAATAAAAGTTTTAACAAACAAACGTTTTTGCACGGCTACGACGTGAAAATGCCTAATTTTGCGTTTTATGGAGAACGTAAACAAGCAATGACGGATATTTATTTCTCTTCCTGAACTTGAATATGGTCACTTGAAATTCGATGGGTAGGAATAATTTTGCTTAAGACTGAAAGAACGCAAATTCACTTTTAAAGCGACGTTTTCGTTGCCGTCGCGTCTATGGATCTTAAAGACCATTATGTGAAGTTGCAGCAGACCTCTTTGATATTGGTATATTGGTTGGACTTTGAGCCATACGCGTCCTTCCCTTTGCCTTCCCGCTCTTTTTTTGCCGCCACAGCTGCTTCGTAACCGCGCGTCAGGAATTTACTGTTGGCATCCACGATCATAAACAGCTCATTACTTGTTTTATTGCTGTTGCCCGTGTACAAGAAGTGCTGCAGGGGGACTGGGCGCTTCGGCGTGCTGATGACGTAGATCTTCTTTCGCTTTGTGCGGCTAAGTAGTTAAAAAAGATAAGGTGTCATTCAGTGCTGTGAAAGCCATTATTGCTTAGCTATGTGGCGCGGCATTTGTTTAAGATATTAAAAAACCTAAAATCGGCGTCTAAAATTAGTTACAACACTTCTTGTAAAGTGCCTCAAGAGCCATAATATGACAGAGAGGGGTCTCCCAGTCGGGCCTTTGGGATATCTTAATTTCTTAAAAGTTATTTTTAGAACTATGCGGACCATGCGGAAACAGTTTCCGGTAAACTGTAGTTTACGCTCAATGAACTAATTAGCCTGCGCGCAGACGAAATTAAACTCTGGTTAACTCCGTCTGCGAAACAGCGCCGAAATCCTTGTTCTGGACTTCCAGCTGTGTACCCAGATTTGAGTACGCGCCACGATTGGCCAGTTAAAAAAGGCCTTTGTTTTGTTTGTCCTGATCGCCAATCAGGTTGAAGGGGAATTCGAAACGCACTTCCGGTAATTCGTTGAGTCCGTTGGGGGTCCAGAACAAGGATCTCTGCGCTGCTTCGCAGACGGTACTAATCAGAGTTTAGTTATCGTCTGCACGCAGGCTATGAACTAATGTGTGGTCATTGAACTACTGGTGTGGTTATTGATCTGTTGTGTACTTATTAAACTGCTGTGTGGTTATTGAACTAACATTGCAATGTTTGAAAATTCTGTAAAGATCAAACCTATTGTTTACCGATTTCCACGCATGATTTGTCCGGTACTAAAACCATATTTTTGTTGCTGGTTGGCACATGGTTAAGTTTTTCTCGAGACTTTCTAGACCAGAAATTCACACAGTTGTTGCCTTTCTCTGCGATTTGGCATCGTCGTGAAATGTAAACTGCTTTCCAGCTTTGTACTTTATTACTTCTAAGGTTATGGGAGTAATAAAATGTGGAAACCAACGCTTTTGATACTATTGTTCTGTTTTTTAGCCTTTCTAAAATCATTGTTTGCAGATCAATAGCCGGTTTTGTTTATGGCTCGTGGTCCGGATGCCTTTTTCTATGGGTTTACCGGTATAATAAACCATAGGTTTTTGACCAATCAGATCACGCGTACTATCTCAGTTATTTTATAAAAAATTATTACCCAATATACATGGACCATCTTCTTGACCTCTAAATGTATGTCTTAGTGCGGAAAAAGCAAGATTTACTCAGTAAAAGTTTAGAATGCTCCACGCGCGGCATAGTGACCGACGCGCGACAAAGAAAACCCCTGTTGTTCAAGCAAACTCTAAGGTCACGTTTCGCATTATCACGGGTTTATAAGTCATGTTTATTTCAAACAATTAAGAGAGTCTTTCTAGACTGCTTTCAGCCGCCGTTTTTTGCATAGACCATTTTCATGACCGCTAAATGTAAGTCTCTGTGCGGCGGAAAAAACACAATTTTAAAACGCTCCACGTGTGGCGTAGTGACCAACGCGCGACAAAGAAAGGAAGGAAAACCCCTGTTGTTCAAGCAAACTCTAAGGTCACGTCTCACAATATTACGAGTTTCTAGGTCGTGTTTATTTCAAACATTTAAGAAAGTCTTTCTAGACTGTTTGCAGCCCGCCTTTTCTCTTAAAATCTGTTTAGTTCTTATTCGAGCTAACGAGATGGTAAACAACGACTTTACAATAGAGAATTTACCCTTCCATGCCCGCGCTTTCCGTTTTCCGGCCAAAGCTTTTCAGTGAAATCAGTTAAGGTCGAGACGCTCTCGTTTAAGAGTTCGCGGCTTCGCCTCTAGACTGCATGGTTTACGCCTTGCGTAACTTTGTAAAGAAAAATAATAGACTGCTCGTAGTTTATTGTCGTCCATAGCCTGCGAGCAAGCTCTCCTATTTGGGTGAGTGAAAAACGAGTCTCGCGAGAACGCGCGAGCGAGCGGCGAAGCCGCGAGGGGCAGGGGCCCTTGGCCCCTCGCTCGCGCGTTCTCGCGAGGCTCGCTTCGTTTGCCCAAATAGGAGAGCTTGCTCGCAGGCTAAGTCGTTCAGGCAACGAGGTAGTTCCGAAAACGAAGACCGAAGCACGAAGCACCCAAAACTCGAAACCTGTGTGCCCTTTAAAATCACGAGACAGTCCCTTGTCAAGTGACCAATGCTGATACAGCAGGATAACGAACAGACTGAAGTTCAAAACTATTCAAGTAGAACTGCGAGGTGTTGCAAATGCGTTTCCGCCGCCCTGACTAAATTAAAAAAGTGACGACTTCCTGTTTTAGACGTGATCAAAGTGTATTACTGGCTGCCGTTTTCACTAGGCCAAAATACTAGCTGCACATTCTTTCTAGGTTTTTCTTTACAAAACTAGGTAAACGTGACATCGACAGGAAGTCGTCACTTTTTTTAATTTAGTCAGGGCGGCGGAAATGCATTTCCAACACCTCGCAGTTCTACTTGAATAGTTTTGAACAGCAGTCTGTTCGTTATCCTGCTGTTTTAGCATTGGTCACTTGACAAGGGACTGTCTCGTGATTTTCAAGGGCACACAGGTTTCGAGTTTTGGGTGTTTCGTTTTCGAGTTTTAGGTACTTCGTCTTCGAGATTTGGGTGCTTTGGGTGCTTTGGGTGCTTCGTGCTTCGTGCTTCGGTCTTCGTTTTCCAGTGCTGTGTTTTCGAAACTACCAGACAACGAATACATTTCTCTTGTAACAAAAAGGCCTTCCGTTGGCAAATAAATATTGTACTAAAAAAATTGCGTAAACTCTCGCAAACTGACTAAAGAATTCTATGTAAGATTTGTTTTCGGAATAAATGTTACGACGTGCATTTAGTTTTCCTCGCTTTTGGCCAAATATTACACACACACAAGAAAAAAAAGTTTTTTAACTCGGTATTTGCAGCTCACACGCAAATTGTTCGCACGCGTTTTACTAGCCGTTTGTCGCGGCTTGCTTTGAAAGGTCCCACGAGTTCTTTTCTGTGTTTCCATTGAGTGCAATGAATAAAATTTCTAATTAATTTGGTTAAGCTGTCAAGCGATGACTTGAGAATAAAATGAAACATTCAGTCGTGATGAAATTCAACACGTCTTTTGTTTTGCATTGCGCAATCTCTAAGACCCTGTTTACATGGAGTGGGGGACCCCGGTCTAGTGGGGTAAGTTTCTTTTGTTTTGTGTCCTCCAGAGCGTGAAAACAAAAGAAACCAACCCCACTAGACCGGGGTCCCCCACTCCATGTAAACAGGCCCTAAGTCTTGAGGATCCTCATGCGGTAAAAAAGATTAACCATGGAAGGTAACAGATATTGAATACGATAAAGAGAAATTGTTGATGATTAAACTATTACGTTGTCCAAAAGATAGGCTCGACTTCCGTTGCTGTCTCAGTCCTGTCTCAGCTGGGGGAGGGGCAAGGCTCAATTCCCGAACAAAGGTTAAGTTTTCCCTATTCCCTATTGTTGAAACGGTGAACAGTGAAAACAATGAAATCATTCCATGTTAAATAGGAAAACTGACTGCTGCACTGGATAGAAGCCCAGCGTAATGCGAACATCAGTCCCCGTTTATTCATACAAACACAAACACTTAGGTACTGCAAAGGCAGTGAAGTAAAAAAAAATGTAACAAGTTCCGAGTAAAGTTCTTTGATCAATAATAAAGATGATATCGTGTCTGCTGCCCGTCAGGAAAAACCCCCTCACTAAGGAGGAAACCTGAACCCACCCGAAAGCAGAGCCGGACACCGCCTTAACATGAACCTCGAGGGAGAGAGGTTGAACTAGAATACAGAATTATGAGTACATCAACCACCAACGGCAATAAATTCAAATGACACAAAAAGAAAAAAGCATTGACAAACGAAACTCAGGCAGCGATGTCAGCTTAGAATGATCACCTCAGTAAAATCCCGCCCCTTTATACATGAGTATCCGTGACAGCTGTCAATAAGCTGGAACCGTGAAAACAATAATTTGCTTCTATTCTTAGAACCGCAGCAAATAACAATTTATAAACATGTTAAGTAACAAACTAAAAATTTCTTTGTCGAGCGAAAATGCTAGAAAAATAAACTTGTACATAAAAACTGGAGTTTCTTCATTTACGGCAAATTTTGTTTTGAGCTCGTGCACACTATCAAAGAAAGAAGACGTCATAAAGCTATCGTTGGTAAGTTTGTGATAACTTAAACTGCCTTTGCAGCTTTTTACTCGTCAAATTTTCTGATATCAGCTCAAAGTTTTTAAAGCCATTAATTGACAGTATTCAGTCTCCTCGGAATCAAAATTATATTGGGAACAAACTGATTAAAGGTCCATTTAAAGGGTAATAAATCCCCTCATAGGTTTTTTGTTGATCTGATGTCGGTTTTAGTTTGGTTGTAACTAGAAGTAAAATGAAGATAGAATGGATCTTTCCATAGCCCAGGGTCAAGTGCACTACTTCCTATGGCAGGCGATGGAGTTAACATTTAAAACATATTCTAATTGCGTTCTTCATACTGTATAGCTAGTCTCAAAATAGTTTGATTTTATAGGGAGTATCTTCTCCGCGACAAATAGAAAGAACATGCCACCACGGTTCCCGCAGGATTCCCCTGCTACGATACGCCAGCCTACCGTGCACGTCCCATGTACGAGATCAGATTGTGTGCTCCCGGGTTGTATAAATCTGAAGTTACAGACTATGAACAACAAAACTAGAAAGACAAAGATACATGGAAATGGGCCTAAATCAAGGTGAGGCTAGGTATTTCAGGAAAAGGTTTGAAGGTATCATGCATTCATCAAACTTATACGACGGCATGCAGGTCTTTTTGCTACGAAGGGATTCACGAATCTTATTACTATTGCTTTTAGTCGAAAAACAATTATGTTGGTATACCTGTCCTCTCTGCATCCGAAAATTCTGATTCAATAATTAATTTATAGCAGAAAACCATTTTCGCGGGGGATATTTAACTTTCCGCATAGCTGTATCACAATGCGTCAAGACACGCGACTATTTGCACAGGTAGCGCAGGCTCACAAGTAAGTCGGTGCCAAAGAAGGGCACAGCTAATTAAAACTCGCTGGAATCGCTCTGACAACACCAAAAACGTGCAATAAGTAACACATAGGGACCATAAGGACGCACTAAACTTTCCACACAAACCCTTATAATTTATTCTACACAACCAGCGATGCTCGGGTGAACTTTGGTACCGGCTGTTAGTACATGTGTTACCGGGAGTAAACTGCGACTGCCGAAGTTTCGCAATCTACAGTTGAGATCGAGGCCCAAAATGTCTGTGGTTTTTTAAGCGGGGCATTGACAACGGATTATCTTTAAAATGCCAAACAACAATCAACAAATTGACTTATCGATGATAAAGTGAAGTCATAACATTGTCTAAGTGTTGTGAGTCCACGAGCCTCAGCTAAGAGGGATAATAAATCACGATAAAGACAATCATTTATTTTTCCGTGTTCGGGAACTTCTGCCAACGTAGCAGGTGCCGATAATCATCTTATTACAGGCCGCGCGCCCTCGAGATTTTTCCTTCGCCCTAAAAAAAACTGGCGCCTGCCCAGCACGCAGAATGGGAATCTTCCAGTTAACGTGTTTGTATATTCATTTAAATCACCAGATGCATGGCTCAAAACACAGAGATGGAGTTAACTACATCAGCGCAAAGTGCGGCTAGTTTATGGGATCAGGATCTAACAGACGTCTTAAACATTCTCGGCGATGAAAACAACCCCATCTCTTTCAACTTATCAGAGAATGATTTGCTCAGTATCCTTGATGGAGGTGATGGCCAGCTGTTTTCTCCCTCACAATTTACTGGTGAAGTGGAGCTAAGAACTCTACAAGATGCCCCAAGTATTCACAACACACCCTCTGATCAAACAAAAGTGCAAAATCAGCCCGTCATACAGTTTCAGAGAACGCTCAGTCTGGGAACCAAGATGGAATCGTATGACTCTGTGCTGCTCACAAACGAGCAAGTGGGGATTGAACAAGCCTTTTTAGGCAACGATACAGGTACTGTCCAAAACGGTGGCACTGAGAATTCAACAGGAGCGACCCCGCGTGGTGTAAAACGCCCCGTAGATAATCAGTATAGAGAAGTAGAGAGTACTAACAAAGAGACAACTAGGGGCAATGATACTCATGCTAGGAAAAAGCTCAGAAATCCTACTCAATCAACAAACAACTTATTTAGGATCCTTGGCTTGATCCTGCAAGCCTTTAAAACTCCGCTGACAAGCGATCTCGAGGAACATTATATACGTGTGCTAAATAGAGCGCTTTTTGAGATCCGGAATACCCATGATCAATTTTTGCAACAATCTTAGGGTAACACTTAAATTTGAACTGCGTGTACTTACCCTACTATTTCTCATAGAAGGCATCGCTCGTCTCGATTTTACAATAAATTAACCTNTACATCAGCGCAAAGTGCGGCTAGTTTATGGGATCAGGATCTAACAGACGTCTTAAACATTCTCGGCGATGAAAACAACCCCATCTCTTTCAACTTATCAGAGAATGATTTGCTCAGTATCCTTGATGGAGGTGATGGCCAGCTGTTTTCTCCCTCACAATTTACTGGTGAAGTGGAGCTAAGAACTCTACAAGATGCCCCAAGTATTCACAACACACCCTCTGATCAAACAAAAGTGCAAAATCAGCCCGTCATACAGTTTCAGAGAACGCTCAGTCTGGGAACCAAGATGGAATCGTATGACTCTGTGCTGCTCACAAACGAGCAAGTGGGGATTGAACAAGCCTTTTTAGGCAACGATACAGGTACTGTCCAAAACGGTGGCACTGAGAATTCAACAGGAGCGACCCCGCGTGGTGTAAAACGCCCCGTAGATAATCAGTATAGAGAAGTAGAGAGTACTAACAAAGAGACAACTAGGGGCAATGATACTCATGCTAGGAAAAAGCTCAGAAATCCTACTCAATCAACAAACAACTTATTTAGGATCCTTGGCTTGATCCTGCAAGCCTTTAAAACTCCGCTGACAAGCGATCTCGAGGAACATTATATACGTGTGCTAAATAGAGCGCTTTTTGAGATCCGGAATACCCATGATCAATTTTTGCAACAATCTTAGGGTAACACTTAAATTTGAACTGCGTGTACTTACCCTACTATTTCTCATAGAAGGCATCGCTCGTCTCGATTTTACAATAAATTAACCTTTTAATCGTAGCCATGTTGGATTTCACGCAAATTTTTTACAGTAGAGAAGAGCTGTAACAAGTGAAGCAAAACCTTGACTCAGGATTCTACCCTCAGACTGAACTGTTTGATTCTGTGTAGTGTTGTATGGGCTCAGAATTCATCGTTAACCTACGTGTCGTGTTGCGTTACATGTACAGTTGCGTTTCCGACAATTTGACAATTTTACAATTTGTCAAATATACATAAGTACTAGCATAAGATTCTGATTATTTATATTTGACAAAATAGAGTCAAATTGTCGTTGGTTATTTTAAATCTCTGACCTTATTAGGACTTTCCACAAGTTGCTCGAGATTTTGCAAAAAGTTTCCCGTGATTCCTCAAAAAGTCTCCCAAAAGTTGCTCAAAAAAACCATCAAAAGTTGCTTTTTGTAACGAAAGTTGCTCAAAAGTTGCTCGTAGAAACAAAACCTTTTTTGGTCTGATTGTACAACAAAAGTAAGCATTTTTGTGCAATTTTGCAGCGTAACCAGCGTTGCTAAATAACGTTGTCCTCAATTAAAACCAAAAAAATGTAATGAGCTAATAAAATTGTTGAATGACCTTCGTTACTCAGTCGAGTGTGAATCTTCGTCCACCATTTTGAATTTTCTCTTAAAACCGCTGCCCATGATCTGCCCTAGGTGGGAGGACTGGGCTCCCATTTTTTACAGGAAATTCATAAATTGTCTACTAAGACATTGTGAAATATGAAAAAAAAGGTCAATTTATGTACTAAAAGCTGTTTCGATATCTCAGAATTAGAAGATAACTAGAGAAATTGCTCAGAATGCAAAAAGTTGCTCGAAATACGAGAAGTTGCCAAAAAGTTGCCGAGCAACAACAACAACAACATAAGCTTTAGTTGCATGACTATAATTATGTAGTTACAGTATTGCAATAGCTTTAACATAAAGTTACAATTTATAACAATGATGATGCAATGCAATGATTACCACAGTCAATCAAGTGTCATCAGCATGATTTGATAACAAATTAGTACGCAAATCATTACATAATGAGACAAATTTCAACAAATGTGAATTTACGGAAAAATTCTGTGATTCATCAATTTAATTATCAATTCTGTGTAAGATAGCTAATTAAGACCCTGTTTACATGGAGTGGGGGACCCCGGTCTAGTGGGGTAGGTTTCTTTTGTTTTGTGTCCCCCAGAGCGTGAAAACAAAAGAAACCAACCCCACTAGACCGGGGTCCCCCACTCCATGTACACAGGCCCTAAAGTCGACAAAATTTTGTTGGATTTGATTGTAGAATTTCTCCCTTGGGATTGAATATTTTGGACAATTGAAGAGAAACAAGACGCTACGGAGCTAGCGTACACTTCGGCGTCGTGGTTGTGGAACTAATTAATTGTAAATGCGGAGGAATAGTAAGAAATCAAATATGGTAAGAGTAAGGTGTGAAATTATGGGATTTGTCAGGATATTCTGAAAAGAGCAACATCCAAGAGGCCTACTTGCCAAAAACTAGCATTTCAGGACAAATTGTCTCCGCGATATTAGCCCAGTTATGCTCTGATGACTCCATACAAATCCTTCTAAAAAACAATTCTCTATTTTTCTTAGTCACATCAGGCTTCAAAAACAGCGTAGGCATGGGTAAGGAGGAGGCCTTAACAGAGCTTTAAAACACAGCATCCGCCAACACAAACTTGACTTGATCTTTGAGTAAAACTAAACAGCCTCCACCAATAATAACAAACTCTCACTTGAACTTCAGATATCTTACGGCTTCCGCGAACTTGTAAACACAGAACCTGAAAATCGATCTTCGTCACACTTGACTAAACACAGCAGTCCAGCTCGTGGGAAAAAACTTAGTTCGTCAAAAGAACTCGCTTGAAGCTTGTATACCGTTTGACGTAAGGTTCTAGAAAATACTAAACAGGCGAATAGTAGTAGCTTTTCGACATATTTTACGATTTCAGTAACTGATGCAAATCTGCTGACTCATGCTGAAATGTAAACATGCCCTAATTAATTATTCATGGCTAATCCAAAAACGTAGAGAACGTTTGAGAAAGTGACGCAACGCATGAAAGCAATTTTACTACGTAACACTCAACAAAGACAAAATGTCTTTGTGCAGCATTTTGTAACTTTAAATTCATCATAAAACAGTTCGAAAGGAGGGCTCACTCGTGAAATGTTTTTCAACACTCGAAGAGAAATTTCGTGTGTCTGCTCGGCCACGAAATATCCTCTATTTATTCCTCGAGTAATTTAAGACTAAACTCGAAGTGATGTCAAGATATCACGAAGTAGTCCGATCTCATTTCGTGAAATAGTTGAGACAAGCCGAAAAGTCACGAACTTGCACGCCCAATCTTGTCCCGAAACTATTGCATCATTTCATAACTATTTTTCGCATGCCAAACTTCCTTGGGTCGCAGTAGCGCAATCGGCTAATCCCTCAACTTAGAGTCTCCTCTGATCTGACGGGTCACAGAGGTGAGTCGGTTCAAACCCTGGGAAGGCCAAAATAGTAATTCTTTCTTCCTCAAAAAGTTAAAGAATAAATCAAAGAAATCGAAGTGATCTCGAGATATCTCGGACTAATTCGCCTCTCACTTCGTCAAATAGCCGAATAGAGCCGCAAACCTACAGACTTTGCTTGCCCAATCTTGTCAAAAAATTGCAACTTTGATACATTCCTGAGCGTCGCGAATCCTTTACTTCGCGCTCCGCCGAAGTAATAAAAATTCGTCTTCAATTATACCAGAGTTACAAATAGGGCAGAATCTATCGTTGCGGGAAGTTTGATTATATCTTCCAGTTTCAATCATGAGTTTGTGGTTACTTATACGAATTTTCACTGTCTTTCCTATTGGCTGAATTTCTAGTTAAGTCTAGATAACTTGAAATTTTATGTGATCATGTTTAAATAAGCTGGAAAATTGCAGTTTCTTAGAATGATGGATTGTATGTTGCAACTTGTGGAAAGCCCCAGACCTTATTATCCTGTCTTGACCTGCGCAGTCACAAGTAAAACAAATCTTAATAGCATGAAAGTGCCACACTACAGTAAAAAGAAGTATTGGCCTTTTAAATATCTAGTACAGGCGCAACGGGAGGGGAAGGGGGAGAAGAGGGGGAAAGAGGAGGGGGGAGAGGAGGGGGGAAAGCGCAAAAGGGAAAAGAGAAGAGAGCTTACTCTCCCCAATCCCTCTCCCTTTTTCCCTTCACCCCAATTCGACACTTTTCCCTCGTTACACATAAGATTCTATTAAACAATCAGATAATTTCTCTTGACTGACAAGTGTCATAAATGAATTACTCTGTGCACAGTCTTCATTGTACAAATGGAATCAGTAACATTTATTTTCCTTATTTGTAAAAAATCCCTGAATTGTACATGTTGTAGCATTATGCGGACCGATTAGAAACGCTGATCGTATTAAGAAAAACTATATAAAGAGTTTGCTGGTGTATTGTATATATTATTTTTTTAAAAAATCAAGTTATTATTGCACATCATAAGAAGATATCCACTAACGAGTTGTTCAGTATATGAAGAATCCTTAATAAATATTGATTAAGGTTGTGAAAATTGCGTGTTCTTGCAATATTTTTAAAATCTTCTTTTACAGTTTGTAAATAGATCGTAAGTAAATAAGCTTGGAAACGTCCTCACTTTTCTCGTGGAAATTATCTGGAGCCACTGAAGAACTTACTGAATTTCTATCCTGTCTCCGCCTCAAAAAGCGACCATGCTAATTTGTGAAGGACGACTATATATGTCTTGCGCTAATTATGCATTTAGTAATAACGATTGTTGTTGTTGTTGATTGGAGGATGAATCTTTTAAACGAGGTTGAGGTTTTGACTACACGATTGTCAGAAGATATTGTCGGCCCACCCATCAAGCAAGGAGCCGCAAGGGGCACATATACACCAACCCAGTTTCCCCTCGGTTGACCAATGTTTTTTCGTTATTAGCTAGTCGCTCTCCATCCTGAGGGACTGCTCGCAATCTATAATTAACCTTAATTAAAATCCCGACCAGGCACGGGACCCGGGGGGACTCCCCGTCACTTTTATATGGGAGTTCCCCCCCTTAATTACGGTAGGAAGAGTGAAAACAAAAACTAAAATGGTGAATTATATTTGCCCAATATTTCGGTATGCAACACAAACCTTCAATGGGGGCTAAAAGGGGAAAATAAATACAGGTACACCATAAACGTGACATTAGTCTTTCTGCCGTAAGGATCAGTTTACTGTTTTAATTTTAAAATTTGGTATTGAAGATTTTACCAATCTAGGTCTATTACGGAGATCCAGCTGACAGTTCAAAATGTGCATGAGTTGCATCATAAAAGGTCAACGGACTAGAGAATTCCTAAACAATGCCTTTTGAACCATAACAGTGTGTAACACAACAATAAATACCACTTCGGTTCGGCGGAAAATCTCCGCAAAGCTCACGTTGAACTGCATCCAACAAGACAGAAAGCAAAAACCACGAAGCACATGGCAAGTAAAACTACTTTCACAACCGATGATATTTCGTCAAGGCGCGCAACACCGTCGCTGTCGATCGCTCACCTTCGCGTCGACGATAACTTCCGACTGTGAATAGCCTGCGTGGCTGGGGTTAAAAAGGGAAGGGGAAGGGGGAATTTGGGCGCGCGCGAGGGAGAAAGGAAAGGAGACCATAATCACGGAGACCATAATCTGAGCCTGAAAATAGATCGTTTTCACTGTCACGCAACGAAAACATAAATTGGAAACCGTCCAGTGGAAGAAACCAAGAAAGTGAAATGTTATAAAAGACTAATATATAAACAATTTGTCCAAGTCTCAGGTCTTTGTGGCCCACAGTTTCTGATTTATTTGCCGAAACGTTTCACGCAACTTTGTAGAGCTTTGTATCGCAGACGCCATATTGGTGGTCCACCAATATGGCCGTCGGAAATCAACAAAAACATCTGGATTTCACTTTTTCTATAAAAGCTCTTTCTTTTCACTCGAGAGCTAGCATACGTGCCCATAAGCATATCTCCTACTTAAAATGGTTATACCGCTTAAAATCAAGAGGAGAGGTTTTTTTTTTCCCAACGAAACAGCATTGCTATTTTGATGTCATGCACCGTGTGAAAACTCGGAAGTTCAAATTGCTGTATTTTCGAAATGAAACATGCTACGGGAATGGAAACTTGTACAAAGATTTACTTTTTGTTTACCTTCAACCTAGTGTAAATAAGAATTCGTAAAACCTCGCTATTTTGACTTTACAATTTGATGACGTCACTCTGAAAACCATCTATACTGATTGGTAATTCCTTTTTCCGATTGGTTGAAAACAATATCACGCGATTTGAGTAACTAAACATATGTTGTTGGGGAAGCGTGATGAGATTTCGCTACGGGTATTCATCGTTGGAAGGCATAAAAAATTTCTAGCACTGTCCTCTTTCCAGCTCTTCAAACAAAAACGATGGTCACGCGGTCGCTTTAACCGATTTCTACCGTTGCTTGTAAAGGACCCTTTTGTGTAGACGTTTTCAGCAGTTTCTATGGCAGGTTCTTTGTTGAAGAAGGCCAATTTATCAACTCCACATCGTCCCTCCACTTGTGCCGCCATTTTTTTCTTTTGTTGTTGACGCCGCCTCGCCTTGGCGCGCCGAATCGTGAAAGCGAGTCTTCCGGAAGTCAACCAGTTTACCGGAAACTGTTTCCGCGTGGTCCGCATAGTTCTAAAAATAACTTTTTTGAAATAAAGATATTCCGGCCAACGGCCTCAGACTCCCTCTCTGTCCTATTATGGCTCTTGGTGCCTCAACAATATTGTCGCCGTTTGTAAGTCGAGGCTGCCAAAACAAACCAGGTTGTCGATTCAAATCCTTATGCTCCATGAGCAATTGGGGCAAACAAAGGGGTAACATCTTAAGTCCAGGTTTGTTTGCTAGACGAGAACACTATGTTTGAAATATGGTTTACCCTGAACCCTCGTTCGAGAAATCCATAGCAAGTGTTCACAGGATGAGTTGATTAAACTAGTTGTTTTAGTGTTTGTAAAGAATGGAATTTACGGCCTTAACTCGCTCACCCGATCCAGTCTGCAAACTCCAAAGTGTTAGGTACCGTGGCAGATAGTAAGATGATTTTGACTTGCGCCGGCAACATGATCAACACCTCTTCCCAAACAACACCCCTCTGTCAAAGAAGAAATAGTCTGTTAACGAAAAATATCATTTCTGAGGAATGGGTGACATGCAAACCCTATTCTCGGCGGCGGTGGTATGCTATCGCACTTATAAGATAGTCGTTTAGTGGCCACAGTCATCTAAAGGGTGGCTCTGTGATGGCTTTTCTTATATTGCCGGGTACAAAATCTAACTCTTACAAGCAAAGGCACGCCTTTGAGCTCGAAGAAAGTTTGGTGCATATAAACACGTAATGAATTAACGACATAATTACCTCTTCATCATTAACATAATGAACTTCATCAAAAATCACCCACTCAACGTCACGTATTGTATCTGAACCGTTGTACAGCATAGACCTGGAAAGAAAGTCACCAAATACTGCTTCAGTTTGCTCATGTGAATATTTTACGTTAAGCTTTCAGATAAATTACGCGGGCAAGGATTAAATGACACAAATGCAACGAGAGTTACTTGAGCTTTTCAGTCCCCCCTCGCTTTCGTTTGAAAGTGTCACTGTTATGCTTGCGGGAGGAAAAAAACAGATAAACAAACAAACAAATTAACCCAGCGAGTTTACCTTAGCTCAAAATGCGACAGGAATAACACGAAACTTATTCCGTTCTTGATTAGCACCAAGTACTTGCTTATGGCTGTGTTTATCCAATAAGAATGATATGATTCGAATTCTGATTAGCTCATTGCGTTGCTTAACTTCTCTTCACTTCAACTGGAATGCTATTTAAAAAACACCTTTAGCTTTTGTACAAATGTCGGTCAAAAGCTCCCCTTTGATATCTAGATTAAAAAATAAACAAGAGCTGCGAGGAGTGCGGGCATGCGTAAAACACTCACCGCAGAATTTCTGTGGTCATAATAAGACAGGACGCCTCGGGTCTGATTTGCACGTCACCGGTCAACAAACCGACATCTTCAAAAGTATCCTTGAACTCTCGAAATTTCTGATTGGATAAAGCTTTGATCGGAGAAGTATACACAGTCCTGAGAGAGAAAATATTCCGAACGGTCACATTATTAGTTATGTACCGAATAAATCGGCTTACGATGACACTACGGCAGTAGATATAACCGAGTTTCTGAAAGAGTACAGGTAGATTCTAAGAACTGTGTAACTAGAAATGACATTGCACTTGTAAGTAATCGCCAAAGATTACGCGCCCTATTTTTGAGGAGGCGCCGTGATGGATTCGAAGGCTGTGGGTAAAAAGCATTCCTTTTTCCTTTTTAACCCTCACTGGACATTTTCGCAAAGAACAGGCCATTTTCAATACGTTTCTGTGCGCTACTGAGGAATAGAATCTGAGCAGTTCGGAGGGATAAACTGGCCAGTTCTCAATGTGCAAATTCTGCGAATAAAGGGACAAACACCTTTATGGTTACTATATGTGCTGTTAAGTTAAAGCTTAGGAAAGATACTCTAGGAAAGATCTGACACAGGACTGAATTCTATCTTAACTTTCAACGATCGCCACATATTTCAATAAAACGAAAGTGGTCAGTCATATAAGCGTACTTAGTCATGTGTTTACTGGCCAGTGCAATCGCGTATTCGGCTACAACAGTCTTCCCAGCAGATGTGTGAGCAGCAACAAACACGCTCTCATTGTTCTCCAAACATAGAACAGCCTGTTTTTGAAATGTGTCCAACTCGAACTTCCACTACAAGCCAAAGGAGAGCAAAGAAATAATTAGGGACATTAGCACTGTGAACGGTCACACTTCAGGAAAAAGGATGTTTTCCTTCTTACATGGACCACATTATACAAAAGATAAATAGCATTAATGCAAGCAAGTACAGCGTAGTAGCTTATGAACGTTTATGTTCACCATGTAGAACTCCTTTTCGTTATCATTGGTCTTAATCATGCACTGTAATAAAGAAACTATCTGATCATAAATCCCGGATTGTCCAGATTAGCAATTGCTGCGTGAGAGCCAGTCGTTTGTAAAACATTCAATCCTAAATACAATTGAAATACTATAAGAGGAGAACTACCCATTAAGAATCACATGAATGTACACACTTTACAAAGTCTTTTATCAAATTTAGCCTGATAATGCAGGAGTCGCGTCTCCTTTCACGTGCTGCTCTCGCGTGCTGCTCTCGCGTGACTTCTCGGACTTCCCCAAATGGAGAGCTTGCTCGCAGGCTAATCTAAGTTGTGCTGGGAGTACAAGCCAAGATAAAGGAGGGTCCTCGCAAAGGTCAAGGGTTTGAATCCCGTACTGGCCTTTTTTGACTGCGAAAGAAACTGCCATGATCTTCTTTACGTTCAATTTCAACTGTATGAATTTCACTTTATTTCTTCATCCTTTCACGGGATTGTAACGAACTAACTTAATGAACAATTGGTATAGCGCTGCACCAGAATCGCAGCGGGCGGGGGGGGGAGGGTTAAAAATACGTATAAGCCTGTATTTCAAGCTTCTTTTCACTAACAGCTGCTGCTAAAGTTGCGTCTAAAACTGCGATGATCTTCTTTACGTTTAAGTTTCTTTATGACTAAATAAAAAATAATGGAAGAGAAAAGAGACACAGAAACAGAAAACTGTACGGAGCTCTCACCTTATGAGCCATATCAGGAACTCGCTTGTGAAAATCCTTTACTGGTTCAGTCACATTCACCATAACTGCCCACTCTTCCTTTGCTGATTTCTCTGCCACAGGAGCAGTTGAAGTAAAATTGTTCTCTGAGTTTGGACCCTAAACAATAAAAAATAAACTTAGGATCCTAAATTTGGGCAGGAAGTCCGCAAGAAACTGACTCTTTGAACGCTTTTTTTTTTGCATTGACAAAGCGCACGCTTATAAATGCGAGAATAGAATTAGCGAAAGCATTTCTGAGCAACGTACGTGAAACGGTAATGACGCGTTTTCCCTTCTAATACGTCTTAACGAGGGGGGCGTAAGGGTTTGCGGTGATGCGGTTTTGCGTTATTTTTGGTGCGGTTTTGCGGTAATTTTTATTTTAACTCGCGATATTGCGGTTTCAAAACACTAAGCGGTTTGCGGTTATTACAACCTTTAAGTCGCGGTTTTCGGTGAAAAAAAAAGTGTCTGCGGTGATAACACTCTTTAGAACGGTCGGCATCCGGTTGTTTTGCAAGCGCGAGCCAAGTGTTTTGTTTTTCAACGCATCAGGGTTCATTATATCAGCTTACAATTTAACTCTGTGGTTTGCAATTACGGCCTTTTCCAGTTAATACTTAATGTGATTAACCGTTTTGGCCAATGACGCGTCGACTTCGTGAAATTCCATGCTACAGCCGTACAGCCGTACAGCCGTACAGGCTCGTGTTCTCATTGCTTTGATTCAATTCGCGACAATGGCAACTGAGGTCGTCGAGGTCGCAACTGAAAGCGAAGAGGACGTAATAATTAATTGCGCGGCAATCTTCTATGAAGAAGGAAAGGAAGGGGAGAATTTCAGATGAGCTGTACGTTTTAACAATCGTCTTCTCCACTGAACGTGAACTCTTTACGAGACAAGAAGGTCACAATTCCAGAAGAAACATTTATTCCGCGTTCCACAACTAGCACAGGGTCATCCAAAGTAATCAGTCACCCAATGTAAGACGTACAGGATCAGTGACAGAGTTTTTCAAAGTCAAGGGAGATAATCGATACTCGTTCAAGTACATGACCAGCATACTTGGCATTTGGTTAGTAGTAAATAGAGTATAACAGTGTAGTACAAGATATCGTTAGCGTTATGATGGTACGTTTAATGCTAACGCACAATGTTATCAGAATATATCACAAGTCTTGCTGACGTCAGCTTTCATATTGTGGCCTACATGTACGCGGTTTCGGTATTCGGCAAAAAATCCTATGCGGTTTGCGGTTTTTTGGCGTATTTCTGTGCGGTTTTGCGGTTTTCAGATCCCCCTTACGCCCCCCTCCTTAACGCTACCAGGAAATTTGTTCTGCCAAGAGTCCATAATCTGAAAGAGACGATTACTGTTGAGCAAAACCACTACCCAAGAATGCAAAAAGTCCCCTTTCGGTTGACGTGTGTCGCTCAAAAATGCCTTTGCTTCATGTATGGTTTACTTCACGTGACCAGAAGAAACGAATAAGAACTCGATGTATAAATCAAAATGACGTGCACCGCACCCAACGCCTTTTGCTGCTATCATTTGTTCATGAAATGAGTTAAGTCAGTCGTGAATGCGTGGCTACTCGCCCGATGAACACAAACAGTAAGAAGTCGAAATATGGCGATGACTACATCGTGAAACAAACTATTACTCTATAATTAGTGCATCTACTACGATAAACTACTACGTTATTTCAAAGTCATACACTGTAAATATGTCACACCTCCACTAAGACATCCTCAAGACTCTCTTGCCCCTCAACACTCCCTGTAAAAGAAGACAACAAGATGAGGGCAGCAATTTTCTGTTAACGACAAGAAAAAGCGTTTCATGAAACAAAAACATGACGCAAGCGAGCGGCGTCACAGCGTCACTTCTCTTACTTTCGAGTCGAAAGACGCGACGACCAGAAATACGTCTGCGTTCGCAGGCTACAAAGCCCTTAATTCTCGAGTCTCGTTTCGAGTGCCGCTCGCACGTAACTTCTCTCCCTGAAATGGAGAACTTGCCTACACGCTTAAGTGTATCGCATCTTTGATTACAAGAGTTGCAACGAAAATTCCCATCTAGTAATACTTATATTTCCTGCTACAATGCATATTGGAGGTAACCTTATTTGAAAATTCTATTATTACATCAAACAGCTTAATTGAACAGACGGAAGTCATAATTTTCAGATCTCACCTTCTGCCGCATCCTCCGAATCAGCAGATTCTCCCTTTTCATGTAAATGCAAGGTAAAACAAAGCAGAAGAGTCAATCCGCGAAAAGAATATCACCCACAGGCTAAACTATTGGAGACCTTTAGCGCACTACTTAGCATTTGGAGAATCTCAGTCTCGTAGTCGTCCTCGCCTTAGAATCTAAAATCTTTAATAAGTATGGTGGAAAAACGACATGGGTTCTGCACCTTCACTGGCATGACTGAAAATTATTCACTTGATACAATGTAAAGTGATACAAGTATTACAGATAAAGAAAAGGTGCTCTCTGATAAGTCAATTATCGTTTTACAATTTGACAGTAGCAAATAAATACACAAAGAAGAATATTTCTTTCTCTTACTAAACTTGGGTGTGCTCCCCAAAAATCCAACTCCGGTAAAATTCACCTACATTTGACACTTTAGACAAGTTGGAATAAACGTAGTCTGCTAACCCAGACGTAGTACTTTTCGGATGGAGAGAAGCGACGACAGGTAATACGCCTGGGTTCGCAGGCTAAAGTAAACGCGACAAAGTTTGAAAAAGGCGAATTCATATATCTAAGACGTTTTCGCTCCAATTGCCGTCGTCGTTGCTAAAGCTCCCTACTGTTGGCTCGCCAAGTATTCACAGTAATTCGCCCTAACAGAGCACCCACCTTATCAATATCACCCTCGTCTGACTCCATTTCATCTTCTTCATCACTATACTCCAGGTCTTCAAGGGTGGTACCAGCCATGATGTCTGACATTGCTACGACTTGAGGTACCGTCGTTGACAGCTCTAAATTTAAACATGTGGGCAAAAAAGCTGAGAGCCGGACTTTGAAATAATTCTACTCTCAAAATTCATCGTCGGTCATTATCATTATTTAATTCGCTCTATTTCAATACAGTGCAACAGGTTTATGGCTACACTTCAGACATTTTTTAAGCTGTAATAGCCCTATGGGCAACGAATGTTTAAAAGGATTGAAAACCTCCTTTGAAAATAGTAGGCCAGATAAAGTGAAGACAAAAACAAACGCTGGGTCTGCCACGCCCTTTTAGCATGGCATTTCATTGGGAAGATACGGTACAATCAAATAAATTTTGCCTTAGAAAAGTTAAAGAGTGTCTCTTGCGTTTTAAAGACGAAAACACAAGTAAAAGAAGAAGTAATATAATTTCCACTGTCCAGTTTACCATTAAGCCAATAGTATTAAAGCCAAACAGTCTATAAGCATATAACAAGTAGCTAGTCAAACGCCTATACACCACTAAACAAACCTGTTGTTACCCTTCCATTATATGATACAGAATCAAAGGTTCATGTATTCAAGGTGACTTGTTAGACATGACACTTAAAGATAAGTTGTTCAGTTGCAGGTATTTTAAGTAACAAACATGTTACAGTATTACCAGTCCGGAATATCCCTAAATTTAAGGACAGGGCCAGCTGATCACGCGACACTTTTCAACCAATGAGAAGGCGCGCTTGTGTTTATCAACAAACAAATCAAAACATCGCCCCAGTGATCAAAAATTTTCAAAACAACGGACGGAGTCGGCGGACAGAATTAAAGATGAGCTAACAGTACTCGTCTAGGTTTCACATTGAATATTTCAAAGAAAACAATTCATGTGAGAGAATAAGAGCATTATTCATTGCAAGGAATCATTGGGGAGTTCGAACTGATTCCGGACCGATCGCAGAGGTCGTGGCTTCACCGGCATGGCTTGCAGCTGTGGCTTGCAAGATTTTTGATAGAAGCAAACTGCTCCCGTGAAAAATAGCCTTAGAGAGAGTGTGAAAATTTGTTGAGATCGTACAAAACAAGATTGATACTATCTATTAACTTCTACGGGACAAGAATCAAAGAACCATTCATCATAACAAGAATAAGAAGTAGTTCAAATTTATTAATTTTTCTTGCTTGTTTTTTGGTGTTGTTTCGTGTTGACTTCACACGCATCTGGTGTTCCTTGCTGGCTGTAGTACCTGCAATGTTTTAATTTTATCCCAGATAATCAGTGCATGTTCAATGAGTAGCGAAATACATCATATACACTTGAAATTTGCCTTCTTTCTTTGACTGTTTTTTAACGGTGGATGAACATTTGGAGAATCCAGCAAAATTAAATCTTTCCAGATTTGGTGAATTTCAGAAACAAAGCAGTTAGTATCTATCTTGCGCTTATGATCTTCAATTTCATCCCCACAAATTCGGCAAAGTGAGGCGAGATGTTGGACGTGAATATCCATAAGACCAATAAAGTTGTTTTGGCCTTGAAAAGAAAAGAGGCAAAGGCTCGTACTAATGCGAAAAAAAGTAATAACACGGCTCTGTGACAAACCCGGGAATGGAAAACGTACGTGTTTTGGACCTCGGAATTCAAAAATTGTGTAGCAAAATTCTAGGTTGTCTACCATCCCCACATTCAACATGATAAAAGTTAATCGATATGACAATCGAGATAAAATATCTAGAACTTCGTAAAAAAATCTGTGAATCGAAAAAATAATAGATACTTCTTCACCTACCTTGAAAACCGACCAAAATCTCGCCCATACATCGCGTTGTTTAAAAGAAGAAATAAGCCACAAAATGTGTTGAATATTTCACGAGACTCTTCCAATATGGCTTCCGATACGCTGTCCACTTAAAAAAATTGTGTATACCTCATGAAAAGTCTTTAAAATATGCCTGAGAGCCTCGAAACGATGACTGATTCTGTCCGACTCCTTCCGCTGTTTTGAAAATTTTTGATCACTGCACTGCGGCGATGTTTTGATTTGTTGATTTGTTTGTTGATAAACACAAGCGCGCCTTCTCATTGGTTGAAAAGTGTCGCGTGATCAGCTGGCCCTGTCCTTAAATTTAGGGATATTCCGGACTGATTACCATTACTAATCATAACTATAACAAAATTCTCAAATCTGATTGGTTCTCAACTGCCCTGATTTCAGCCTTAATAGGACGGTACGCGTCATGCCTGAGTAATTGGACAGTACGCGCCATCACGCGCGCGCTTAAATGGCTTTTTTTTTCATTGCTAGCGAAAAAATCTTGGAATTTCTTGTATTTTGATTTAAAAAGAGTCCTATATATCACAAATTTTGTTAAAGTTATGATTAATTGGTAACAGAACTTCGTGTCGTCCAATTCGGTCTGTAATCATACTCGTGATTAAACAAATCGGACTCCCGCTACGCGGTCGTCCGATTTTGTTAATCACTCGTATGATTACAGACCGAATTGGACTCCACTCAGTCCTGTTACCATTACTTATCTTTTAATTGGTCTGAAAAAGTTTGAGATATCGGTATACCGGTATGTTTAAAACCGCATTTTTACAAAAAATGTCAATAATTTCAAAACCCTAAGACAGATTTTTCTGTAACTTCGCCAAACAAGCCTCAGAGCTCTCTAGTTTTATATCTGCAAGTTTGAAGTCAATCGTGACCGTAGAACTCGTTGCACAAATAGCTGGTCAAATTTAACCTTGAAATGCAATGCTAACACATTTTTGAGAGAGCATCTTACCTTGCTGTTCTCTTTCATTGGCTTCATTAAATGAGACCCCCTGTTTAAAACCTGGAGGCACAGACAGAAGATCTGACAATAACAAAAAGATATAAATTATATTCATGAACAGGTTTGTGGCTATACCTATTAACAATGTACTTTATTTTGTTCAATCTCCAAATTAGTTTACTGGTACTTATAAAAATTAAGTTCTTTCTCCAGGAGTCCAAAGAAACTCTTTAAAAATTAGACTAAAAGCAACTGGTGTGGCTCCCAAAGTTCTTGTGTATAGTTACAATGTTATTACCGTAATAGTACTCAATTCATTTAAACTGTCTCGTTAAAACAAAAATAGAAGGATGGAGCTGGTTTCTTTAGAGTAACTGATTGTATCAGCAATGAGCGAACAAACTTGATGACTTCTCTGAATAAAATAGCCAATACTATTGACAGTCGATCATCAGTGATTATGGCTCAGTCAACTCCAAGCCTAAACATACCCAGGTCATAGGGTTTACAATGTAGAGCAAAAACAATTTGTGAAAAAGAAAATTACAAATACATTGTATACATGCCTAAGAACAAGAATAAAAATACAAATGCATTGTAAACATTACACCGTACCTTTCTCAAAGTCCAGCTCTCCATCAAACACAAGATCTGGTTTGGAAGTTTCTAGAGTTTCCATTCCACCTAACATCAAACAATAGGAGTTAGTGATTGCCACGAATGAACAACTGAGAGAAACCTTCTTGGCCTGAAATACAACCATAATAATTGTAAACACAAGGAGACATAACAGAGCATTTTACCTCTAATACATGCTTTTCACATATACTTTTTTATCTCAGAGAAGAAATAGAATAACCTGATATAATTATACTAGACTTCAGTAAACACCCACACCCAGGAGTACTGTACTCAGGAAAAGAAGTGACAGGCAGGAGGAAAGCTCTTTCTGGGTTTTGCAACTCAAGGGATTTTCTTGGGTGGTACAAATGTTCTTTTCTTTAAGAGCGGAGTTGAAAAAGAGCACATGACTCAACGGCAGTTCTCCTGGTTTGACTGTTTTCAAAGTTGCACTTTGGCAGCCTGAAATACAGTGCAAGCTCTGCTAATGGACACTAACGTAAGCAAACAGCTCTACTTATGGCCACCATTATTCTCAGCTCCCATACAAACTCTGTATTCTTACACTCCCATAAGTGGCCAGCTGCAGTTACGGACACCTTTTTCACGTTCCGAGCGTGTCCACTCACGAGAGTTTCCACGGTAATTACAAAATGGTTGCCAGGCAATTTGAGTGTATCGTTTGTTAGAAACAGGACACTTCTTTGGGCATTTGGCAATCAAATCCTGCACTATTCAGAGCATTACAACTAACACCAGTTTGACAATCACACAAAATCATTTTTCTGAAAATAGGTTTTAATTGCATAGTGTCAATGGAGAGCAGATATGAGCTGTAGTAACTATATTCTGTAGTTTTAAACATACAGGACTAATTCATACCTGGAAGGAAAGGATAATTTGTGGATTCTCCTCTTACAGAAGAAGAAAGTGGCCCAGGTTGTCGTAAAAGGGACATAGAATTTTTGGCCGTACTTCCGGTATCTGTCACCATCACCTATTGCGAGTAAAAGATTAGTGGTGTATTAAGTAAAATTAGTAAGACCAAGCAGTCTGTTTCTTCCACCTACTATAATAACAAGATTGTATAGTTTCCTTTAAAGTTATAATATAATTATTTTTTATAACTTGTCAATCTCTCTACCCTCTAACCTTTTTTAAATGCTTCTTCTAACCTTCAAAAGCATTCAATCAGAGGCGGTATGATTTTAATTTGTCCTGAATTTTCTTCAAAATTGGATTTTTCTCTGACCTTGAAGAATTTTATTTTACCCTGATTTGAGGCAACCATGTCCACATGGGCAGTGGAAGTTTGAAATCAAGGTGTAGTGGAACTTATATTGAGGGGGCACCTTCAGGACGGACCAAGGCAAGTGTTCCCTGAATAGAGGTTGGGCTGGGGTTTGTTAATAATAACCAACAAATAAAAATATTTTTCTTTTCTTCTGCCTTGGAATCTGTTGCAGTCATTATTTCAAACAGCTAGATAATGTAATTAAACGTCCTGATTAACTTATCTCTGGGATGTTGTGTGTTTGTGCAGTACATTGCTTTAAGAGAGATACATGTAGTTTGTGGTTTGAAAACTGTCACCATTGTGACTAGTGAACACTTATTTACCTATCAATGATATCTGTGGCCAGTCACCACTAAGGTGTCCGCTGGATGGATGCTAAACCTGGGTTTCAGGGCCGAGAGAAAATGTGCCTTACTCTTGAATAGAGGTGTCCCTTCAAAGAGGTAACAGATATGAAGATTGTGTGTAAATTTTTCCGGGACCAAAATTTGTATCCCCTGAATGGAGGTGTCCCAAAGGATGCTAAAGGAGTTCCACTGCATAAAGCTAATAAAACACATTCAAACATAATATGCTTCACACCTCATTATATCCAAGAAGCTCTCCAGTTGTTGGATTTCGTTCTACTTTCAATGTTGATGGTACTGGACAGACATCACCAAAAAGCAAACTTTCTGGGTCTCTTTCACGGGGCCAGAACCTGACATAAAAACAAGAAATCAAAGTTTATATAATGTTCAAGTATAATACAAAGGAAAACAAATTTGTACCATAAGAATAGAATTGAGTCACAGCACATCGATCAACTTAAAAAAAAAACAAATCTGAACTGTAAATCAGTGTATACTATAAAATTCTAAGTAATGACCCTGACAAAGTCTTTTAAAAAAGACGAAATATCGGCAAGAGTCATTTTTTCAACTTTTTTGAGGTTATGTTATTCTGGATTTACCATCCTGACTTTGGATGCTGTTTGTTGTGCTATGAAATTTTAAGTGACATATATATACATGATTGTAATGGATAAATATCACATCTATGATTTATGTCAGTGAAAACTAGTATTATTTGGCAGTTAATCACTTAATGGAAGATGATCCAGGAAAGGTCTGTCTACATTGTATGTTTTTTACTCAAATAATGTTAAGAACAGTAATTGAAACTCCATGGACATTGCTGGAAAGAGGGTCTTAAACTAGGGTAAATTGCCAAAGTTTAAAAGTGTTGCATGCAAAGAGATACAGTATTGCTCCACAAATTGGCAAAATTTTTATTTTTTTTCTTTTAATTTTACCCTCCACCATACAAACGTCTGTAAAATTCTGTGACTTTGCAGAGCTATATTATTAGATCTTTGTTGATTTTTAACCAATCACTTTCAAAGTTGGCAACTTTACTGATTTTAAGGCAATTTTTTATTTCTTTCTAGCTGTGTTGTCAGATTTTCTAACTGGTCCCATTTAAAAGTTGAAAAAACCAGGAAAGGGTCTGATAAGTTTACGGATTCATCTTTGTCTGCTTCACTTCTCAAGATAATGAAATGAAATCAATGATTATTATAATTAAATACATTGATACAACATTTGGAGGCATTTACATGTACTTCTAAATAACCAAAAAAACATCTTGAACAAGGTGGTATTACCTTTGAGTTTTATGAAAGTCATGGATGGGCAACACTGTAGGATCCAGAAGATATTTCTCCAAATCAGATTTTAAATCAGGGGTAAACAATGGAGGAAGGCCACAAGGGAGCTGAAAAGAAATAATAATACTTCTATAAACAAGAAAAGCAATTTAATAATCATTTAATTTAAAGGGGCTATGTCACGCTATTTGCTAAAAGGCTAAAACTTTTTGTGCAACAATTGAATTCCAAAAATAATGGTCCATTTTTGTTATCTAAGACTAAAAGTGTGCATAGCTTATGCATGATTCACACAATCATCTGGCATTACTCGGTCATTTTTTCGAAACTCCGGCAGTGCTTGCGGTGCAGTTATCATGCAGCTCTCCTGCAGCCATTTGTGCAACGCTTATAAGTCGCTAAAGCAGTGCTGCACGAGTGACGCATGTTTCGTACAGGATATTTTCATTTTGTAGCCATTAGAACTGTTCCATAATCATCTGCTGAAAAGGACGGCAAGGATGGACATGGCTGAAATTTCAAGCCAAAATTAAGGAGTAATTTGTCACCCATGATACTAAATAAATAATAATAATGATAATTTTAAAAAGAGGGAGCTCTCCATTTATGGCAGTTTTCCGTAGGACCCTCATGCTTCCTCACATATCCTGATCTTCACTGCAATTGGCCATAACACAAACATTCCTAAAATAATTCATGTGTTCACAGTTTTTATAGTTGATATCAACAAGATGTCTATCGGCATAAAATAAAGTAGAAAAAATAAATTATTATGAAGAAAACATTATTTCAATTGCAACAACATTCTAGCTTTCAAAGGCCAACCTACTGTTGTGAGTGGCTTCAGGTTATCATCAGATGTTTTATTGATTAAATCTGGAATGACTTCAATTGTTCCACTGCATCCAACTTCAAGGAGACCAAAAGCATAATCTGGGGGTGACCTTTCTGTTTCTGAAAAATGACAATACAGTCAAAGCTCTTTAATGGACACTCTCATAAGTGCACAGTTCTACTTACAGCCACCTCTACAAAACCTCGTTTCAACTGCTATACAAACTGTGTATTTTTACATTCTCGTAAGTGGACAAAATTACCGTAGGCAGTTGCGGACACTTTCAGGGTTTACTAGTTAGATTTTATCTTTGCTTTTATGCTCCCATAAGCAGACACCTGAAATGAAATCTTATTCACCACTGAATAATATATCAACTTCGGTGTTTTTTTTTTGTTTTGTTTTTTTTTTCACATTTCATTACAGAAACGCGCCCATTGAAAAACGTCGCCCGTGAAAAGTGGGGTACCCATTAGGCTTTGCGAGCAAAAACGAAGTTTCAAAGACTACCGTCGTTTTCGGTCTCTTATGAACTCCATAGCGGTTAACTATTCTCACACTTTCAAGAGACAATGCAGAAACAATAGAAGTAGGTTGCCATTGTTTTAAGTGTTGGAATGTCTTTGTCAGTGCTTCAAGTTTATGCAAAGCGAAGCATTTTTCTTCCTCGTGCACTAACATAAAACCCTCGCGAATTCGGTAGTCTCGTGCGAATCATTTTGATAGCAAAACAGTTAAAGCTAATCAGAAACCAAAGTATTCTTCACTTAAAAACTCATATTCACGAAAATCACTCGATAAGATTGAATAAAAATGTTTGCAGCATTTATAAATATTATTATCAGAAGCGGTATTGTAGTTGTTTTCAAGAGACGGATTAGATCGCTGTTTAGGTTTGGCCGTTAAATATGTAGTTATAGCGTTCTTAAAGAAAGTATCGCTCTTAATTTTGCCTTATACTTTGCTAAAATCAATATCTTAAATGAAGAATGTAAGTGAGAGTGCTTTTTCGTCGAATTTGCCCGTAAATTTTAAGGTTTATAATATCCAAAACCCGTGACAAAATGTAAACAAACTATAAACGCATCGGTTGCGCTCATATTTCATCGATCGATTCGAACACCAAGAAGTTTGTCAAAGGTAAAAATTCATTTTAAGTCAGTGCATTGAATTATTTACGGCAAAATCAACAACAATCATCGAGGATTTTTCAATTTTGAAGCGTTTAACAGCAAAAAGTCACATGCTAATTCGGAGTAAATTTAGACAGTTTTTAAACAGACTGAGCTATTGTTAGTCGCGTATAGTTCTATTCTTCATCGAAGAATAGGCAAACGTTGCGGATGTCTGAGCAGGAACAATAACCAGGAAAGGGATATACCCAGGGGATTTCTTGATTGACACTAAATTAACGTCATTTTTCATTTATTTGCATTTTCACGATCGACGTTTTTGAATGGGCGTGTTTCTGTAATGTTTTTGGTCCGGTTTATCTACTTTGAAGCAGCACTGTCAGTTGAATTTTATGCTTGTGACTGAATTATTAACAAACAGTTTTTTGCATTTCTAATGTACATTTGTAGTTGAGCAAGCTCCCGTAGGCAGCCATTTAACCCTTAGATCTCTAGTGCATGGCCACTTAAGTGAAACATTCTTGTAAGCAGCCAGCTCAGTAACAGAGAGCTATTTCACGTCCTGAGGGTGTCTGCTTACAAGAGTTTCCATTGCACTGTAAGAGCAATCGGAAATCACTGAATTTTGAGGCTTATAGCACTCCTTCAGAGCTATTAGATAAAAATTTTCAACTCTATTTAAATATTAACTATTTGTGAGAAATATAGTATAAAATTGCTGCATGCATAATAAATGTATGAGGTGGTACGGAAATCTCCAAATTGTTGCTAACAACAAGAACATGGCAATGACAAACATAAAAAGAGAGAGATATTAACTCTTATTGCTATCTTTTGATACCCGCTATAGTAAGCTTAATAGGTTTTATCTTATTTTATTCTGAGCTGTTTTTTTATATTTTACCTCAGGCACAAAGGTTTTTTTTTTATTATTTATAAGCCAATACGGAACACGAGGTAGTAAAATGACACTCTGAATACTCACCCTTTTCTGCCATGTTATTTTACTAGTTAATGAGGAGTTGTTAAGTAAAAAATCCTGCAGATTTTGGCCGTTCATTGTCTCCCTCTCTCTTCCTCATCATTCGCCATCTTGACCGAGTGTGACCATTAGGAGCGTAGGCACTACTCTCCCCAGTCCCTCGCTAAAAAAATGTTATCTCGGTCACCAGACCTTTTCGCGTTGTATTTGTTTAGAAAACACAGCCATAGGGGAGCGTTTTGATTAACGAGTACAAATTTCCGAGGCACGGTATCGATCCGGTTTACTTTTCTTTCCAGCCTTTTCTTGTGAACAAGTGTATCGGGTGAGAACTCCAGGGGAAAAAATAATGGCTGCAGTGAGCGATGACGAGTACAATCTTGCCTTTTTGGACGAAGAGAATATTGATCTTGATGAAACTGACGCGGCATCAACTCGAGTTATTCAACTTGATAGAGATTCGGAAATCCCAACACGATATTTGATTCGAAAGATATTTTCTCCACAGTTAGAGCCCCCTTATCACTACGATCCTGCTGCAGAAACATCCCAGAGGAAAAAGAAGGTAAAAGTTCCGCTTTTGTTTATTAATTATTGTTCTTCAAAGCGACACATTGACAATTGAAAACCAAAAGTTGTCTGTTCGTTTTTTGAACATATGTGCCCCCGAGAGATGTGATTTCCCGTTATCAGAGGTAAAGGGTTAACGCTGCCAGTGTTTAGTAGACAATAGAATGACAGGTAATACAACTTAAATAGTGAACTAGTACAAAAGTTTGCAGCTTCTCGGCCGGGGCTTTCATAACACCGTTTACGCGCCATTTAAGCTTATCTTTCACGGAAAATTGGTACAGTAGCTGCTTATCATTCTTTGCAATTATAAATTTCAGCGTATTTTAGACTGCACATTATGGACATAAAGGGAAGCCTCTTTCACTCCACAAAATCGTGCTTTGGGGAAATAAAGTCACTTTCTGTCATTTTCCTAAAGGAAATTAACTCCTGCAGAATGTTTTATCATGGCAAAAATTGACAAGTTTGTCGGTTTATCTAAAAATGATCACTTGCCGCGTCAATTTGTTCTCCTGCGATTGGTCAGAATCATTTTCGAACGTCTGCATTTTGTACTTTTACTGGGTTTTGTTTTATCAAATTAATTCTGACATGACATTTGTAAGAACTTCATTGTCTTTGATGGACAGCTTGCGTTGTTTGATAATGTTTTCGTGACATCCGCATGCACGCAGACATTTAATCTGCTAAGTGACAGTTTTTTAGCCATATAGGAAATACTTATTCATAATTTTCTGATAAATGACTTAAAAACGCTCTAGTTGTCAAAACTCTGTTTCACTACAGATGCTTGTAATAACTTTCCCATTTATAAGCTTGGTTACTTTTTACCTCTTTTCATTTTGATTATAATTATATTGAGGTGTTGCCAGGATTAATATTGAGCCCATTTTTACCTCATTTGGAGAAGAGGGGTGTTCCAATCTTTAGTGAGTATTTGATAACAAATACAATATACGTTGTCGAGGGAAACATCATGACTCGAGAGAAAACAAAACTAACTGGTTTCCAGAGGAATCTGACATTAATTGTTTTGTTATATTTCTAGACTTTCACTTCAACAAAAGAATAACTGCAGCAAATCGAAACAGTCGACTGGGTACTTATAAGAACACAACTTGATTTCATTCTCAAAACCACAGAATGAATGATTTACAAAGTACTTTCCTTACATTATCTGCATCCTTTTCCTCCACTAGCTGCTGTTTCTCCTCTGGGACAACTTTGAAAATTGTTGCTTTTTAGCTTGAGGCTTGATGGTTGTGTTGTTGTGCCTGTTCATTCACAAAAAAGAAAACTGGCCGTGTTTTTCCCGCCTTCTGTCACGCCACTTTCCATTATGCTTTGATCACGTGCTGTAATGTATCCCAAGCAGAGTACAATTGCTAAAATGTATCATGATCAGAACCAATTTGATTTTAGTCAAGGCCATTGTGACCAAAAATCAACCAATGGCAGTCCCTTTTTAGTTGAGTGAAAGTTTAGGAATATAACAATAGGCCTTGTCACAGTTTTGGAAGCCATCTTGGTGAGTAGGCAACCGTGTGAGAAATTACAGTGTTTGTATGAGAGTCTAATGTCGAATACCGTAAAAATCCGAAAATAAGCCCCGGGGCTTATATTTTTCAAAGGCCCTTTTAAAGAGGCTTATTTTTGGAGGGGCTTATGTTCGGAGAGGCTTATCTATGTCGGGAAATTTGCATTTCTAAATCGATTGGGCAAGCCTTACAGTTGGAAGGAAATTTACCGTTTTTGCTTTGTTTTACTTTGTATTTGACGGCAGTTTCCAAGTACAAGCCCCCAGGGGCCCATATTTGGAGGGGTGATTTAACGGACGTTTTTTTACGTTACAAGTTTGGGGGGCTAATATTAAAATGGAGGGACTTATTTTCGGAATTTTATGGTAATTTCCATAAAACGCCTGTTCTGAAAAAAGTATGAATTTTAAACTAAAACTACACAGCAAAAGATTCTACTAACAAATGTTTGGGGCCATAACTGTGCTTAAATTTCCCCAGACACTTGCTTTAGATTTTCCGTATATTTGTCTGCAGTTTTTCCCAGGAAATGTTAGTCAGCAGGAAGAGAAATTTTTATAGACAAATGTACAGAAAATTTTAAAAAGTTGTTCTAGCGCATGCAGCTGCATGCAATGCCCTCATTTTCAGTAGAATGCTGAGGATTGAAGCTTTAGTTTCCAATTCATATTTTTTTCAGAACAGGCGTTTTAGCAAAATTATTCAACATAAGATTCTCATACAAACACTGTAAATTTCTGTCATGTTTGCCTACTCATCAAGATGGCTTCCAAAACCATGACAAGATTTATGCTAGATGTGACAACTAACCTTGTGAATGCTTCCCATTTCTGCAAGAACTATTGTACCCCCTAAGAATATTTCAATAAATAATATTTTGCTTTTGAACAAAAAGCCAAAATTAAAGTAAATTTATTACATATCAAGTGCAGTATAGTATACACTTACAAAAAAGTTGTGAGCAGACCGTTAATTTTTAAAGAGGTTTGCTTCCATGCCAATAATAAATTTCAGGAAAAAAAATTCACAATAATCTTTTCAAAGGATATTATAAACCGTGAGTTTTTGATGTGAGTGGTGTGTACATAATGCTGCATCTGTTAGAAGAGCAGAAGACATGTGTATTATACCACAGCAGTTATGAAAATTACCAAGAACAAGTCATTTGGGAGGTGTAGTTTCCATTAGAAACCTTTTAGATTCTAAACTGAGGACCACTGTGTGGACATGATTTTCTAAATACCAAGTAAGAACAGTAGAGTGCCCACATGAACCAGAGTTATTTTGGGCGGAAAATGTGACACAGTAGCTGTCGTCATTCTATTGTATGAGTTTTAGTGAGAATGTTGAAGTGGCAGAAACAAGTTATCAAAGGTTAGAAGTTTCATCTTTACTAATAAGTAAAGCTTCCAAGGTGTATTTTTTTGAGAAAACGTAAGAAAAACTTTGAGTTAAATTAAATTCTTCTCATAGTTGTCCTTGTTCTTGAAACTAAAGGTGTCTAAATGGGATGCATTGAATGCGAGAAATCAGGTATGCTGTGAGTCAAATTTAGCTAATTTTTAGTTTCATTTTGGTAACGGTAGGTCCATAGCACATGGGGAACTCCCACTGGAAAGGCAAGATATCGGCCCCCTCATCCTGATGATCTTGTTGCTCTTTTGAGTTTTGAAGCTACTCCAAATTCAAGCATCTCACAACTTGATGAGTCCACTGTTATGAAAATAACTGAAGTGGTAACAAAGAAAAGTGGTGACGCAAAACTAATAGCCCTGCGCTACAGTGGTTTTCAAATTCTGGTGCTGTTTTCCAGTTCTTCTGGTTATGAAACACTTGGAAAGTGTTTCTTGAATAAAGAGATTGAGGAGATCCATCATCTGAAACTCACTGAGATTCAAGGTAAAATGTTATGTCTTAGGCTATGCTCACATGGTACTGGTCAAATTTTCAACCTATCAAAAAATCTGTACAGTTAGGTGTTCTGTTCACACGGAATCCATGCTAACTGTACAAAAATTTGAACACCTTGCTGTTCAAACATTTGAACACTAGAATTAGGTCAAGTTTTTTGACCAATATGGGCGAAAATTTGAACGGCAAGGTGTGAACTCTGTGACTGGCTGAATTTTTGTATGGGAAAGGCGTGGTTGCATGGATGTGTGGTTACTCAGCTGGAAAAAGGGAGGGAGATTGCAAAGAGATATGAACATGGATTTACAAATCATGTTATTATTACAGTTCGACAGTCCAGTGTGAACAGCACAAAAATATTGAACAGTTTCGTGTGAACAAAGTGTCTGCTCAAATTTTTTAACTGGTCAAAAAATCGACCAGGACTGCATGAACATAGCCATATTGTGTAAATCTTTTTGCCTCCTTTGAGAAAAATAACCGTGTTTACATTAAGTGTTATTATATTTGTTATAACTATGCTCACTGTGTAAACTGCATTGTAGATCAATGTCTTCTTCACAGACATCTCTCACCTGTTTTAAAAGCATAAAACAATGATTTAAAATCTTACCACGAAAATTTCTGTGACCACCAATGATTGACCTTTGACGTTATTTTTTTTCTATAATACAATTGTTTGTCTTTTTATTTGTTTCTTTCTCATAGAAAAAAGGAAACAAACAGAGAGATACTTAGGTATTTGGAAAAATCTGGGATAAAAATGTTTGCCCATAGTATAGTATATACAAAAATGAGGAAAAATTGAGTTTTTGTTTGAGACATTAATTTGGTGACCTTTACAGGAGACTTGGAAGTGTTTTCTGCTTCCAGATAACTCCTGGATGATTAGGAAGAGTTGGCATACATTTATTTAAAGTGTCAGTAATATACATGTAAGTGACTTGCTGCTGATATTAATATTATGTATAATTGTCTCTCTTCTTTGTCTCTTAGCTGTGTCTCTTGCAACTCCTCCACCCTGTTATATAGAAATGGCTGTTCCAACTGGTGAAGGACCAGCCCTGAAAGGAACCCTCACATCATTACTGGTGCCTCATCAATCTGTGTTCCCATTTGTGTGCATCAGAGAACCAGAACATAAATTCACCAATGGAGGTAGCCCTTCCAATTCTCCTGCCTCTAAAACCAGGAGAATCGATGATCATGGCCTCACATCACCTGCTGTTGGCATGATGCTGATGTTTACCCAGCGAGCACAAAAGAATTCTGACAGGTGTTTGGATGTAGTTAAGTCTAGTTCTACAGACTGGGAGGAGGTGAAAGTTCCACAAGCCATCTCTGAAGGAGATGAGGTTTATTTCAAGACTGCAAATATTGATGGGCCACTTTTTGCAGTGAAGAGACTTTCACCCTGTCCTGGAGTTCGCATTTTACTCTATGTGAACAACAATATGGATGAGATGGAGAAATTTTACACGTTAATCACTGGTAAAACTCCACTTGCTTATAACAAGATTGAGGAAGGCTTGAGCTACCGTAAATTTCCACTCTCTGACAAACTAGAACTTGAACTTGTTTTGCACCCATCTCTCAAATCACACACTGTGAAAAACACTGCACTTTGCTTCATGATGAATGGAGTAAACAAAATGTGTTCTGAAATTCCAGGTGGAGTTCGAAACATTGGAGAAGGACATTGGCAAGTCAAAGATCCCCAGGGGAATGCAGTTATACTTTATAGTTTGTTAAAATAGTTGGCTGTTTATTTTTGTAGCTTTTAGACATGAAGTTTTACATTTTCTTTCCTTTTTCAAAATAGTACTAGGCCACTTTTTCTGGGAAAATACTCTATAAAGTAACATGACTACATGTAGCAGCAAACACAGAGAGTCCTTTGGCATTAATGTACTATCAACACAGGAAGCCCAAGCTCACAATTGTGAATTGTTGTATGATCCATTAAATTTCAAGAGTTCGGATTGTCTTGATCACATTTTAGGAGTCAAAGGGTAGCAGAATGCCTTACCTTGTCTCCATTTGAGTGTGTGTTCCTGGCTTTTAAGGCTGTTTCAGAGTGATTCCAGTAAGTTTTAGTTGCAAGAGAGAAAAACAGCACAATAAAACCTGATAGAATCACTCTGAAACAGCCTCAAATACCAGGAACACACAGTAAATAGCCCATGGAGACAAGGTAAGGAATTCCTCTCCTGTTTTTTACTCCTGTATAGCAATTTCTGTAATACTCATACAAACCCCTTATAATCAATTTATTGTTGCACAACAATTCCCATTTTGTCTCAGCTTTGACAACCTGTGCTATTCACCCCTAGAGGTAACTTCTGATGAATTACACACATATCACTCCCTTAATCTACATTGTACTTTGATTAAAACTCATTCTTCTAGCTTCATTCTTGCCTTTCAGGTTCCGGCAGTTTAAAAGATAAGTAGTGCTATCCACCTAATAAATCACTATCCAAGAGATAAGTATTAGGAAAACCAATTGCATTATAGAGTCAGAGTGGATAAAGATTTATCCGTTGGATAGGGCTATGCCCCTTTTGAACAACTGAAGGCTGGAGCCAGTTGTTCAAAAGATCCACTGGATAAATTCCTATCCACTGTATAAGTATTAGGAAAACCAATATATCGCTATCCAGTGGATAATGATTTATCCGGTGGATAGAGCGGTTTTCACTTGACTGTCGTAAAACCAAAACCAAAGTAAATACACTAGCCAACCCAAGGGCGTAGTGAAACCAAAACCAAACCAATTCCTCAATTACTTTCGACAGTCAAGTGAAAACCGCTCTAACGCTATTCATTAACTTTGTTAATTTTTTTCCTAGACAATTCAAATTCCTTACACATGGGAAGATAGGTCGCTCTCACGCATAGCAGCTTCCATGTAATTCAATTTCTTTTTTAAGAGCTGTTCTGCTAAATTCAATGTTTTATTTTAGAAGATAAATATTTGAGATGCTTTAGAATGTTTTGAAATATTTTGCTGTGTGATTTTCTTTGTCTTTTCCATGTTTTATCCTTTTGAGTTAAGTGTACATGCAGTATATGTGCTGCTTGGAACTCTAACACCTGGGGGGGGGGGGGAAAGAGGGACCTCCCCAGAGTAAGGGGTGGGGATCACGGGCAGCCTATTCGGGGGTTGAATTTTCGGTGATGTGGGCTTTTCGGGTGTTTATGATCGAAACCCCTAATGATTGATCGGTAGAGCGTCGGTTTGGTTTATTCTCTTTTTTTTTTTAAAGTTTTTCTTCTAAATTGTATTGTTTACATTTGTAAACTAATTTTTGTGATGTTTTTTAATTTTTTTCAATTTTTTTGTGGTTTGATTTTTTTTTTTTTTTCCTTTTTTTTTCTTTTGAGGTAAGTTTTTACGACGTTTTGTAACTGGTTGGCAATCTTACACCCGGGGGGGGGGGGGAAGGAGGGGACTCCGCATATGAAAGTGGTGGGATGCTCGTCATCTCACTTAGGGATGTAAATTTCGGAGTTTGGTCTCATTTAGGGTGTTCTGGACAAAACGCCATCATATTTAGCCGTGAAGGTCTCGTTTAGGGTTGCCGGCGAAAAAATATAAAAACATATATTTGATATGTATATTTTTAATTCGTTTTGTTTACTCCATTCATATAATCTAAGTTTTCTCATTTGCCTGTGTTTTAACATGGTCTCGTTTAGGGATCAAAAAAGCTTGGGCCACGTCCAGATCGGTCTCCTTTAGGGATTTAATTCAAAATTTCCCACGAGCATCCCCACCCCTTACATATGCGAAGTCCCCCCTTCCCCGGGCTCTAACAGGTTGTTTTCGGAATTTTTTGTCTCTTCTGCTCTCGCAACTCTCGAAGAAGCGACAGCAGGCTATAGGTCTTCATTTCATTTAGTTAGAGTATCTTGCATTCAGAGTGTCTAAGATTACATCATTAATTTATAAATTAGTTTTAGATAGATGTTGCATAACGGTAAAATAATTGCACATATCACGTACAAGACAATTCATCGTCCCATTCTTACTCTTTAATTTACGTTCTCAATGATTCAAATCCTGATCTCAAAGACTTTAAAGAACTATGGGTTGGGAATAGTGTAGAACCGAGTGTTCAGCAAAAAAAAGTTTATTGTGAAGGAGCTTATTATTGTAAGAAATGAGGTTATTTTATCATAACAATTATTTTAATTATTTTAACATAATAGTTTTAGGAAACTCATTAATTGATAATTGAACAATGCCTTGTTTAAAAGAAGATGTAACTAATTTCTAGCTGACCTTTGAACTGTTCTTTCGATAATTTGTTAACTTGTTCGGGCCACGTGGTCCTAGCGAGTTCGCCACCGAAATGCCTTGACCGAGATTGCGTGGGAAGACGCCGTACAGGGACGGCAATGTCTACTGTAGCGTCAGAGAAAAACAGGGAAATGTTGTTTATCGGCAACGTGTTTTACAAACAGTGACATCTCTGCGTGTTGTTTCACTAGTGTTTTGAGGGCACAACCTCCTGAAAATAGCAAATATTAATCCCCAGCAAGAAGCCACACTTTCGCTATGGAAAAAATTAGCTCCCCGAGAGAGTGGAGGAAATGGAGCCTAGGTCTTGGTCAACACCTAAAAGGCGCTTCGCCTAACGTACGTACGGAGTCACACTGGCCGGGAAATAAAAAACGTTACCATAAGTGAATTTTGTACCTCCCTTAAAAGTGGCAAATCTAGGGAACAATTTCTTTTACGGTTAACTCTTTTTTACTCTATTTACGGCTAACGGTAAAAATTTTTCAACTTTTACGGCTATCGACTAAATTTTTGGCCGTTTTACGGCTATCGGTTAACCCCATTGAGACCCTCTTAGCGGCGTTACTGGTGCAGAATCAGTCTTCACGCCCGAGGACACTCCGCATATGAAAGGGGTGGGGATGCTCGTCGGAAATTTTGAATTAAACCCCTAAAGGAGACCGATCTGGGGGTGGCCCAACCTTCTTTTGATCCCTAAAAGAGACCATGTTAAAACACAGACAAATGGGAAAACTTGGATTATATGAATGGAGTAAATAAAACGAATTAAAAATATACATATCAAATATATATTTTTATATTTTTTCGCGTGCAGCCCTAAACGAGACCTTCACGGCTAAATATGATGACGTTTTGCCCAGAACACCCTAAATGAGACCAAATCCGAAATTTACACCCCTAAGCGAGACGACGAGCATCCCACCACTTTCATATGCGGAGTCCCCCCGCCGGGTCTTCACCTTGTTTCGGACTAAAATAACGCCAAATTAAGGGTATCAAAAGCTTGGTGGTCGCTAATAGACGTTTTTATTGGTGTCCAAGTCTTTTCTACAATTATTTCTAGATTTAGCCTGCAAATACAGTCGTCTCTCCGCGCTCCACGCCGAAAAGATCTTTCCAGCGCTTCCAAAAGCTCTCTCAGTGTAGAGCCTTTTCTCCAGAAAGCGGCGGAAATCGAGCCTCGGTGCTCTTCCCTTCCAAATCACTTTCTTCTGGTTAGTTTTCGGTAAAGGCGATAAGATACCAAACTCTCTTTTTTGGTAAGCTTGTGCCTATTTTGGGACCTGAGAACTGTCCGCCTTATGAAGGAGTTACTCCTAATTCATAGTTGAGCCACAGACATGAACGTGAAAAAGCAAAACCGTGTTATGATATTAGACCTAACAATTTACAATTCAAGAATGTTTAATTGGGAAAATAATCCTCCGTTGAACAAGATCAATGTTACTGGTACTGAAGATATGCCTAATTCAATGCCCCGCCCCCTCGTCTATGTCACAAGTCTAGCCACAGCCCAGAGGCTTATGTACTGCATGCATTTTTCAATAAAAATGCCTCGAGTGGCCTAAATCGCTTGACATAAAACTCTGTCGCACCAGCGAGGTCTCCCAATACGTACGGCTCCAGCTCACGAGTGGTTTGATTGATGTAAGTTATGGTCGACTTTCCCTTCTCCCCCTCAGTTTCTTTTATCAGCAATCCTGAACACAAGTGTTCTTTACGATTATACTCTGGAAAAGGTGGTTGAGTCGTCAATTTGACTGACCGGTAAGCAATCGTAAAGTGGTCTCTTGTGTCGCAAGGGATCCTGCGTGACACCAAAAGAACTACATCATCTGGTTTTGTTGCGTTACGTAAGTTGTTCTCCAAAACCATGTGAAGAATCTCGTCGTCATCGTCGACGACCTCTGCTACTTCTACTTTGATCAAAAGTGGGTCCCATTCTTTTCGACCATTTTCATTTCTTAACAGCGCAAACACTTCACCAGGAGGAACGGCTACACATAGAGTGGCCTTCACACAAAGGTAACTGTCGCTTTCACATTTGAAAAGCGTGACACCTGACGAGGATCGCACCTGTTCCCATTTGGTCAGTTCGTAAAGTTTCACCAGCGCTTCTACGTTGTTGTAGTTCAGCAGCTGACTTATATTGTGATTCCAAGGAATGGCGATGACGGGTCCCACCGATTTACGGATCTGTTCCCGCTCTAAGCGGAGGCGTTTCCTAGCCATAGCCTCACGCGCGCGTCGCTGTGCTTCTTCCGTGTCTAATCGCAAAGGTACCAGGATCTTCGGAACGCCAGTCTTGTCAGGTGCAACAAAAATCAAAAAAGCGCTGTTGACGTGTCGCACTTCACCTCCGATTGAATAAGCCTCTACTCGACATCCTACTTCCATATGCACGTCATACGTGTTATTAACCATAGTTTTAATGATTACCCGATCTCCGACCTTGATGGGACCTCGAAATTTGACCTCGTCAACAGCTCGCAGCTGCGGATGGGATCTGCAAAGGCGGGTAGCAGCGATGGTGCAGGCGGCTACCATCCAAGCCATCACTTGACCACCAAACGCTGTTTGATGATGGTTTGCATGTGGGGGAAGAACAAGCTCCACACTTTCTAGTGTAGTCTTGAAAGGCGAGATTTTCTCATCAGTGGACTTTGCATTCTCTGGCAGAGGAGTCCATTGTTGACTCTCGGTCTCGCCATTCTGCTTTAGCGCAAGCTCTTTGAGGTTAGTCGGATACTGTATCCGCAATCTTCTTCTCTCGTTGGCTAGAGCATACTGTAATTTTTCCTCAGCCGTGAATGGCACAACAGGAGTCAACCGCTGTTTTTGATTGTCTTTATCAAACGCTACGAAAGTGAAAAAAGCATTGCAAACTTCTTGTACCTTGCCACTAAGAAGGTTCTCCACCTTTACCGAAACTCCAACCTCCATGCTCGTGTTGAACGCTCGATTCACTCGTGCCGTCAAGTTAACAACCTGGCCGACGTAGATTTGCTGTGCGAAATACAGCTCGTCCATGGACGCCGTCACACAAGATGCTCGAGCGTGTTTCTCGGCCGCGAGACACGCCACGGCGTCCATCCATTTCAACAGCTGTCCTCCACTGAGGCAATTTTCTTGCCGTTCGTTCGTGTGCGTTGGAAGAACAAGTTGATTCATTTCCACCTCCGAAGCATTTTTGTAGTCCATTATTAATATTGACAGTCAGTTTTTTTTTTAAAACAGCTAGTGAATCACTCTTCGGTAACTCCGCATTTATCAATGACTTTTACATAATCTGCCTCGTTCTTGCATAACCAAATTCAGAGGGAAAATGCTAACTTTATCTCCTCTTTGACGTTCGGTGAAGTGGTTTAATAATCCTTCAGCAACAAATCAGTTACATCACAAATATTGTAAACAGGGATATAGATTTGCATATGCCTGATCAGAGATTTGTTTGCGTAACGCCTTGAGATGCATAAATCAGTAACGACACATGGAGACGTCCTGCGGTCCTACGCAAGTCGTGAAAGCCAAAGCAGGGACCGCGCAGCAAGTTTTCGAGTGGGGGGGCTAAAGAAGAATGCGTGAAAGAAAATTTGGGGGGCGGGGGGCGGGGGGCGGGGGGGGGCATGCTTGTGGATTTCTATTCAATTTCTCTAAAGTGACGGAGAATGCGAATAACGATAAAACTATTGATTTTTTTCCACATCTTCAGTGATGTTGCTATCGGGTCTGAAAATTCACCATCACTAAATTGAAATATCATAGATTGTTATGTTATACTACTGATATCAACCTTTAATTACTATAAATAAGCCAGAAATCTAACGATTTTGCTTGAGCTGCCTTGAACTCAAGGCTGTATAATTACTGAGCAATTATTGCACGAGGCTGAGTATGATATGAAGAGTTATGCAGATCGAGGGGGTTATCCGCCAAAGCCGAAGGCTTGAGCTCGGTGGATAACACCCTCCGAGATCTGTATATCTTCATATCATACGAAAGCCGAGTTCAATAATTGTTTAATTATTCATTCAAAATATTTACGCGGCAAAACAAAACGGTAACTGAAAATAATTTAGTGAATGAAAATTCAATGATAGAACAGATTCAGAAAAAAGTAGCAAAAATTATGCAGAGTTTACTCACCAGATAAAGAAGGTTTTCCATTTTGCTTGGAAAAGTAATCAGAAATTTTAAGAGATCTCTTCTTTGCATTACTAGTGGGGGCTGTGAACTCTCGTCGTTCGTATTTGTGTTGCCGTGTACCATGTGCACTTCTTTGTTCGTAATAACCGCCGGATTGAATGTTCCTTGATGACCAGAGTTATACACAATTCTGCGGTTTAAGTACTTTCGATGACAAAATGTTTTTATAAACAGACCGCGCGCGTTCAACAAAACTTGCAATTGGAATGCTCAACGAGCCGTGAAGCCTGACATCAAAAGACGGACTTCGCGCTGATCGAGCTAAAATCAGGACGCACAATAACAAGAGATACAATAACTTCATAATCTTCCAAAACTCAAGGTTGAAACTAATAAACAATTTGTTTGAGAATCGCCTTATAAACTAAACCCAGTTATTACTTTGGATCGAAATTGACCCATTACGAAACAACGCGTTTTCCTGAGAGGTCCGCAGGGAAAAGAAGCCATTTAAAAGACGTTTACCTCTGCTAGGTTAGAAGCGAAGAAATATTTTACAATTGTAACGACTAATGCTTCATTCTGTCTATTTATCTGCGCGTTTGTCTTTGCCAGTAACTCTGGTCACTTTCGAATTAACGATTTTTTGCTATTTTTCACTCCGTTACTTTTGTTAAATTATTTTCTGTTTAATTTATTTTTATTCTTGCAAAAAAGTGGGGGGGCTAAAGCCCCCCCAGCCCCTCCCTCGGCGCGGTCCCTGCAAAGAAAGTATGACTGATAAAAGGAGACCGGTTTATCTGAATTTCAGTGTCCTATAAGCCTTTTTGACCAAATGTTGCATTAGGAAAGATTTTACTTAAAACCCTATAAAGTGACACAATAGCTGACACATTTTCCGCGTTCTTTCGTCTACGTTTTGTTTTTGTTTCTTTTTTCATCTTAATATTTAACTGAGAATTTTTATTTATTATCATCATTATTATTTTACTGCTTCTTGTTCTCTCTAGATTTTTCTTGGCGGCAAAGTTTTCACGAAAACGACAAGGGACTTGTAATGTGTTACACAGTGTTTTTTTTTTTCGTCACGCAACGCTCCACCCCAAAAAGGAACTGAACGTGATTTTGAGATATTAGGGACTTTAAGATCCAACGACGCGGACGGCAACGAGAAGGTAAAGAAAATAATAGGTTTAATAAGCAAAACAGCAACTTCGCACTTGCATCACACTTTTTTTGTACATTTCTTTACCGTTTTTACACGACTACGACGTGGAAATGCCTTATTTCGCGTTTTATAGAGGACGTAAACAAGCAACGACGAAATTAATTTTATTTCTCTTTCTGAGCTTGGATATGGTCACTTGAAATTAAGGCTTCAGGAGGGTTCGCCCACATTTGACAAAGTAAGTGGGTAGGAATAATCGCTATAAAGACTGAAAGAACGCAAATTCACTTTTTAAGCGACGCTCTCGTTGTCGTCGCGTCGTTGGATCCTAAAGTGAACTTACTGCAATTGCACCTCATTTACGTGATCGTAATGCGTTATAGCTCATTTTTTTCCCATGTGATGTGTGATGGTCTAAAAAAGTCAGCGTGATGCATGAGAGTGTGCCTTAGTTTTGTTTCTTAGTATTTGTAGCAATTTTCTTTGTTGTAACCGCATTTTATGGCACAATGGCGGAATATAATTCGTCTCTAGTATAAATTCGGTGCTAAGACGAATTATGGGCAAAATTCGTCTGAGGCCGATTCGTCTGTTATGTATCGGTCAAATCGAAGCTTCAACATGCCCCCCCGGGCATACCCCGGGCATTTGACACCTTTGCTGTCCTGGGGAGGAGGGAATTTGATTATCAGAGTCTTCCAGGGGGTGGGGAATTTGATCCCCATGCTTTAGGGGTGGGGAATTTGAACTGCACCCTCGATTTCATGTAAAATCTTTGGTGTGGTGAGCTATCATGGCGGACGCGGTGTTAGAGGATTTTCGTGGAAAAGATTGTGCCTTTGTGGCCAATTGGTTACGAGGAGAGGGCTTAAACAAGCTTTGTGCCGTATTTGAAGTATTTAATTTTTAAAATTTTTAATTGGATGCAGGCTTTGAATGTATGAATGTATTTTATTGTTGTGTTTACAATGAAATACAATACCTATACCGGCGATAAAATAAAATAAAAAGCCCAGGTCAACTACTTTGACCTATTGCAAGTATGTTAATTAATAAGGTGAGCAATGATGCATGTCAGTGAAATGGTCATGATGTAGTAATCTCAATAGGTGGGATCTTTTTTTTATAGAACGCTTTGTATGTTGCATGATGAAGAAAAGCTGAGCATTCAGTGACCTTGTAGTAGCGATTTCCGCCGCTTTGCACGAGACTTTTGTTCATAGTAAATACGCTAACAGTGTTTCTCAGTTTTTGTTATATTTATAAAAATTTTGTTCGACATCTGAAGGCGTTTCCACCATCCTTCTGTCATTTTTGTGCCTGTGAAATGTCCCCGGGGTGGGGGCATTTGATCACCTGAATGAACCCTAGTGTGGGGCATTTGAACGGCATTTTGGCCCGGGTAGGGGGGAATTTGAACAATAATTTTCAAAAAAGTCAAATGCCCGGGGGGTTGCCCGGGGGGGGCATGTTGAAGCTTCGATTTGACCGATACATTAGCACGTCTTAAAGACGTGCTAAATTTATATCTAGACGGAATGTAGACAGTTTTTTGACGAAGCTCCACATGAGAGGGACTGGTTTCTATATTTTCGCAGTGTTTCCTGTTTCCCGCGTAAATTATCGTCTAATTATAAATCCGAAGACGAATTTTGACGGATAATTTGTCTAGATATTTTACGCGGGAGACAGGAAACACTGCGAAAATATAGAAACCAGTCCCTCTCATGTGGAACTTCGTCAAAAAAACCGTTTACATTCCGTCTAGATATAAATTTAGCACGTCTTCAAGACGTGCTAACAGACGAATCGGCCGGCGAATTATCCGTCTGATGGATAATCCGTCTAGACGGATAATTCGTCTCTGGTATAAATTCGGCCAATGCATGATTTTCCGCTAGCCGTCACGTGTAGTTTTTTCTAAGGCTCGGAGAAATTCGACGGGTAACCATATCGATCAAGAAACTTCTTTGTTACTGTTGAACTCTAGCCAGCGAAAAGAGCCGTTTCTCGTCGCTCCTCACAGCTGGGGACGTTTCGCCAAGGGGACGGTTTCTCGATCCTCGCGAAACGTCCCCCAGCGGCGATGAGCGAGCAGAAACGTCTGTTTTCGCAGGCTAGTTGAACTCGGAACCTACTACAGCGTTCGCCCCAACACGTTACAACGGGATTGCTGTAAGCCGGTTGGCACAATAAACTCTTAAGTCTTGTGGAATCTGTGAGTCTTTTTAAGCCCGGTTTACACTACAGAAAATTTTTGGCACGGCTCGGGTGAAATTGGCACGGGTGCCCAAAAAGAGCTCGGCAAAACTTTGTTTACACTACACCAGACCATTTTTACCGCACCAAAAATACCGTACCAAAATTTTTTGGCCCGCGTAAGTTCTCTTGGAGACATGCGCAGTTCAATTAGAAGCAAAGATGGACGACGAAGCCTTCTTCCTGCTGTATCTCTTAAGAAAGACGTTTCACAAAGTTCAAAGCTCAACTATGGACACTGAAGTTGGCAAAAATTTGCCGGCAAGAATCCTCTACCTTAAAAAAAAAGTAAACAAGGAAACATTTTAAGTTTCTTGCGGCTATAATGTTGACAAATCCACCCATCGATAGAGGCGTTTGGTCGCTTCTTTCATAATTGTAAGTAATTCTTTTACGTCGCTTTCTTTCCAAGAACGTCCGCGTGATTTTGGTGGAGAAACGAGCAGCCATGTTGAAGTATACGCAAGAAAACCGCTAGACTATATGAAAGGAGGCTCCAATTTGACCCGTTAAAGCGTTTACACTACATGTTCTATCCGAACCGTGCTGTTTTTTCTTTTTTAGCACCCGTACCATTTTCACCCGTGCTCGGACTACCTTTCCGAAGGTCCCAGCACGGGTACAAATTTTGGTTCGGCATGGTTGAAATTTGGTACGGACAGGTTTTTTACACTGCAAATTTTATCCGAGCCGAACCCTCTTTTTGGGACCCGTGCCATTTTCACCCGAGCCGTGCCAGAAATTTTCTGTAGTGTAAACCGGGGTTTAGTGTTATTTGCTATACCTGATGTAAAGATAACTGGTCTTAAATCATATATTTGAAAATCATATACAGAATCAATTCAAACTTTTACAAGCTAAGCTTCCATGTTAATCAACGGAGCCTCCTCCTATGGCGAAGGGAGTCTCTGTCGTATCATTTTTTTAAAGTAGATGCTGTAGATGCCTACAACTTTGTGTCATATTCACTACTTTAACATTGCTCATACACCGAATGCTTGTTTACCTCTCAAAATTTTGCAAAAGCATTGTAGTCCATTTTTCTTGGGACGTCTGGAAATTGGAAAAATCAGAAACTAATTACAAATTTTGGGGATTAAAAGGCGTATTATGGGCAATGTGTGAATGGTGAATCAACGGGATAAAAAGCATTTTGATTAAATCTAATTTACATGCAAGAGTACTGAAATCTATTCGACAGCTGTGTAAACGAATGTTTAGTAGCATAGATACCAAAATTGTTTTCCATTTTCCAGGTGTACGTTGACTCGTTCATGCCCACTATTCAAATCACATGTATTGAAGAGATCAATAAACGCTTTATTCTGGATTAACATGTAAAATGAAAATAATCTTAAAATCACATAAACCAAATAATACTACTGGTTTTTTATATTCGAACGAAATCAGTATTTTCCTGCCAATTTAAACGAATTCTTAACATAGACCTCCTATAGACCACTGTTTCAGAAAATCATTGGATCACCAGCTCAGATTTTTAGTAGATCAATTAATAAATGTTTTTCTTTTCTGTCTTCTTGCCTATCAAACGTTGGAGTAGCAGACATTGGATTTGGCTGAACTATTAAACTCCCTCGACGGTGTTTGCATTAATTAGTTAAACTGTAAAACACACAAATGCAAATCAGCATAATAATTACTTCATAACTGGGAATTCATCAAGATCTGTGTTCCTTCGGGTGTTGGAAACTTCTTAAGGATGTAATTCAATGCAAATTTATCTTTCGCGGAGGTACACCAGAACAGACCACATTTTGTGAAGAGACTTCATCTGGCCAATATATTTCTTTGTGTCCGCAGAGATTTTTTATCATTGCTGTTTCGAAAACATGGAATGGAAATTTCGCGTCTTACTTTCCTTGGTTATCTTCGTAATATTTGGAGTACTGATAATGCTATCGTCGACAGAAATCAAGAAAGGTAAGAGTGCAATAAATTTGAAAAATAATGGCGCAATTCATGGTTTTTGTTACCTCGACTATGACTAAAACTGATCGGGATTTAACATAGGGATGATCGCATTTTTTTGCTTTATCGTATTTGCTGCAAAACGTCTTAACTTGAGTGGTTCTATAAACAGTTACCGTTAGCAAGGATAGTAAGGATTTATTTCTACCATCATTTAGATAAAATTTGAATCCATCATTTTAAAAAAATAATATTCAAAAAGTCTCGTCCAAAGACGGTGGTATAATCAGTATAACCTGCTGGAAATAAAATACGTCACGATGAATCTTGCTGTTTCAGTATTCTAATCTCTCAGCATGATTTCAAGTCACAATTTTAATGAAGAATACGTTTCAAAAGCTCTTTCTTTCTCAGAACGATTTGAATTTATGTCTTCTTCAGTGAATCGACAGACGAGATCACGTGACTTCGTGAGGCACGTAAAATTGTTCTGTTTTGTGGCGGTCGCTCTGAGAGAGGAAATTCTGTTATACATGTTTAAGCCAGAGTAAAGAGACAACAATTTGACCTCAGTGAAATTTAAGAGCCAATCATGGACTTACTCTGCCTTCAAGATTTCGAAAAAAATCTTTTGTGCCTGCAAATTCAAACAAATTTCCGATCTAGTGTTCCTAAGGGTTGATAGTGTTGATATTGGTAATTAGTTATGACATGCATGTCACCCTATGCTTACAGTTTTAAAGTCATGTATTTCTTCTGTTGTTTCAAAACAAAGCCGACAACCATCATGCTATAATTGTCCTCCCCTTTCATCTTCCACATCACTCACGTATTACTTCAGTTACTTCGTTCTTGTTGACACGAGAACATAACTCTCCTTTAAAACTGTTCCTCTTTGCTCTTTTAAGTGTGGCCAAAGCTTCACACACGTTACAGGATTTTGAGTTTCTCAGCCTCAGCAAAAATTATGGATGAAAAGCGTCCATTCATTCCGGAGGGTTTAGAATGCCGAGCACAGAAAGAAAAAGGCTTTTATCCTAGAATTTTGTAGCTTTTTTGTCGCCTTGGAATTGCCATGTTTTGGCCAGAATGTCAGTTCTGACGGTTGAAATAACCTGCGGCTTGTTTTGATAGGTCTTGCCATTTATCATTTCTCGGTGTTTCGCCTAAGTGAATCTTTTTACTGAGGCTAATTGTTCAGCTTTACGGGATAGCTTTTGCGCTGCCACGAAAATGATAAGGGATACGGCTTCTGTTGGCACACAAGAACGGCGATTGCGGCGCGACCGCTGTGACGAAGATCGGATAGGTTTTCAGTGTGCCATACTTTGGTGCAGTGTGAACCAAGAGAGACAGACATTCTTCTCTGGGTGTGAACACAATAAGTAGGAGCGAGGACTGAATATTCAGGAGTAAGGACTGCACCAACCCTCTCCAGGAACGACTTGTCCCGCTCCAGGCTGTTGCTGTTCGTGCTGCACCCGACGTCATGCAGCTTTTCGTGGCGCAACGAAAAGCTATCCACTATCCGGTATAGTCTATTTATTTATTTACCAGCTTTTCTGGACATAGGCCTGCCCAGAGGGAATACGCACGAACGGGACTCGGGTCCCATGCGAGGTGCCATCCCTACCCAAACCCACAACCCGTAAAGGTTGACCACACCACCGAGGTCTACAACCCCTACTCTTTTCGAATAGTGAAGTGCGTTCTCTTAAGTCCCACAAAAACAATTAAATCAGTGAAAGTGCTGTGAGACGGGACCTACGGTTTTTCGTCCTTATCTGAGAAGACTAGAAAGTCTAACCATTTGCAGATGTCCGGTTACAAAGGCTGCACTTTCTTCTCACTCTCAGTTAATTAAAGACCCTGTGTGTTTTTTCCGGCCGGGGCTTAAACCAGCGAGACCGGCGCTCTCCAAACTGAGCTAACCAGGCGGCGGTCAAAACGGTCTGAGCATAACCTTATATTAGTTTTCCTAGTATCGCCCAGGCCTGAGAAAGGCCATTGTCTGTTGAAACGTAGCGATGTAAATTTTTCTCTCTTTTCAGTTTCAGAAGCGCGGATTGCAATCCAGACTGATGTGTCGGTAAGTAATAGAACATATAGTGTAACTATTACTGAATTAAATTGAGTAAAAAACAAAATACAGCCCTTAATCGTCCTCATCAAATTAGATACCTCAGCACTTAAATTAGCCTGTGAACAGCAGACGCATTTCCGGTCGTCTCTTCTCTCCCTCCGAAAAATTTCGGAGAGAGAGAAGCGACGACCAGAAATGCGTCTGCTGTTCGCAGGTAGCCTGAGTATCAGGCGTTTCTGGGAGAAAAGAGGAAAGATGGAAGCGAAAAAGAGAGAGAGCTGAAGGAGAGAAACCTTTCCTTTCTCTTCTCCCCCTCCCCCCTCCCCCATCTAAAATCTCCTCTCCCCAAGCCCCTTAGGAAGGCCTGATACGCAGGCTATTCGCAGGCTACACTTAAATGGACGACCATGTGATAAGAATTTTGTAACGACGTTTAATATTCATTGAATATGCGTTTTAGGCAGGTTTTTAATGTAGCTATCAGGAAAGACTGAAAACCTAATTGTTTTGTTATTTTCACAGACAGTGACGGCCATATCAGCACAAGAACTTTTCCTGACTAAACTAGCCGAAAGGCAAGAAATGAGGATACAACAACTGAAAAATTACTGCTTGGAACATTCAAACGAAAAGTTACCGTGGGACAGAAAACGGCAACTCGGGCAATTTCTTATCGACGATGACAATAAATTTATTTACTGTGCCGTTCCTAAGGTGGGAACCACACCCATGAGGATGACGCTACTGCGTTTGAGGAACGACAGCAGAATCAAACTTACGGGAGGTTCAGTTCATCTTCCTAAATACTGGAGACGTTTAAGTGATCAAGAATTCAACGAAACAGAGTTATCCAAACGTCAAAATACACATTTCAAGTTTCTGTTTGTTCGAGAGCCGTTTCACCGACTTCTGTCCGGCTACAAAGATAAATTCTTTGGAAAAAACAGAGTTTATACCAACGGATATCGTCGACTAATAGTGAAAGCTTTGAGGCCACAGGATGAGGAGAAGGTTGCAACAGAGACGAATAACGTTACATTCACCGAGTTTCTTACGTATCTCTTATCTGATAGAAACCCGATGATTCGCGATGGTCATTGGAAGCAAGCACAAAAACTTTGCTTTCCGTGCGCTTTTGACTTCGACTTTATCGGCCATTTTGAGACGCTTCAAGAGGACGCCGATTATTTGATAAGCAAAACGGTTTTTAATGGCCGTGTTAAATTCCCAGTCGTACGTACGTCACAGGTTTCTAGCGATTTTTTGGAGTATTACTCAGAAGTTCCAAAAGAAATAATATTCAAACTGGGAGAAGCTTTCAGGAGTGACTTTGAAATGTTTGGTTATGCATTCCCTGGACCTCTAAAAAGTTTACTTAAAAACTATTTTAATAGTAGTACCCAAAGTTAAAATCTTTGATTTTTTGACAAAAAAAAATTAAATTATTAGGATTTATAGCTAGAACGTTGTTTATTAGAAGAATATTTAATATTAAACAAATTATTGCGGGCGAGAAAACTGAGAGCCGCAGAATAAAACTTGGAGGCAATGGCCATTGTATGTATGTATGTATGTATGTATGTATGTATGTATGTATGTAAATCTTTATTTAAACACGGGAAATCATCAGTTAAGCTTAAGTTAAAAACTAAAACTGATTACAACTGCTTTACATGATTGCCGTGTGGGAATCCGATACATCAGCTACCTTCTTGATATTTCGCTTAAAATGCTCAACGGATGCAGCGTTTTTTAAGTTTTTGGGCAAGTTATTCCATAACATGGCCCCGCTGTAAGAGAAGCTTCGTTTCAAATAATTGGTGTTTGGTTTGGACAGGGTCAGCCTTCCCTCAGAGTTTCTTAAGTTGTAAGCAGAGTGACGCTGAGAGAAAAGACTTTGTAGATATTTTGGAGCAAGGTCATGTATGGTTTTATACATCATTAAGGCTTTTTGTTTCTTTCGTCGAAGAGATAGCCTCTCCCAGCTGAGGGTGGAGAGAAGGTGGTTTGAGCTCGCATCAAAGGGTGATTTAGTAATAACTCTGGCTGCACGATTCTGTAATTTTTGGAGCTTATCACTCAAGTAACCACTCAAACAGTCCCAGACGGGGCTGCAGTAATCAAAATGAGGCATAATTAAAGCGTTATAAATTTGAATTGCAGTTTCTTTGGATATAAAGGGCCGCACACGTTTTAGGGCGCCTATAGTTGAAGAGACTTTCTTGCAAATCTCTTCAACGTGTTTACCCCAAGAGAGTTGAGCATCTATGGTAAGACCCAAGGATTTGGTATGATCGACTCTCTTGATAATTTGGTCATCAATTTTGATTTCTACATCGTCACATTGGGCAGATAGTCTTTGTCTTGATCCAATAATCATTAGCTCTTCTTGAACTATGTATGGCCGATTTGAAGCAAATGTGGGCATATTATTGCCATTCCTTTGTTCTTACAACAGGTCTGAATGGTAGGTGGGCGAAGGCCCTGGTGTTGAGTTCAAGGTCCGTTCGGGCGTTTGAGGTGCCCGCGGAGGACGTGCACAGAACAGGAGCCCATAAACCGGAACGTGCAACTCCCGTTCTTTTCCTCCCAACGGCGTTTTCACAAATCAACTTATTTTTAGCTTCATTTTTCAGCACTTTTTCCCGCGAAAATGCCAGAAGCACTTTTTCCGTGCGCGTGCGTATCCGTAGTACGATAGTTACAAAAAGAAGTAAATGCGATCAAAATATCAAAAATATTTTTTTAGTCTCCGGCTTTTGATGACTGATTTGTAAGACTTATTTTAAATTCAAGCTTTGCGGGAAAATCGAACTAAAAATAAACTGGTCTGTGAAAACGCTGTTGCACAGGCACAAGGGAGGTGCTCGCTCCGGGTATGGGGTCCTGACAGAACCTTGCTGCTTGTGCTCACGTGATTTTTAAATTTTTTGAAGCACATCGTAAATGTACCGTGTATGCACGTACACAAATGCGAAACGTGCTTTAGTCAAGATACATATGATTACGAAGCTTAAAATCCAGATATAGTTTAACGCTTGCTCTTCATCTCCCCTATAATTTGTAAACAGTGGTGTCATTTCAAAGCATGTTTATATTCTGCAAAATGTATGCGGAGAGTACCGTGAGAGTAGTGCATAGCTTATCATCTTCATCTTCCATTTGATTAGCCAAAAAATATACTTGCATTTCATGATTCAGCATTTTAACTCAACCCACTTTAGTCACTGTCACCGAAAAGTTGACAATGTTTGGTTGCATCGAGCAAGAAGTCGACCCATTTTCGTCGCACCAAGAGAGAATAAGCTCATTCTCTCTTGGTCGCACACAAGACCCTTTACAGTCCACTGTCGCACAACAGCGACACGCCAAAACGATACAAACCAAATCAGTCTTATTGGAGAAAACTCGTTCTGAGTGGAAGGATCACTCACCTACTCCAGTTATCCTTAGCGCGTTAACTTTTCCTTCACTTCCTTACAAAACTTGGCGAAATGTTTACTTAAGAACAAAATGTTGGTTCGGCTAGAAGGGGTCACTGCCTCGCTCAGTCGGTTCAACTCGGTGAAGCTGGGGGAAACTATTAGATCATGCGTGAACATTGTTGTCAGGTAGACCTGAGCTCGGGCAAAAGGGTCGTGACAATTTTCTTCCCACAAAAACGCTTGTAAAAGTTGACTCGGCTGGGAAGAAGGTGAACGTGTTCTTAATCCCTCTAAATACGCAACGAAATCAACGAGTCCCACAAACGCAAATCCGGAGATACGTTTCGTTCCCCTGTCGTACTTAGTCCGATATCAGGAATAGAAAAGAGAGAGACAGTGGCGAAGTTTTTTGAGAAGAAATCTGTGATAAAGACTTGTCAAGTAAGGAAAGGCATATGAAGACGACAACAGCAGCACCCGTTACTAAGTCGATGAACGTAAGGAATGCAGTGCCGCCGAGAAGTCACACTTTTCTAGAAATTCACCTTTCAATGACTGGCATAATGACACAGGAGTTGAGTGCAAATCGTTACAAAGCGTTTATTGCGAAGAACAATAAACTGAGCGCCACCAGCTGTGCAGATGACGGTAAGAGCCGGAGTCAAGGGCCTACGCTCGCGATGACTCGGTGGATCCAACAAAGGCAGGTATAAGCAGGAGAAGAAGCAAGACAAGGAAAGTGACTGAATGAGAAGATGGCTGCAAAGAGCTACAGGCCCAACAGCAGCAGAAGAGTGCTTTCAGGTGGCAAGTTTGGGAACCTTCACAATTTTGAGAACTTTGCGGTAACTAAGGACTTTATACCTTTTTGTCGTCAGTTTTAAGGACTTCGCTTATCATGTGATTAAATCTGCGTTTTCGCCCAAGCGTACCTCTCGAAAGACGCAAAGGACTGCTGACGGATTTCATAATCTCAACATTCAGCTAATGTTGTATTTAAGGGGCAAGAACACTAGAGGATAGTTCTGTTTTAGGCCAATTCTGTGCAGAAGTCATTACTTCAGTAGTGCCTAGTATACACAAAATGCTCACCTACAGTTATGACGGAAGAAGTTATCAAACAAAGTTATGCAGGCATAACATTTTAAAAACTACTTGAAAAAGTTTATCCAAATATTTTAAATTTTCAACCCACTTACATCCTTGCCAACCATAGGAACATATGACAGGAAACAGTTCACATGACTAAATATAGTCTTATAAAACAAAACTGTAACATTATTTTTGGAATTCGGTTGAGGCGTAGATACGTTTTAGCTTAAAAAGATAGAAAATAGTGTGACAGTGCCCCTTTAAGAGTTAACCTTTCTTTTTAAAAAAGGAGGGAATACAGGTGTCGCATTATTATTCTTTATGCATATTCGTTATGCCCGTTATGCTTCGTTATGCCTGTTATGCTCCGTTATGCGCGACCAATAGTTTAATAAAAAATCTTTGCTTAAGTGTTACTCATCTATTTAGCTAAATGTACATATTTAAACAGTTTTAAATAGCAATTAAAGCGTTGTTGTTGGTTGTGATTCGGTAAGAATCAGCATTTCAAGAGACTTAACAATGTTTATTTGGATTTATTCAGGATACTTTTCGTGGCGGTATACCATTAGAACTTAAACAAAACTTTATGGAGAGACTTCAACCTTGCGGCAAATATATTCTTTGCAAATAATATTCTTTTGTGTCCACGAAGACATTTAACATTATTCATTTCGGATTTAAAGATGGCGTGTCAGTGGAAGCCTCGCATGTCATTTACCTTGATTAACTTAGCAATTTTTGGAATTTTGATCATGCTAACTTTGGTGGAAATAAAGAAAGGTAAGTGAACTAACTAAATAAATACTAATGATGTCATAAATTCAACAGAAACGAAACCTTGCCTTTGATCTCAGTGAAATCGAATGAAAACTGAATCGATAACGAATCTGTTATTTATTTCAGCCATTTCATGCTACGAGACACGTATCACAACAACTCAACAACAACAACTTTATTTTGAATTGACAAAAAAAGTAATACAATATACGATATCAAGGAGCTTTTAGAATCAAAAAAGACGACAGAGTGAGATATTGAATGCTTGTAAGTTGTTTCTATCCTTTAAGTGTGTATAAAATTTAGTCAAGCGTATTGCTTTATTTTGCATCCATGCCAGAAGTAAACGTTACCTGACTATTTACAGACTCCCCCACCCTGTTTCGTAGAATATGCTCAAACTGATGCGTCAGATATAATGAAAATACTAGAAAAATTAGACGCGTTTTAGGCCCGGGTGGAGTGCTGTACCGGTTCATATGATCAAAACTTAATTCACAGTTTGGTTTGACCTAAAATTATTCAGTCGGCTTTTGAGTCAAGACGGGTTGAACTTAATTCAGCCGAACGTAGAAAAGAAATGTAGAACCGGTCTTTTTGCTCCAGGTTTTTGCTTAGTGCTTACTAGCGACGGAAGCCGAGAGAGTGGAAACCGTGAAATGGGGATGGAACAAGCCATCCTTTGTACTTACTATTAATGAAGGAGACGGACACGAAAGCATATGGCAGATACGGTGACACAAAAAAACTTCCCTCCCTTCTCTTCTTCCTTCTCCGTATTTCGTTTCATTTTCTGCTTCCGTATATCTAACTAACCGGGCCGAGTAGGTCCACATCCCAGTTAAAACCAAAAGCGACAACGGAGACAGAGAGCTTCAGTCAAGGCTCTATCCCAGTCCTTCAACCCCAGACGTGTGGTATATGTACTGTTGAAAGATATTTTTTAGGGGAATTAGCGGGTTCTTAGTCTTCGACAAAAGGACGATGCTTGCTACGTTTTTTTTTTTTTTTCTACTTTCTTTTTTTGCCGGTCTATACAAGTCCGTTATTCTTTAAAAACTTCGCTAGCTAAAATTCTCTCTCCGATCAAAACTGTAACACCTCCCCCTTTTTATGATGACCAGAAAACCCATATTATACCTTAATACGTAAAACTTCTGTGATTGGCGAGGTGAGATTCATTAGCATTGAGCCTTCGAGTAGTTTACCCTTTCAAAACACTGTTCTTTCTTAGACTCCATTTACCCGGGTTCGGGTTCAATTTTTGAACGGACAAACCTTGCACGTATACGCCTTTCGTTCACACGGAAAAGGAGCAACCGTACATGGACAAGTTTTTGAACGGAAATCAGCATGCAGTACTGCAATTTGTAACAGAATTTGGATGGTTCCGTTCAAACGAATTGCAAAGGTAAAAAATTCGTCCGTTCAAAAATTTGGCAAGATGGCCGTGTACAGTCAACTTTCGGCTTGCTGACACCTCACTATAACGGACACCCCGATAATATCAACAGCGGCTTAATCCCAGGCAAAAATAAATTACAGAAGTTTGACTGAAATAAACTTCCGCTATTACGGACTCTCGCTAATGAGGACACTAACTCAAGGTCCCTGCAGTGTCCGCGATAAGGGAGTTCATTGTAATCGGGGTCTCAAACTTCACCTTATATTTAAGGCATATGTATTTTTACGATAAGAAGAGTTGCCTCGAAAGCTTACCAGAGTAGAACATCTACTGATTTAACACCGAATCCATCATGACAGGAGAAGACTTATGTCAATCGCAAAAACTTTAAGGGGTGCCTTCTAAAACTAAACAAAGAAGGCATGCATTTCGATCTAAAATATTCCATACTTAACTAATCATATAGAAATTGGGGAATGCAGTATGGCGAAAAAAAAATTTGCTGAAACTTCCATTGCTTGCATTTTTATTGCTTAACAATACTGAAAATGGCAAGGCTCACAGCAGATATTTACCTCAGAAGTTGTGTAATTCATCTCAGAAAAATTCCCCTTCCACATTAAATAAGGTCATGGACTAAGCGCCGGAAAAAGACAAAAACACTTTTCCTTTTTGTTCTGTTTCAGAAGGGACTGGAATGCAGACCAATGTGTCGGTAAATATTACACACTACATAATGTAATATGAAATAGAAGTGCGTAATATTGTGTTAGTCACAAAATGCTCGAATGATTCTGATCCCGCATATAAGAACCTAACAACGATGACAATTTCTCCAATCTAATTAGCAATCAGCAGACCTGATTTCATCCCGAATACGACAGTTTAATAGGACAGTACTTGTTGTGGGACACTGAGGTACCCTTGTACAAATGCTAATATCTCTACTTAGTACAGTCCAGTCAAGAGAGAGCTCATTCTCTTTTGGTACAGTGGAATCTCGATCTGCGACCAATCACCTTTCGCAAGCGACCACTTCCTAAAAGCATCAACCACTTATCCAAAACACCTGCAAACTTTTCCCAGTCAAAGCTTTACAGTTGGAACCTCTCGTAAAAGGCCAATGCTGTACGCGACCGCGCGGACCACTTTTAGGGGATGACGGTTTTATAATTCTCCAAATTTTCGTCTTTTGCCTTTTCTTCCATATAAAAGTTTGGTTTAAGCCTAGGAGACGTTAAATGGAAGTCAAGAAACGTTGTTGGGTTCGTTTCTTTGACTGGATGATAAGCAGTAACAAATAACGAAAGCTTGCCTTTTTGTAGCCTCCCCCGCAGACAGCGTGACACACGCCTAAGAATGTCTGCGGGGGAGGCTAGCGTTTTTGAATTTTTCTCCAGCTTCCCGCCATCGTAGAGATCCCGCTTCCGGCCCTTTCCTCTCCCGTCTCCCGTACCCGTCCCGCCCCTGTTCTCCCGGGCTCCCGCCCCCCTGTCCCCCGCCACTTGTAAGCAATCCCTTGATGTATGATCTGATTTCAATTTTTTGCTGTATGCGCTATGCTCCTCACACTATACTTTAGTAAAGTTAAAAGCGAGTTTAAACTTATCCATTAATTTCGCTGTTGTCCCATTACAAGCACAGACCAAATAAAACGTTCTTACCTTTTTGCCGCCGGGGTTTGGCTGCAACGATTCAGGATGAAAACTCTTCACGTTAAATTTTTCTTTTTACTTTTCAGACAATGACTGACAGATCAGAACAAGATCGTTACATGGCTGGAATACAAGAAAGGAGAAAACAGCAGCTTAAAAATTACTGCTTAGTACATAATGATCAAAAGTTACCCTGGGAAGTAAAACGACAACTCGAGCAATTTCTTATCGACGATGACAATAAATTTATTTACTGTGCCGTTCCCAAGGTGGGAAGTACTCCAATGAGGATGACAATGCTACGTTTGAGAAATGACAGCAACTTAAAACTTACAGAAAGTTCAGTTCATTCTCCAACGTTTTGGAGACGTTTAAGTGATGACGAATTCAATGCAAGAGAGTTATCAAAACGCTTATCTACACATTTCAAGTTTCTGTTGGTTCGCGATCCGTTTCACCGACTTCTATCCGGCTACAAAGATAAATTCTTTGGAAAAAATAGACGGTACTCCAATAGATTTCGTCAAATGATAGTGAAAGCTTTAAGGCCACAGGATGAGGAGAAAGTTGCAACAGACACGAATAACGTTACATTCACCGAATTTCTAACGTATCTCTTATCTGATGGAAACCCGATGATTCGCGATGGTCACTGGAAGCAAGTAGAAAATCTTTGCTTTCCGTGTGCTTTTGACTTCGACTTTATTGGCCATTTTGAGACGCTTCAAGAGGACGCAGATTATTTGCTGAGTAAAGCGGGTTTTAATGACCGTGTTGAATTCCCAGTTGTACGGACATCACAGGTTTCTCGAGATTTCTTAATGTATTACTCAGAAGTTCCACCGGAAATTATACTTAAGCTGGGAGAGGCTTTCAGAAGTGACTTTGAAATATTCGGGTATGCATTTCCTGGACCTCTTAAAAGTATAATTAAAGACTACTTGAGTGATAGAGCAGGCGATAGAGCTCAATTAATTGATTAAAAATTAGAGAAAGGTAGGATTCTATTTTAACGCCAGGCTATTTACCGAGGTGTGCCGCCGAAGCCTTCAAACCCTGATCCTGTTTTTAAACAGAGACAATAATTTTGCTACGCTGTTTTAAGACACACCCAATGGGAGCCCAAACGCTGTATTAGCTAATATAAAAAATTAGATGTATTTACGCTGTATTAGCTAATAAAATAGTAAGATGCATTTACCTTTGTTCCTATGTCTTTATGAGTCGTTTTGGAAGGGATTTGAATCCGATCAGAGACGGTTAACATTGCTGGTTATCAAATGCGTTTGTAGAGAGATTAAGATTCACGTTTACGCCAAACGGGAGACGTGAATTTGTACCACGTGACCAAGTTTCCCCCTTATTTTCCGTTTACCTCTTTATTACTTCTACAAAAAAATAAGTAGTTTTATGCCAGTTTTAACCATATGAATCCTTCGGCACTGTTTTTATCTGCTTATTTTCTATTCTGAAAAATTCTCAACTTGAGCATGAACAAGTCAGCCGCGAACCACGACAAAAAAGAGCGAAACGTCGTTGTTTTGTAAATGCGTCAGCTGGGAAAAGAACTGGACCGGTTTTAAGAGAAAGGACGGACCGCAAGCAGTCGAAGTATTGGCAAAAACGCTGTTTATTAGCGATACTAAGGCGTACACCATACGGAGGGACTTCCATATAAAAGTGACGGGTATGCTCTTCGTCTCGCCTAGGGGTGTCAATTGGAGGTTTCGGTCTCACTTGTGGTGTTTGGGACGGAAAGGCAGTATAATTGCCCATTTAGGTATTGTTTAGGGCTAAAGAAATTTACAAAAAAAATTTCGTCTGTTTTAGTATGGTCTCCTAAAACAGGGTTCAGTTTAAGCTTGATCCACGCCTACAATAATCTACCTTAAGAGTTTAATTTCAATTTTCTGACGAGTGTCCCCTTCACTTTTATATGGGAGTTCCCCCGGGACGCATTCCTGGTGATAAGTTTCGTTCCCAGGCTATACACAGGCAAGATCCGGACTGTCGACGTTTCATGAGAAGAAACCAGTCAAGTAATCAAGTAATGAAAGGCATACTCCGAGCATATGAAGCTGCTGCAACGGTGGCCGAGGCTGTAGTGCTGAGAACAGAGAAGTCAAATTGGCTTAAGTAATATCTGCCCCAGCCCTTTGAAAGTTGTCTCAAAGACAGCGGGAAGTGAGGTTACAGTTAAGAATGACACGAGAGTTTAATACAAGCCCAATACAGAGTTTATTAAGAAGTACAATTTGCCAAGAGGACGCTGGCAGCTATGCAGACGACTGTGAGAAAATCAAGGACGGAGGGGAGACTACAAAGGCAGGGCTCCTGACAAAGCCAAGTAGGAGAAAAAGCGAGACAAAGACCGTAAACAAAGAGAAGATAGCTGAAGAGCCACAGGACCACCAACACAAGCAGAAGAGCGTTAGTACGTCGACATGTCGAGTTTGAAAACCTTCACGAATTTGAGCACATGTAAACAAACTAAGGATTTTTTGTTGTTTTTTCATTTGTTTCAATGACTTGTTGGGTCAATAAGTGATAAATTTGCGTTTCCTAGCGTTGCCTTGCAGAAGACATCTGGGACTATACTGACTTTATAATCGATCCGTAAAAATTCGCGTTATTTTTGGGAGGAAAAAGTGGGAATGAAGTGTCGCAAATTCTCCGTCTCTGAAGCGCGCTTGGGGCAGGGGTAAGAGCTTTCGCCTCCCACCAATATTGTCCGGGTTCCAATCCTGGTTCATGGTTGCGTACGAACAGGCCCCAGCGGTGGGGGGTGGGGAGGTGGTGGGAGATGGGGTGAAGAAAAGGGGATAGACGCGAGATGCCCCTCCCCCTCCCCCTCCCCCTTCCCCGTGACCCCGTCTTCTTTCTGTTCCCCGTCTTCTTTCTGTTCACTCTATACCCCTCTCTCTATAGTGGCCAATACAAGGAAAGGAGTACCTTTTTCACGCCGGCTTCAGGTATATGAAAGGGTAGGGATTGCATTACTTGAAGTGTATGAAAGGTTGGGGAAATCTACATAGCGGTCTGTGAAAGGACTTCTACTAAGCTAAAGGGCTAACAGACTAACCGGGCGCATACTTCCTTGTGTTAAAAGTGGTGTAGCGTTCTTAACAAGTAATGAGTTTTGTTGTTGTTGCTGTTGACTAAAGCTATAACCTACTGGCACCCTCCTTAATAAGAGACACTGTTCGCAAGACAGTCTGAGTTATCATTTTCATTTCAGTTTTCAGAAATCGGTCATCGACAAAGGAAAATCACGGGGGTAACCACAGCGCCGACAAATTTTCGACTGCGAAACACCGAATTACTAGATCCCTTCTCAAAGATGCTAGTCTAACATTCAGAGTTTGGCTAAGAGTCATGTTATGTGATTTAATGATTAAAACATTTATGGTGATGACAGTGTGACAGTGAAATCTGAACGCGTTTAGATTACACTGTCATCATCATAACCGTTTTAATCATTATATCACATAACATAATTCCATAACTCTTAGCCACGACTGGCACAACAAACATGGCGCGTCGATGGAACTGTCGCGTGTTTTCTCCCTTGATTATCTTACCATTATTTGGAATTTTGATCACGATATCTTTGGTAGAAAGAAAGAAAGGTAAGGTAATGTACTAACTACGAAAATTTGAGACCATAATGAGGCAAAGGCGATGCTTTTTGCCACGTCTTTATAGAGAACTCTTACGACTGAAACTTTTGACCCAAGAAAGTCGTCTTGGAATTAACAACCTAAGCATTTATGAAATTCATTAAATGCGGTTTTTTAGAATTTACTTTCAGAAACATGTCTAACCTGCAATGTTTGTTCCACGAAATAACTTTTTTGCTTCAGTTTAAGAGCCAGTACTGGTCAAACAGTTGCCATCGAACAGAAAACGTCAGACGAATTCAGACAATTCATTGTTCTTGTGGTAGCCTTTGTTACGGTTGAAACAAGCAGCATTGCATTTTTTGCATTATCCAGCGCGTAGAACATTTTCAAACGACTACAAACATATCGTGTGATTTTAGTAACTTCAAGAGTTCCCCTACAAACAATCGCTTTCATCGGACAATGCACGAAAAAAAATTGCCCATGTCTGGAGAAATCCTACCTGACATGTGGTCGGAAACGAGTGATGACCGGACAGATCAAATACTATAAAAGACTATCAAGTTGAAGCTGAGATTTGCATAATAATTAAAGAAATTACAAGTCAACATAAAGTATGTGTTAAAACTATATTTTTTGTTCTGCTTTGTGTGACCACAAAAATTTCCTTTGTTCCGTGGTTGAAAATAGAGTTTGAAGGCATCTCGCCAATTGTTTTCTCCTTTCTCAAGCTTATATATATTATAAAGATTAATAGTCTCCTCAGCTCAAGAGATTTGTGCCTTGTGGGTAGAAGCGTTGCGTGAATTCTCATAGAATGTTCACGCATCTCAGCGTTGGACCACGTGACTCAAATAAATTGGCCTCAGCTCGCTTAAAGAAAGTTGCCAGTTTGTTTCTGGTCAGCCTTTTCCGATTTAAAATCATCAGATTTATCAAATTCGGCATTAATCAGGTTTGTAAACTGAAAAAAATCCTTTTTTGTGTTAACTCTTGGACAACCGCCTTGGTCATCTTCGTTCCATGTACGAAAATGCATATTTTCCTTCCTGGACCCTTTTCATTTCCACTGCGAATTTCGCCACAATTCGCCAAACAAGCTCCTTAATTAATTACATCCAGTTAGCAGGAAAATATTCCCTTAGTGTTGCAAATGTCTTTTTAAGGCTTTGTTCGGATAGCTGTTCGTTTCGATATGTGACTCGCCACTTAAGATCTAGCCTGTACATAGACGTTGCTTTGTTTTTCTTTTCGATAATGTCTATACTTTCTTCTTCCCCCACCACTACCCCCTTACGGTAATTTTATCACGCGCGCTCGGCGGACATTTAAGAGAAAACAGAAGGTCTGTGAACAGGTTACTTAAGGTCGAGATCAGCGCGGCGTAGTCCGCTTAGCCTGCGAGCAAGCTCTCCATTTGTGGAACTCGCGAGAAATCTTCGCCCGTCGCCTGAGCGTTCTCGTCGATCGCTTCGTTAGCCAGAAATGGAGAGCACAGTCCGCTCCGAAATCACCGTTTTTATGTGAACAGAAGCTCCATCCGGATGGTTTTCGTGCCGGCGCAAAAGCTATCCGGAGCCCATCCATTCCCAGGCTAGTTTGCCAAAAACCATTCCAAGATATAAAGTTGGCGAAAGAGCCTCGTGAAAAAATATTTTGTTTTTTCGTTCAAGCGTTTAAGGGAATCTAGTTTGTCTTGAAGCAATTCTCTCTTGAACAAGGCCATTGATGGTTGGAATGAGATATAGACGCCTCTCTTTTTTTTCAGTTTCAGAAGCGATCGCAATCGGGGCTGATGTACCAGTAAGTATAACAAAATACATGCAATGAATTTGTCAAAATATAGCGCGTAATGGGCCCCAATTAACTGCCAGCGGTTAAACAGTCACATGGGCGTACAGAAACACATTGCTGAGCGGCGTTTGTCGCAGTAGTCTGCGAAATAGATGATTTCGAAGGCTATTGTCGCAGTTAGGCAAGAAAAACATAAGAGATCACTTTATTTTGATTGAATACCACGAATTTCCTTTCTCGGGTAGAGCTTTGTTTATCGTTTGATCAAGATAACTAACAAAGTGACTATCGTGTGGACGTTTGTGTTATTTCCCAATTAGTATTCTATTGACTTTTTTGTGTCTATTGACTGGTTAGTAACTAACACAGTTATTATTATCATTATAGCCACAATCATCATTAAATGACTAAACGAACCCTACACAATAAACTTTCAGTACCCTTATTTTCTCTCAATTCTCTATGGAGACTCTGCACTAAAATAACCTTAGATCTCCATTCCGTAACCATAGGACCCCGCATATAGTTCGTATAGTAGCAATCCAATACCAGAACGTGTATTATTGGAGTCACTTTCTTTTCCCAGTAGCCTGCTCAGTCTTTAAGTTCGGCGTAACGTACACTTCATTTCGCCTCCCACCCACCTTCACGTGTTGTTGAAATAAATCTCGGCCAGGAGCTCTCCGCTTCTATCGCCTCGGGCTGAGTCTCTCATATCTAGACCGATATCGAGTCCGATCTTTTATTAGTAGTTGAATGTCCCCCAGCAAGGTGTTTTTGTACGACCTGACTGTTTAGATGCAAAGGACCCATTGTGTCCATTAAAAAATGATATAATCCAAATGTTTTTTTTAAACAAATGTTCAACCTAATATTTGGGGCTTTAGGCCCTTATGTTATTTTCTTGGTCATTAGAATCCGTTGAGGCCAAACTCTTACCGTATTTATTCGAATAAGCGCCCAACCTCCAATTAGCGCCCACCCCCATCCAATCCCCTTAAACACAAATAAGCGCCCACCCCCACCTCAGCCCCTTCCCCCTCCCACCACCGCAAATATTGAATAACAGAGTATTGTACAGAAACGTTGCTTTGTTACATCTTCGCTTTTTTATTACCATTAATTGTTTTGTTGCAAAATAAACATACTACACTTGCTGAAAATGGTGAAAATTTAATACCGTATTTATTCGATTAAGCGCCCTGGGCGCTTATTAAATTTTTGGACCTTGAGAGTGGGCGCTTATTCGAGGCTGGGCGCTTATTAAATTTTCACCATTTTCAGCAAGTGTAGTATGTTTATTTTGCAACAAAACAATAAATGCTAATAACAAAACGTGAAGTAACAAAGCAAGGTTTCTGTAAAATACTCTGAGGAAAACTCCGTCCTCGGGGAAGTCTCTTATTAGAATTTATTCATTCAAGTGGGTGGGGTGCGGGTGAGCGCTTATTTGAGTTTTATTGGGAGGAGGAGGGGGTGGGCGCTTATTAACTTTTTCTGCCTTTAGGGTGGGCGCTTATTCGAGGTGGGCGCTAATTCGAGGTTGGGCGCTTATTCGAACAAATACGGGAGGCGCCCGGCCTCGAATAAGCGCCCACTGTCAAGGTCCAAAAATTTAATAAGCGGCGGTTAATCGAATAAATATGGCATGCAGTTTCCTATCAGAAAAAGAATACAAAAATATCAAAAACTAAACTTTCAGTTCACTTCACAAAAACTCTTGCACTGACAATATGAACAAAACTGTTCACAGTCCCTTATTTTTCCGAAAGATCGTCGAGATATTGCGCGTCCTACCGTTAATGGCGGCCATCTTGATTTTCAAGTGTGCTGAGGAGGCGGGAGTCGGGGATTATAGCTCTAGGGGGAGGGAGACGAATTTTTTTTTTCTTTCCTCCTCCCAAACCGTCCCCCGCCCCCTTAGTAGATTAGACACTCATCCAAGATGGCCTCCCGTAACCGAACTCTTCAATCTCAACGGTCTTACGGAAAAATAGGGGACTGTGAACAGTCTAATACAGTTGCTGCGCCATAACTTTCCTATTACAAAGTAGCTTGGACTAAGAAACCTTAATCTACCCATGACAATTAAGCGGGACATGTTTTTGACATGAAATAAAACCCACGTTTTCCAGTTAAAATCAACAAATGACCAAAGAAAAATTCTGGAGTGGGCAGGTTCCCCGGGAGGGGGGTGGGGGGTACTCCATTATATAAGCCATATAGGTATGTGCCGCCCAAAAGGGTAGGGTTTTTGCCCCGGTTTGGTCTTAAAATGGGTGTAGACTTTGCCCCCTTTGGTCTGGAATCTGGTCCATGGTTTTCGAAGGAACTACGGGAGTGTATGAACGTGTTTTACGGTGGCGGAACCGGAAAACAGAATCACAAAACCCTAAAACAGAATCGCAAAACCCAAAACAAAATCACAAAACTCAAAACAGAATCACAAAATTCGAAACAGAATCACAAAACCCAAAACAGAAACACAAAACTCAAAACAGAATCGCAAAACCCAAAACAGAATCGCAAAATTCAAAACAGAAACAAAAAACTCAAAACAGAATCACAAAACTCAAACTTGTGGGAGGACACAGTAAGATCTATTTCCAAAACCGCATTCAAGCAGAATCATAGCTTGAAGGTTCATTTTATTGGGGAAGAGGCCGCGGACGAAGGAGGACCAAAGAGAGATTTCTTGCGTCTCGCAATGACGGCTGTCTGCAATTATTCCGGGGTGCTACAAGGCCTAGAGTGTCGGAAAACCTTTAGCAATAATCCATTGTTGCTGGAACGTAAGGCCTATTACTGCGCTAGTCTTGTTACTGGAATGTCACTTCAACAGGGGGGACCAGGACTACACTGTCTTTCACCTTCGCTGTTTGACTATTTTGTAGCTGGCCCATCTTCGTCCAGGGCAATACCACTGGATGTGGCAGACCATGACATGAGAAAGAAAATTGAAAAGGTAAAACTGGCAGACGCGCGTCTACATGAATTAATGATAACTCGTACATAGAAATAAAAACGTTAGCGAGAAACTTTAAAAAAGGGAAAAAAATTGACACAGCATCAACCTAACGTAACTGAATTTTAATTTCAGGAATCGCAAAAATGTTAAGTTAAACTCTTCTTCAAGCTTGTTCGTTTCGTGTCAATCGAGGAAACTTATCGCAGACGTATTATCAGCGCGTCTCATCAATCCAAGTCCTTTAACACGGGATGCCTGTTTTTGCCACTTTATTTTTAGCGCAAACCTTCCCGCTGCTATCATCAGCTTACATGTTCTTTTTGTTTTGCAGATATCTGAAGCTGTCAGTAAGAACCAATTTGATCGAGCAGTAAGAAAGGAGTCTGAATTCATTATCGAGAGTGGAATTAGTAAAATTAATTGGGATTTTAGTTAAAAGAGCGAACTAGAGCCTCTCTTGACTAGAGTTATTGCTGTGTAAAAGTTTAGTCATTTATCGTAACAAGGGAGCCTTAGATCAGTTTCTTGAAGGCCTTCAGCGGGTAGGCCTTATAAACTATCTCAAGGAAAATCCAACAGGGCTTAAAGACGTGTTTTGTATGTCACCCTTTCCTCTTACTGTGGATTCCTTTCGGATAAACTATTCAGATCCTAGCAACAACAGAGGCAATCAGGCAAGAGAGGGGGAAGAGGCCACCATTTTGTGGTGGGAAGAGTTTTTGGACAACCTCGATCAGTCCGATCCACAAGGACTTCTCCCGCAGCTTTTAATTTTTATCACGGGTGCCGACAACATTCCCGTTTTGGGATTTCCCAAAAATATTGACATCGATTTTTTTGATATAGAACCCAGGTCACGTTGTTTTCCTACGGCTTCCACTTGCGGCCTACAGTTGCAATTACCAAGAGGCATTCACTCCTTTGATGAATTTGAGGACTTACTGTTCGAGCTTTAAAAGAGGGCTCCCATGGTTTTGGTAAACTTTAGGAAACGTTAAACTACGAACGTGGGTTTTCAACAAAGGGACCACTAGGTGGACTATTGATCTAAAGTTACTGTAACAGTGTGATGAAGGATACAATCAAGAAGGCTGTATTTTGCTCGATTTAAGGAAAAGTACGTGTATTGCGCAGTGAAGCAACCACAGAGGCTATTTTATACATAATGTTCATTCAAAAATCATTTATCTAACTTGAGTGCCAAATTGTCAATAAACTTGATTACTCTAATACTCTATTCTTCATTGATATCTTACTTTAGTAATAAAATGTATTAAGCAAGCAATTCTTCCCTGGCGTTATTCATGATGATTTATGCCAGTTCGAAAGGATTGTCGTGAACATTCTAGTTATGGTCAGTCGGAATGCCTCCTTTTCTTACTTTCTCCTAGATTACATTGCAAGCTGCGAAAGGTCAAAGTATAGTTTCAGTGCTTCTTCCCAGTTGTTTGGCGGGAGATAGCCTCGATTATTCATTAGGTATCGCGCCTAGGCATCGAAATCAGAGCTGCCACTCAAATTAACTGGTTTTTTGGCCCGTAAAACTTTAACAGGCGATGAAGGCGTCAACATGTCTTCACCACCTATAAGGAGAATTAACTGCACAACATCAAGTTACTAGTGAAAATAATAACAGCAAATTACGATAGAATGAGGAGTTATCTCAGGGAGAGAATGTTCTTAGTAGATAGGTACCTAACAGGAAAACCAGTCGCAAAACACTACGAATTTTTACAAAATTTTCTTACAACTTTCGTCCTGATTGGGCAAAATCCGCTCTTTGTTGTATAATCCTTAAATGAGACTGGTTCAGGCTTTTACGGAAAGGCATTTACTCTTTGTATTATAGTTTTGACATACTATTTTGTTTTTACAGACAGTGACGGTCACATCAGCGCAGGATCTTTTGCTGACTAAAGCTGCTGAAAGACAAGAAATGAGAAAACAACAACTGAAAAACTATTGCCTAAAACATAATGATCAAAAGTTACCCTGGGATAAAAAACGAGAACTCAAGCAATTTCTCATCGACGATGACAATAAATTTATTTACTGTGCCGTTCCTAAGGTGGGAACCACACCCATGAGGATGACGCTACTGCGTTTGAGGAACGACAGCAGATTAAAACTTACGGAAGGTTCAGTTCATTCTCCTAAGTTTTGGAGACGTTTAAGTGATAAAGAATTCAACGCAACGGAGTTATCTAAGCGGCAAAATACACATTTCAAGTTTTTGTTTGTTCGCGAGCCGTTTCACCGACTTTTATCTGGCTACAAAGATAAATTCATGGGAAGAAACAGACGTTACACCAATCGATTTCGTAAACTGATAGTGAAAGCTTTGAGGCCAAAGGACGAGGAGAAGGTTGCAACAGAGACAAATAACGTTAAATTCACCGAGTTTCTTACGTATCTCTTATCTGATAGAAACCCGACGATTCACGATGGTCACTGGAAGCAAGCACAAAAACTTTGCTTTCCTTGCGCTTTTGACTTCGACTTTATTGGCCATTTTGAGACGCTTCAAGAGGACGCCAATTATTTGCTGATCAAAACAGGTTTTAATGGCCGTGTTAAATTCCCAGTTGTACGCACGTCACAGGTTTCTAGTGATTTTTTGGAGTATTACTCAGAAGTTCCAAAGGAAATTATATTCAAGCTTGGAGAAGCTTTCAGAAGTGACTTTGAAATGTTCGGTTATGCATTCCCCGGAACTCTAAAAAGTTTACTCAAAAACTATTTTAGAAATAGTACCCAAGGTTAAATTCCCTGTTTCGAAAAAAGATATGAGATTGGATAATATATTTTATTACCAGGGCATTCAGCTGAAAGGATATTAATTAGTGCAGCCATAGAACAAATTGCAGATTCAGCCTGCATTGCGAACAACTCCAACCTCGTCCCCAAGCTCCTTTTCTACTCCTCGAGCGAGAGAGAGAGAGTGGACCCTGGGAACGAGGTTGAAACAACCCCAACCAACGTTAATGCGTTTTCAAAAACCTTCTTCTTTTTCGTGTAACAAAAATCCATTGAAAGCTCTGCGTCGAGAAACATAACTTGGCGATAAGTTTTTGTTTCCAGGATATTGGGAGCTTAAGCAATCACGACGACGGGCATTTGTCCGTTTCGTAAACGGTCGCTGCCACTTTTGAGACACTTAGAAATTTTTTGACCTGCCATTAAGAGCGTTTCTATTAACAAAAAAAAGAAAATAGCAACCCAGGGTCAAACCGGGACCTCGCGCCGAAGCCGTAACCCTTGTATCCTAATTTCTCTACAGCTAACCCTTACCACTAAACCACCACACCGATCCGCCATCATTAAGGCCTGTCCCAATTGTGCTCGGCAACTTTTGGTGTTGGAGCAACTTTTTGTGTTCTAGCAACCTCGAGAAAATTTTGCCTCTCTGAGCAAGTTTTGAGCAAAATATAGGTTTAGGGTACATATCAAGCACGAAAAAGTCAACGATTTCGTAGAAAACTTCAATTTTTTTTAAATTGTTTTATTTTTTTATTTTCATTATTTTCATTTTTTTTCTTGGCCGATGTTGGTAATTATTGTGAAGAACGAAAAATAAAGCTTTTAATTAACGTTTATGCAAAAATATCAACAAATTTAGGTAGCAACATTTTGGATTTTTGGCAATTTTTTAGCAACTTTTTGGCATTCCAGTGAGCAACTTTCCAGCATTTTACGAGCACAATCAGGAAAGGCCTAATCTCAAGTCTGAAGCTCAAGTAGTAAACGAAAAAGAATTCGAGTTAAAGGGGTCTGAAATCTATAAAAGTAACACGCTGTTAGACTAAGAATAATTTTACTGACTACAAAGGTAAAGCTAACACAACTGTTGCTAGTTCCTTAAAACCGTTTCCTTTGTTTAGGCCGTGCCACTCACTGAAATGTCAACTGTATTTATCTTGAAAAAAAAGTGGGATTTCTTACAAAATATTTAATATCATTCGCTTTGGGATTTCTTACAAAACTATTAGATATTTTATTTCATTCGCGCTGCCATGTATGTTTTCTCTCTGTTATATAGTAATACAGTTATGAAAACCAAAATGGTCTCACGTAATTTTCTCTTTTTTTCTCTGTGTTAATCGTAGTTGTAATGTTTATTTTGTTCATTACTATAGTGTTTGTGTAACTTGTTATTTGTTAATCTGTAACCAAGATCTCTCGTTAACTTTGTCAATAAGAGATCTGGGCGCGAGATTAGTAATTTGTAAGTTGAATAAAGTAAATTTAAAAAACGAAGAAGGAAAAAGAAATGTCAACTGTGTAAATTCATAGGCAAGGTTTTTTGTTTAAAGAGGACAAGGAAAATTGCCCCTTATGTTACGTTCCACGTAAAACAATTGAATATGAGAGAATTTGACGCGGGAGTTGTTGTTTGGTAGACACGCAAAGGAAAAAGAAACAAGCTGTGAAACGCACGAGCAAAAACCAGTTTTTTTTTGCTCGTCAAAAGTCTGTTCTCACGGTTTTTCTGTTCTATTCTCCCCGTGGTAATTTTAAAGCCTGGCAAAAAACTCACCTGTTTGCACTTTTGTTTAAAAAAAGACCATATGAATTTCTTTGAGAAAAGTAACAAATTCTTTTTTCCGATATTTGTAGCATCTAACGCTACTTTTTGAAAAAATCTGAAATGATTCTCTGGTTATTGGGAGTGGAAATTTTAGCTTTCGTAGAAGCAGACGCTTGTTTTTTCCTGGGTGAAATGAAGCCAGAACTTGAGGTTCGTTTTCTGGCTGAACTTGAGAAAGATGTTTTGTTTACTGTCGACGAAGAGCTCCTTTGTCCTAATGGTGGATCGTTATCTCCTTGCTCTAAACCGTCAGGTTTGGGAAACAAACTTTCCTTCTCTTTACCGGGCGCTGAAGCCTTTTCAGAATCAGAACCTTCTTTTTTCAAAGCAGTTTTTTCTGTTTGAGACTCTTGTACCGCTTTTGAACAAAACTTCAGCATTCCTGAGTTGGAGATTTTCTCCTTCCAGTTGTAAGCCAACGACGGACCCAGTTCTTTTGTCAGATTCTTGGAATTGATGATAGGCTAGTAAAAAAAGGTAAACGATTGAACAAGTTTAGTCTTTCTGTAAACGATTACTCGCTTCTTATGATATAGCTTTAGTACAGCGGAATGACCTCTAAAAATTTCGTAACACCATCACGGTTTTTAACTCTCCAATGACCAAAATCACGGAAATTTGGTCTCATTGTTTGCACTCTATGGATCTACCTCGGTGTAAGTGACTTATAGAGGAAACGACGGGCTGCTTCGTAAAATCAATGTACAATTGGACGACAGTAGTTTCATTTTTTTGTCCAGCAAATCGTCAAGTTTGTGGCCTCACTGCGGAAACCGTGTTCGCAAAGGGAACTGTTATAGATTCTTCAGATATGGATTCGAGGAATATTTCAATTCGTTTAAGCTTTCAACCGTTACGGTAAAAATGGAAACAGCTACAAAAGTTTGTTTGCCTAAGAGCTCTGGTCTAAGCTTGTAACCCCTATTTCATTTAGGTACTATTGCTTAACAATTTACGGCAGAAGTCATTAAAGTTAAAGATCTCACATCTTTTAAGAAACTGTAATCTAAATTGCCCTTTCTGCTCATTGTAATAATTATTGCTATTATAGCATTTATAAATTGGTATTGCTTCTCACTTATACATATATATTTATACTTAGATCATGTAGTATCCTAATCGTACTTTTTATTTCTATTTTTTCATTAACTGTGGAAGCAACTTTTTTTATTTCATGAGAGGCCTGGGGGTAAGATGAACTATGATAATGTCCATGCAGCTTGTAATTTTTGAGCTGTAGTGGAGACGTATATATTTAAGGTACATTTAATAGAAAGTGCCGGGAAAAAAGAATAGAAAATGCAAAGAAACACACCTGATCTTCATGGTCTGTACCCCACATGAAATATATCGGTCCTCGTATTTTCCCCTGTAATTCGGGCGAACGCAAACGTTCTTCCCAGCTGGTAAAAAGAGACCAAAAAAAGTGCATTTGGCTTTTAGCTACGGCAACGAATGTGTTCTCATTTTTCGGGTTTAAAATGGTTGTTGTAATTAGCCACTTGAAGTTAGTTGGCGGTAGTCGCGTTATTAACCCGATTGTGAAAACAAGGTACTTGCACTAACATTAACACATTTACCGGATTGTCGTATTTAAACCTGAGGTGATGTGGTCGTATTAGAGTTAGTCGCATTTAGCTGAAGGGTTCGGTTATAAGAGGAGAAATTTCTAACATTGCATTGGATAATTGTAAATATAATCTTTGTAATCGGAAAGAGCGAGAGTATTTTTATTCTTGGTTTGTAACCACGTGACAAGGCGGCCATGTTGGTGGTCAATACAATTCAAAATTTTCACATAGACCATAATTTACCTTGTTTACCCAGCAAAATTTTGCACAATCATTGTCTTTGATTTCTCTTGGGACGAATGTAATGCCCAGGAGAAATTGGAAACAATTCATGGTTATGCAAAATTTTAGGAGGTAAGCAAGGTGCATTATGGTTTATGTGAAAATGGTGAATAGATTTTCTCGAATAATTTTCATGAAAATGGAGTTTAGTTCCAGAGAAGAGAAATGCTTTGTTCCTCACCACCAACATGGCCGCCTTGACGTCATGTGCAAACCAGTAATACCAGCAAATCATATCGGTTCGAATGTTCGGGAAATGAGCCCGCGCTCCTCCCGGCAGGCGGCGGAAATCGAACCCAAGTAATTCAAACTCCGCAACTAACAGAAAAATATAGTTGAATTTCAAGCAGGTAGAAAGAATTGGAACAACAATTTAGCCTTCGCTCGCATACCTTTTTATTTCTTCTTCGTCCAGTACGCGATGTTTTCCTGTCCTTCGATGCACGCGAACATAGGCAAAGTCACATGACCCAAGTTCCATGACGATTGGGACCACCCCCGAAACTGAATCCTGAAAAAAAAAATGCTTTTGTGTAACCCATGATTGAAACGATGCGATCATTATTCTTAAGGAAATAAATAATAAAACCGAACTCCAACGCGCTTGAAAAATTTCTAACTAATTTTCCAACGCGCTTGAAAAATTTCTCTTGACAATTTTTCGCATATGCAGACTGTACACGTATTTCTATATTGTAACTGCGTAGAATACTCCCTTGGAGGTGCGCACATTATAGAGGCTGCGGATTTGGAACTAAAAACCTTACGATCCGACAACGGCGACGTCCATGAAAATCTTGCTGAAAAATAGACTCCACATCCTTTCAAACCATTTCGCGATTATCCCGAGTCGCCCAGTTACTTAAAAGAAGGGAATTTATGTTGGAACTGAAGAGAGGGGGCCGCACCAGAGTTTAGACGGGGATGGTAGAATTTATCGCCTTGCCGTTCCCCTCCTCATAACAACTTAAAATTCATTTTTTCACGTCGTAGTCGTGCAGGGACGGCAAGGAAATGTACAAAAAAAGTGTGATGCACGTACAGAGTTGTTGTGTTGCTAACTAAAACCATTGCTTTTTGACGTTGCTGTTGCCGTTGCCGTCTCCGTCGCCGTCGCCGTCGTAGTTTCGTAACGTTCCTACTACTAAAAACTGGACATTATTCCAGCCGCGGAGTCATGTTAGAATTTAATATATCGAACGTGGGCTATTAGATATGACGGACTCAATTGATTCTAACGTTGATCTCAGGATTAGATTCGGTACATGACGACGTTTGAACAGGGCCTAGTTTTGAAAAATAACTAAAGACATTGAATTAATTGCTCTGCCATACAAAAATCAACCCTACCTTCTTCCCCTGATGATCTCCAACGCTGTTCTTGTCAAAGTACAGCTGTGGATGTGTTATAGATATTACAGACTTGGAATCAGTTTCATCGCAAACTCAGGGCAAATGTGAGATTCAAGTTTAAAATTTCTCAAATTAGGAGAGGATCAGATAAAACCTCCAAAATAGGCTATCTCATTTTCACATCGACCGGTTGGTCAGTCTTTTAAAAGCATCCAAATACGCAGACGCAAAGAAACATCTGATTATCGAAAATGATAAGACAAGATTGGTTTGTTAAAACTGAAATGTCAGCTACCTATTGCCAAGCTGAGAGGATTCCAGTAAAGTAGCATACCTCATTTTGCAGATCGTCAGCGACAACCAAACCTAAATAAAGGTTGGAAACATATAGAGAGTATTGGTATATCTCTTCGATTTAGGAATGTAAAACTGAGTAAAGTTAAAAGTAGTTTTACTCTAAATAGTGTTGCTTTTGTATTCTGATAAGTAACTCTATCAATCACGCTGGTACTGATGAAACACAAAACAGCATCTACTGAACATTTAGTAAGGCCTCGTCCACACTTATCCGCGGACTTTCTAAAAAACGGAAATTTGTTTCTCCGTTTTCCGTAAAATACGCATCCACACATAGCGTATTCGAATCGTTTTTGCCCGTCCCTTAGAGAACATGCGCTGTATGATGTAGGGCATCATCGTGTTCAAAAAATTCCCTTTTCGTTCGTCCACACGAAAATGATAATTATAAGCACTATAAGCCGGTTTTATCTAAAAAACTCTACTCTGGGAACCGTTTTTGAAAACCTGCGTTTTTGGTCCCCGAAAACTCCGTTTACGTGTGAAGGGAAGGCCACAACGGAGAAAAAATTATCCGTTTCCAAAAATATCCGGATACGTGTGGACGGTGCCCAAGGTATCAGAAGACAAGTAGAGGAGTGAACACTTAAAACGCAAGGTCGTTGTGATAGCCAGTTGCAAAGTGTTCTTATGAACAAAATGTCCTAACCCTATTCGGACTATTCGCTCCTAGAAAAAAATGTTAAGGATGGACTGTTTGTAATTCTAACTTTCATAACGTCCTTTGGCAGAACTTTTGTCTTGTAAAATTAATTTTATTTTATTTTTTTGTTTTGTCACTAATGGGATTGAAAAAGATAAAATACACAGAATTCTGTTGAAATTCATTTATAGAAAGTACAGCACGAAAAAAAACAGAGTATTTCAATAGAGAATGTTAAAAAGATCAGTTTTTTTCAAATTGTTGCAAAATGAAACTCAACGAACTTACCCAGGTTATGCTTTGTCAGCCAATCCAAGGTTGAAGATAAGTGTTCGGTTGAAAACCAAACCCTGGATCGAAACTCGACAGCCATGAGGTAACGAACATCAAGATATTTCCTACACTCTTCTATGTGCCTCTTATTTTCTTCTGTGGGTTGATAGCCTAAGTGAAACTACAAAGATTTTGTTTTTTCAATTTAGTTATCAAATGAAAACGAGAAGTTTTTCTACTGTGTATGTAAATGAAAAAAAGTATTTAATTATAATGTTTGAAATGCAGTTGGTGGAGTTCTGTAGATGATAGTATTTTGTAGATTTGATAAAATTCGTATAGGTAATANAAAAATGTTAAGGATGGACTGTTTGTAATTCTAACTTTCATAACGTCCTTTGGCAGAACTTTTGTCTTGTAAAATTAATTTTATTTTATTTTTTTGTTTTGTCACTAATGGGATTGAAAAAGATAAAATACACAGAATTCTGTTGAAATTCATTTATAGAAAGTACAGCACGAAAAAAAACAGAGTATTTCAATAGAGAAAGTTAAAAAGATCAGTTTTTTTCAAATTGTTGCAAAATGAAACTCAACGAACTTACCCAGGTTATGCTTTGTCAGCCAATCCAAGGTTGAAGATAAGTGTTCGGTTGAAAACCAAACCCTGGATCGAAACTCGACAGCCATGAGGTAACGAACATCAAGATATTTCCTACACTCTTCTATGTGCCTCTTATTTTCTTCTGTGGGTTGATAGCCTAAGTGAAACTACAAAGATTTTGTTTTTTCAATTTAGTTATCAAATGAAAACGAGAAGTTTTTCTACTGTGTATGTAAATGAAAAAAAGTATTTAATTATAATGTTTGAAATGCAGTTGGTGGAGTTCTGTAGATGATAGTATTTTGTAGATTTGATAAAATTCGTATAGGTAATAGCATGATTTGTAGTGATATTTGGCATAAATACCACGAGTGATATTTCAAAATTGTTTTACGTATTTGAGACAATTTTGAAATATCACAAGTAATATTTATGCCTAATATCACATACAAATCATACTATTATTTGTTTATACTACTACCCGCAAAAGGGTTGTAATTTTCACATGTAGGTATTTCAAATTAAGCTGAAATACCACTGCTCTAAGCCAATCAAATTGCAGAAATTATTCATGTAGTAGTATAAAAACTGTAAGTTTTTATAGTCATAATAGCCTCTTTGTAATTCTTACTGTAAGAACCCTCAACACTTATGAGTGATACAAAACAATGGAAACAAGGAAGTCAATACAATATAGAGCCGCATAGAAAAACTTGACAGTTACTACACAGAGATAAATAACCCTTACAACTTTTACAGTGAATCTTTTCATTTTTACACAAAAGCCCCAGGGTGATGTTTTGAACCTTCCCTAAGCAAAATATCTGATGCATCGTCTGATCTCTAATGTTCTTTTTATACATGTACTATGCTACTCAGAATATATACAAAGAACTTCTAGTAACAACATGGATTTTCAAATAGATAATTTTTACACATATTGCATGCAATAAATTGCCTCCCAAAATGTCATTGTGTCTGAAGTGGTCTCCCTGTGGTGTGGTCTTCATGAGTGACAAACTCCTGTAAGCTATCATTAAATCTTTGGTGTGTGACAAATGCAGACTGCAGACTTGCAGACTGGCAAGTAAACAAGGAAACTATTGTTGTGGAATGCTTTAACAGTTGCCTACCCCTAAAGTTTAAGTCATTTAAAAGTCTAGTTTAGGGATAGGGAATCTGCTAAAGCATTTCACAACAAAGTTTTGGCTCATTTACTTGCCAGTCTGCAGTCTGCGTTTGTCGCACTCCACCAAATCTTTGCATTTTGGGTGGCCAATTAAAGGGGTTTTTAACTTTGTTTCCAACTGAAAATGCCAAGCCTTGTCTAGATTTCTCCAAGAGCATGTGCATCTCTTTATACTGACATATAGGAGTATTAGCAGTTGTTGAATTCAGCTTTCATATATTCTGAAGAATTTTACAAATCAAGGAGGGTGTTATCTGCTGCAACCAAAGGGCAAGGCAGATAACTCCCTCCGAGATCTGCATAATTCTTCAGATCATACAAAAGCTGAATCAAATTTATTACTCATTCAAAATATTTCATAAAAACATGCTTACCTCATTACCTCAACCTAACAAGTTATTGAAAACAATTAGCACGTTGGATTTGAACCAATTAGAAATGAAAAAATAATTCGAATGAATAACGATAGTTGCTATGGGTAAATGTAATTACCTGAAAGACCACTACTCCCAGTTTATTTCTCTGATGAGCAGGGAGGAGTGCAGAGTTAAATCTGTCCCATAGTTTCTGCTTTTGTGTCTGTGTCAATTCTTCCCATAAAATTGAGCACTGTTGCCTTGTGATGCTCTCTGGAAACTCATCTCTGACCACATGTGGAAGGGCTGAAGGAGATATTGACTGAAAATCAATCATAAAAAATCAAATTATTTTTGCTTCTTGACATTAAAGGGATGAAAAAGAGTTCAGCCTGGTCATCAAGGATAAGTAGATTTTCTTGCTAGGTGAGTAACTTTTAAAGGAAAGGTAGATTTTCTTGCTAGGTGAGTAACTTTTAAAGCTCCAGTCATATTGTGCAATATTAAAGTAAGGGTCCAGGCAAGTGAACCTGTTTGTAATTAAATCATTATCTGAGACAAGCAAGCAATAACCCAGGGCAAGGAAATGAGAGAGCTATCCTCAACTTCTCCAAAACTGAAATTCAATTTCTTTTTCCAGCCCCCACTGTCTTGCATATTAGGATGTCTGCAAAAATCACTGGATTCAAGGATTTCTCTAAATTATCAGCTCAAAACAGTGGATTACACAAAGCCTAATTCTTTCATTCAGAGACGTCAGATCAAGTGAAAAAAATGTATTCAATAAATTAAGAAACATCAACATGTCCTAGGGCATTAGATTTGATCATTTGCCCCAGGGGAAGGGGGTGGGCAAATTGAACAACAGTGTTTAAACAGGGGGCAGTGTAATCCAATGGTCCCAGATCGATGGTCCTGCTCCAAGCACTAGATGGATGTGTTTCTTGGTTAAGTACTGAGTGCAACTCCTTGGCCAAACTTGTAAGCAGCCAACTGGCTGCCTTCTGCCAGTTGTGATTTTTAATCCTGTTATCCTATTAATTTTAGATTACTTGTTTCTAATAGCAAGGAGTTTTACCGGAGTGTCTGTAAACTAGTTGGAAAGTTAAGTGAACGTTCACTATCAACAAATCTTCACTTTTTTATATTGGGATAGGAATTTGATACCATGCAAATGCATATGAAGAGTTGGTCATTGACAAATCAGTTCAATGCACCTTGATTTAAATCAGGGTAGAGTTGAAGGTGTTTGAGGAATTTAAGTTTAAGCCCTGTTATCGTCACGGCTAGAGAAGAAGGACTTGTGAAAAGATGACTTTGAAGGTAGCTGTATACTGTTGTTCTTTTGAATATTAATTATTTTAGTTAATTTTGCAAATTATGGGGACGGTGATGGTTGAGTTTCACTTGAGTTTTGTTCAGCATGTCACACCTGCTGTGTTCCAGCAAACAATGGAGGTTGAGGAATGAAAATCATTGGCTGGTTTGAAATTTCTAAAAAAAAAATTAAATAAGGAAGGGTCACTCCAACATTAATATCCACCCCCACACCCCTCCCCCTGCTAAAACACCCTTATCACTGCTTGTGCATTTTCTGAAGTGACATATGAAATAGACTACGAGTAGTCCCCCATTTGTCCTCAAGGACAGTAGAACGAGCGAACCGCAAATGCGCATGAAAATCACCCCACAGGAGAAAAGGCGACACGCGGTGGTAAAAGGGAAAAATCTCTCTCCCTACCGTGTTTTGCCTTCCTCAAGAGGGATGATTTTCACGCATGCTTGTGTTTTGCTCACTCTACTATCGCTGAGGACAAATGAGGGACTACTCATAGTCTATATATGAAAAAAAAAAGAATTTCTCAAAGACAAGATTTTCTGAAGGGGTCAGAAAAGGAAAATTTTCTGGACACATTTTCTCAAGAAATCTATAGCGTAACACTGGATGCTTAAGGCAGTTTTGAGAAAAGTTTACATTTTTCTAAGAGTTAAGGGTTTCACAAAAGGTTACGTAAGGATATCGCAAAAAAAAAATTGTTAGGTCTCCACAGGGGGGTACTCTTTAAGTCTGGCATACCCAGTCTAGGTATGCTAAATATCTTGTTGAGGGGTGCCAATTGCAGATTTTGATATCACTTACAGTGTTCTGTGGGCTGTGCTTTAAGGGATAGGGAGGCAGAAGAGTTAAATAAAAGAAAGTCAAGAAACAGGGAATAAAGAAGCATTCAAAGGCAATTTTATCGCAATTAAATTACTGTAGCTGTTATTAAGGCTGTCTGCCTTACAAGTGCATTTTTTAGGGTTGGATTCCATAACAAGCATCCCCATCCGTTAAACATGTGAGTCCCTACCCCTGGGGTAAAACTAAGGGCCCGTCCGGATACCCTAAACAAAAGGCATAGACAGCTAGCCCCCAATATGCCGGCCCTAGACACAGACCTAAGAAGGATCTTGCCCACAAACAAACTCTTACTTTTCTTGTAAAAAAGCCAAATGCCTTGAAGTGAAACTTGAAACCTGCAGGAACACACTTTACCCACTTTTCAACCGCGGCTGGACTAGGAATTGCATAGTTACTTGAGTCGCACTCGACACATGGAAAGAACCGGGAGTAATGCAACAAGCGATCCTCTGAAGTTTTCACAGAACCCGGGTAGAACCTTCCACACTTAACTATGGAAGAATCAGACCATCCACACGTTCCCTGGAACACTTTTCCTTTGCGATCGTCTTCAAGGACACTTTTCCCCGCCATTTTGCTGTTGCTCGAATGCAGCCTAGACACCCCTCCCTAAGCTTCCAATTCCACTGCGTGACCTGGCCTGGGACCAGCCAACAACAAGGCACATTTGTTTTCAAAATGGCAGTTAGATTACTGGAAGCCGGTTTCGACGAAAACATAAGTCCAGTAATTGAGCCCTGCCTTAAGCTCAAGGCATAAAACTTTGTTAAACGTTCTGATATCTTATATTTTACTTCATGTCTTCTTGGGCTGGATTTACGGACGAGGAGCTCTCCCGCTTAAGGCAGCAGAATGTACCAGAAGGGGATACCTCATGCGGAGGGCGAAAGAAAGCGACGATAAACTCTGCAAAAAGACAGCGACCTCGCGAGAAAATACGGTCAAGAACGCCTTCAGCAGATGTGAAACCATCACTTGATGGAAGGAAAGAAAATGCAGAGGAAAAAAGCTCCACATTAGGACGAAATAGAACTGCCTCAGATAGTAATGAAAAGGCGGCGAGGCAAATTGAAACAAGAGATGAAGAGAGAGAAAATTCCTCGCCAGAATGCGAACGACGTGTTTATAAGAAAAAGCAAATACCTGAAGAAGCTCACCCACAAAGAAAGGACGTGCAGAAAACAGATAACCTTCAGAAAAGTAAAGGGACAGAGGTTGACTACGTGGCCGAGAAAGATGCGATCAATGATCTCCCAGAAATAATCGACGAGAGTGACAGGTAAGTCTTCAATTAAAGCAGGTTTAAGGGAATGCCAATGTAACCTTAGATTATACTAAAAAAGTTCATCGAATGGTGTTTTGTTTTAATTTATCAGGCTCTATTTTATACTCTTTCCCTTTCCTGCGCTTAATGTGATTTAAACATTTAAGCTTAAATTAAATTTGCATGAATTCCACGATGACTCTATCCGGTATCCTAGAAACGTCAGTGTCAATTTTATTTTGACTTGTCTAGTTTTCGACATTTTTTTCTAGTGTATGAAATAATATATATATTATGGCAGTTATGGATAACCTGTACATGTCCTGAACTGAGTCAGAGGCACACTACTTGCATCAAGAACATTTTTGTTCATCCAAAATATTTTGAGGATGTTATCTGCAAAAAAAGACCAAGGCAGATAACACCCTCCAAGATCGTTCTTCAAAATCTTTGCATATTCTTCTTATTTTTTTTTCGGTATATTGCTTATTATGGTTGTTTCACTTAAACCGCTTAACTCAGAATTTGAATTCTCCAGCTTGCTGTAGTGCTTAGTGCTTTCTAGCATAATTGTTTTGCCAAAGCTGTTGCTTTCTGTTGATCCCCCATGAGCAGAAAGAAGGAGTGGGGGTTTTCCCTTGTATAAGCTGTAATGTTATGTATACTAAAAGGTATGGTTTTTGAGCCATTTTGGCTGGAAGTTGGATACAGATTAAATCGTTTTAAGGATTCACATAGGGTAAGGTTTTGTGCTCACTGCTGGGACCAGGGTCTGGAATTGGGCAATTTTTTTATCATTTATCTCTCAGGAGGGTGTTTCAGGTCTGCAGTGAGGTAGGGAACTTCTCACATTTGGATCTGAAATAGGCTAAGGGTCCCTGGGCATAATAATTATACTACACACCCTAATATCCAGATTTTCCAGGAGTTATCCACCATCCCTTTGGATTCTTGTATTGTGTGATTAGGGAGCTTAAGCAAGAATGATAACGACAGTCAGTCGGTGGTGAAAATGTTTCTTAAAAAGTGAAGTCACACTGTTTCACAAATTATTCATCGCTGATATTACATGTTGTTTAATTTTCAAGTGTTGGTAAATTCTTCCAAAGTTGAATTTTCAAGAAATGTATCTAAGTTTTAAAAAAAGAATTAGAGATCCATTGTCTTCTGTCCATGTGCTCAACAAAACATGAAGTTAGGCAGTTTCACGTCGTGGTTGTGCAGCAATGGCAAAGAAATGTAGAAAAAAGCATGATGCACCTTCAGAGTTATTTTTTGATTAATATCTAAACCTATTGCTTTTTGCTATTCTCATTGCTGTTGTCGTGTTTGCTTAAGTTCCGTATTAAGTCTAATAAAATCCTTTCCATTGTTGCACAATAAACTGATCTCATTGGTTCAGCAAAATGTTATTGGATGAATGATGTGAATCGTCCACCCCAAGCAAGAACAAGGCAGTTTCAGCATTAGCTCTTAGGCAAATACAAAATAAGGTCTACCTAAAGGAGGTTTTGTGAGCCCGCCAGACTAAGCAACCCTCACAAACCCTTGTTTTCACTAAAACTGCTGGACACAAAACCTCCCCTAAGTTGATGTTACATTTTCACGACCTGCTGTAGCTCTTATGACCTACAAAAGTGTCCATTTCATTCTCAGCCCTGTCTAATATTTTTTCATTTTTTCATGTTTGTTGTGGTTTTTAGAATACAGGCCATTGAACTGTCTGCTTGGGAGAAGATGCAAGAGAAACAAAAACAAATAGAACAAGAGAACAAAAGAAAGAAGGCAGCTTTACAGGAAACAATAAAGAAAAGGTGAATTCACAAAAATGAGAATATGGGTTTTGGAGACTTTGTTGAAGATTTATTGAAATGGAGGATGATGCTTTAAAGGATAGTTGTTTGAATTGTTTGAGTACCTCCTTACTTCACACATAACTGATATCACAAGGTCGTGCTAGGTCAAGAAAAGAAAATGTATAAAGGGCCCATTAAGTAGCTGTTGCATCCTCTTGCCTCCAGATCACTTAATTCCCAGTAATAATCAATGATGATGTCTTGCAAGGTGATCTTAACTTTTGAGTTTGTGCAGGAAATCTACGGTGTGACCATTCAAACAAAATCTCTTTGGCAGTATTTTCACATGGTAATATTAATGCTTTTCAGCATTTGACAAGAGTGAAATGTGAAATGCTGCTGTATTTTAAATTTCAGCCCTTTTGCGTGTAAAAGGGTTAAATAGAACTTTTACACACTGATAATGTATTTAGTTGCATGTTACAGTCAAAATGACAAAACAGTGAACACTTGAAATATTTCAAGAATGTTTATTACTGGTTTGACCAACCACAGCAAAGATCAGGACTTCCAAGCTAGCCACAAAACCGCCAGTTATTGTCACAGTAATATTTGCCTTAGTGCTTTATCCCCTTTGACTCTTCATTTATTACTTTTTGCTTCAGATATCAGAAAACCCAGGCTGAAGCACAAACTCTTTCTCTGGTTCAGAAAGAACTGAGTCATCTTGACAGCCTTCTGTCTGCTGATGTGGCAATTCTGAGAGATAAAATAGAGGAAAGTAGTAGAGAATATCTTCAAGCACAGTAAGTAACTGCAACATATTTATGTAGGGGCAAGGTACTTTTTATGAAATTATTATGAAATGTTACATTACCTTTCCTGTAGTGTAAATTATGATTGATGATTAGTTTTCTTGTACAAACGTAACAAAAAAAAATATCAACAGTGTCTGTGAATAATGTAATATCTATAGGCAAAATGCCTTTGAAAACACTGTGGAAAAGTTTGCATTTTGGTTCAGTGGGTAGTGTACATGTATGATGTTGTCGTATTCTCCTTTTAATTGCCTTTGGGCAAGTTGGCTTAAAAAGATAAGTTTGAAACAAAGTAAAAATTAAAGTTTGAGCTATGGGTAGAATTGAATGGAAATGTATATACTTCAAGACTTCAATTTATATAATTATTATGTTTTTTATTAAATCTGTTCTCAGGTTACACCAAAATATTTTCTTTCTGCTATGAATAAAAACTATACCCTGGGTGCTAGGGTTTTTTTTTCTTCCCTAATTCCTGATAGTTTGCAGCAAAGCCGCAACAGCGAGGTGCCAAGCGCAGAGAGAAAAAAAAGTTCAGTCTTTCTACAGACAAAGAAACATTGATTTAAAAACAAAGTTTACATTTTAAACATCTCATTTAAAAAATGGTCTGCTTGTACGTAGTAAGATCAGATATCTGTGTGCTACAAAGACTAATATTACACTTGCATGTTTTTAAGTCTAAACATATTTGTGGCGTTGAATCAAAATTGACTTGAGTGATCCCTAATTAAAATATTATTTCTATTTGTAGAAAAAGATATGAAAAGGCTGAACATGAATTTGTTGAGGCAAAGATGGATTTACATAGAAAAACGGAGCGTAAAGACTTGCTAACGGAACACCTTTACACCATCATTAGAGAAAATGAACTAAGAAAGGCCAGGAAACTAGAAGAACTCATGGTAAAGCTCAATGTGTCCCCTGACCATATACTTCTTGTGCAACAAACAGATTTTCTTGAGGTTGGGAATGATGAGTCAAGGACCAAACAGGATAGTGCGGAAATTTCTGTGTTGCAAGAAGAAAAAGCGAGTGTTCCAAGGCAAGGGCTGGATTCTGAATCAAAGGAATCCTGTCAGGTTACTAGTGGGGAAGGGACAACTACCAGTAGGGAAAACACGGAGGGTAACACTCGAAAGGACTCGGGGAATGATGGCCTTGAAGAGAGCGATGATACCGTCTCAAGCTAGCTGATTTTATCGTCTTGTCCCGACTGTAATTTTACAGTTTGCAAATGAGGGAGGACCCTGATGAAATGCTTTGCAGTTTACCCCACAGATGAAAGGAGCAGGGGTTTTAACATGAAAAACTTGAAGGGAATCTCCTTTGTTATGACAAATTGACCTTAAGGTTGTAATTGGTAAAACGGTGGAGAGACCTAAAGGACTCTGAACTTGATAAATCTAACAAATCTTCATGCTTTCCATATTTATACCCCTAAATATTTTATAGTATTCATAATGTGCCCCAGAATGTTCTTAGAGTTGGTGTATTATTCATAGTTTGGGTTTTTATAGGTGTATTTTCTTATGAAAATTCATAAAGTACAGCTTTGGGCAACTGAAGAAAACAATAAAGACTGTTTATTCACTAAGTTAGTTCAGTACTAGCCTGAGATCATACCCTCTACCTATGTCTCTCCCTCTCTGTCTCTCGACCGCTCTTTAAAAAAAAAAACGCCTGATATTTTTTATTCTATTTTATTAGCTTCGCCTGTTACTGATCAATTAATAATAAATAAATGCTTAGTAGGCACGGGTGCCACAACAGCGGTGAGCCAATTACAGTGGTCCCGGAGCTTACAAGATATGTAAGAAACAGTAAAACTTCATTTGACAATTAAAAACAACAACGGAGACGGACAGACACGTTACGTGAAACGTTACATGACCGACAGATTGTTTTCCAGGATCGTGGGTTCTCTGGGTCGTAGTTACGTTGTAAGGCACGCATCCATGTAGTACTTGTACATGATGGATTTGAATCGGCTGATCTGAAGGTTGCATGAAAGTTGAAGATCATTTGCTTATGTGCTCCAGATTCTGGTGGTTCTATTAAAAAAGGATCTCTGAAAAGTGACAGTATTACATTTCCTTCAAATAAATGGGCCTTTCATATGCTGTTGCAGCATAAACGGTTGCATTATAAACTGGGTAAAACTGGGTAAGAGATAACACTTCGCGAGCTCTATTGTAAACGTTTTAGTGCTAGCCAATTGAGTTGAGAGCAAAAAAGGACTGAACTCTCGCTTTGCTGGCTATAAGGTAGGAGCCCTTGTTTTCTCTTAAAGAAGTTTGGAAAAAGTAGGAGAGCGCACCAAGGCATTACATTTGAGAAATGTAATGACAAAAATGATTTGATTGTAAGGATCTTTTGAGAAAGAATCAGACTTCCCCGACATGCCGAGCAGTTCATCTACCTATTTGGCCTGGTCGTGCAGGTCCGCCTCTTTATCTGGTCAACTGAAACAGGCTATGCGTCCTGAGAAGAGGGCAACCAACGATCAGGCGTTCTTTTTTCGTTTTTGCCCTCACCTCCCAAACAAATATGGAACAAGGACCACCTGATCGCAGGTTTACTGAATACTTAATGATGTTTTAACCGATTTTTAACCCAGTAAAGTTTTTTGATATACCGTACATATTTTTTTAAGGGGGGACAGCCTCACTCAGCGGTTGTTGCACCGGACATCCAATCGAGAATCAGGGAAAAGTTAGTCAAAAGTGATTTTAAGAGAATATATTTATTATTTCTCCTCTACTTTTGTTTTATAACATTTAAATTCTTTTGTACATTTCACGGACATGATTAATATTTGCTGATGTTGGGTTTCGAAGAAAATCAATCCTTTTTGCATGTTGTGTTGAGGAACTATCAATTCATGTACATGGCACGTGACTTGCCCAAAGCATAAATAAATGGGTGAGGGGGATGGCTGTGAGGGGAGGGTTGAGTCCATTATCAGGACTAAAATTTGTGAAATTGTTAATTCAGTTGGTCAGGGAAATTTTACATTTGTCAGGAAAATGTCAGGGAAAGGTCATGGAAATGTCAGAAATCTCTGGCTGTGGCAACCATATACCTTTCTAGTCCTGGTATTTCACTTTGAAGTTGTCACCATCACTTTTTTTCTAATAGTGATCGTTTTATTTTGTTTGGCTTTTTTGTTTTTTGTTATTGTTTTTTTCGCTTTCTTGTTGAGCGGTGCAGAAGTGTTTCACAAGGGGATGATGTGGCCGCAACTTTAAACTGGTCTAGTGACCTTTTATATTCACGATGAGTTTTTCCCACGGTAACCAATCACATAACCATTCATACTTCAACTTTCGGTTTTTTCCTTGAGGGCTTGAGCACATAAGGAAAAAGGCCTTTATTGGAACTAAGTTTTGGATTGTTTCAAGTAAATGTAACTGGAATTGAAGTCAGTCTAGTTGTTCGGTATTGCGTTGTTGTAAAAACTGACATTTTATTTTCTATCACCAAATCTGCATTGACACGCATTTCAAAGATTGTTTTCAACTTGATTCGTCGTGTCAAGTGTTAAGCCCTTGGCAACGTTTTATGTAATAATCTTAAAAGAATGCATATGAATAAACCGTCCCCCGTTTCCTTTGAAATGTGCCCAAAGTGACCCACGCAATTAAACACGTGAGTTACTGAAAATTGAATAAGTATGTAGTATTGCTGACAAATAACTATGTATGTTTGAAGTGAACTCAGGTTTATCTTTAAATTAAAATATTTTGGCATAGACAAAAACCCCACAAAAACACTTTTAGGGAAAAGAGAGGGCGCCTTCCCATCTCTGCCACCAGGGAATCCAAGACCGTTGGTCAAGTCAAAGGGGCAGAAAAAAGGTAAAGGTCCCTAGGAACAATTCTAAGGTACCGTCCCTTTCTGCAAGACATATGGACGTAATTTCCTTTTTTAAACTCTCGGGGTGACCAGTCTTGTGAGCGACAAGCCTGCGGCGAGCGTAGCAATATCCTTAAATGGAGAGCTTGCGGTATTGCGGTTTCGCAAAACCAAGCGGTTTGGGGTATTTAGAAATTTTGGGGTAATTTCAATGCGGTTTGCAGTTTTATTATGTCATTCTGTGCGGTGTTTATACGTATTTCTCTGCGGTTTTGCAGTGTTCGTCCCCCCCCCCCCACTCCTTACGCCCTCCTTACTAAGGTATATAATTAAAGTATTTCTTCAAAGAAAGACACCCTTTACACTGTTCCGGGCAAATTTATGAACCGACAAAAAATTGCACGGATCCGCCTTTCGTTAACATGAACCCACTTTTTTGAACGGCTAACAATACAGCAATCTGTAACAGAATGCACAATGTTACGTGTACAAAAAATTTTTTTACCCGTGCAGTCCGTTTTCGCACCAGTGTAAACAGGGTCAAAGGCACCGCCAAAGATGCAGATAGGACCAATCCCTAATTAGCCGTAAATAGCACAATTGTTCCATTAATTGCCTATTTAGTTTCAGCCTAATATTATTGGATGACGTGGATTGTAAGCTTTCTTTTTTTGTTCCAACGAGGGTGTACTGGCTGATAATAACGTTGTGGCGCGGCCGGCACTTGTGTAAGTTAAGGTGCAGAAGACCCATGACGCAGTTAGTGGAAATACCCTTAATTATTGTTGGAATAACAATGAAAGCAGTTAACTCATTTCACCCAATGGTGCTCCCTCAATATCCCAGTACTTTTTGTTTATCGTAAATGACAGAAAGTCGGTATGGTATCAATTTAAAAACAAAACTGAATGCTAGGCTAGACTTGCGATACGGTAAAGGGGTGATTTGATCGATTTTTAACTTAAATAAAATTGCGCAATTATACAGTTAATTGCCATTAATTGTTAGTAATTGTTAATAGGTTTCTGTCTGATTGCTGATAATACTATTCATGAACAGAGCTAATTACATTAAATCCATTGTTATTCCCATAAGGGTATTTCCGCTAACCACATCATTGGTCATTTCTTCTTTTGGCGGCACCCGCACGAATAAACTTAGTTAAGGCACAGCCAATCTGATCGATTCATTTTTCACAATACCTTGTCGCAAAAAGATCTTGTGTGTTGTAGCTGGCAGTATGAGGAGAAATCAAGTTCTACCACCGTACAAAGACCAGCCATGTACAAACTTAAAGAACAAGGAGGAGTTCGCATGGGACCTTAAAGACGATTCAAGAATTCCAGCATTACAGCTACGTTCAGCCCAAAAACACGCCACCTCCATCGTGAATGATCAGAGTATGCGGTTAAGGTCACCGGAAGCTCGTTCTTTTGACTTTCTTTCCCACAATTCTCATTCATATGAGTTTAAACGAAAGTTTGGCCGTGTGCAAGCAAGATCCTCCCAACGACTCCCAGATGGCCAACCAGCCGTTGTGTTCTACGAGGATAAGGACACCGACAGCTCGTCAGACGAGGAGTTCATCGCTTTTGAGGCTGATAGAAACTCTGGGGCTGGGACGCCAGGAGAATCGCCTTTCTTGATCTACAAAGAAACTCGTAATGGTCAAGCTATTCGATTGTGCACATCAACTTGCAAACAAGGGATCAAACCACAAACAGATTGCAGACGAGTTTTTAAGACGCGTAGGCCAGAACTAGGATGCTGCGAAGACTGTTCACATGCACACCATCACGTTCAACCAGGACTTCAACGCTTTTCACAATGGATACCATCCTACCAAGCGAAGCGATACGGCAGCAATGGACCATCCCGTCCTGAAGGTTACCTTACTGAGAAATTGCAGGCCGTAAGGATCAGCCCAGATTATATGCACCAGCCGTTCACTCCTCAAAGAAATTCACCCCAGCATTGTCAAACTCCAGGAGTATTTCAAAGCTGTTCACACGAGTCAAGGCGCCCAGACCATTCCAAAATGCAAGCTAAAGAAAGCATTGTCAGCCCTTTGCAGCAGCCCGAAACCCTCACGGCTAATCAAACAGCTGGCATGTTATTCACCCGCAAAGATGCCGACGTTATCATCCGAACCAAAGGCAAAATCAAGGACGCAGGTCAGGCTACTCACACCAACACTACCCTAACTACCAAGCCGACAGTCCAGGTTATTCATACCATCCAACAGGTTACAGATGGCGACTTTATGGATACAATGGAGAACAGCTATGAACAGCACCACTTGAAAGAGCCAAAAAGACGCCATTCCCATTCACAACGGCCAACAACGACAGACGCCAATAGCGGCACACCCAAGAGAATACCAAGGAATCGGAAAAGGTTTTCACACCAGCCTGCAGACAATCAAGAAAGTCCATACACACACCTATCAAATGACTCCTACCACCACATTCATGACACAAGGAAAAAACAAACTAATTGGATGTACGTCTGCTTAGCCAAAACCGGAAAACGAATCCACAGCCCATCACAAGTCGCAATCCAGCGTACTGATCGTGATTCAAGGCCTCCGCCAACACAGCAGTTTGCCAGAAGGAGTAATGGCACAGCAGTTTTACCTGCCATGTCAAAAGGACGTCAAAGTCGGTTCCGCACCATGTTATTTCCTCGTCAGGAGAGCCGCGAAGAAAGTTGTGAGGCCACTGTACTGGCTGGAAATCAGTGGCGACGAAGACGAACTGGAGTTTGCCAGGACACTGATGTCACTCACGAGCACCGGAGATTTACACGAGTGTTGGCCAAACGGTTTTAAATGCCGGAATCCAAACGATTAAGTGCCTTTACAAACTGTAAATAAGTTACAGTAAAGTTACACTATTTCCAGGTTTATAATTTCCCTCAGTTTACGTGCGACGAACTGCAAAATGGACGGTGCTTTTTTCAATTTTGGTTACAAAATCGCGCCGTTTTAAATACTATGCTAGCGGCTTAATTTCTGGTGTCAGCATTTGCACGCCTCAAGTTGATACATACGCCACCACAGTTTAGGACGTAATTTGAACAAAGAAAAGTTTAGTGTAATTTATATAATTCACAATTATTATATAAGGTTGGGTGTGATATGATGAATTCGGCCTCTGCGGATATCACCTTCGTTATGAAGAATTAACTGGCTAAAATACGCCAACAGGAAGCAGAGAAATGTTTTAAATAAACAATTGAAATAATAAATACCGCGAATGCTGTAGAAATTTTTTTGTTCCCGAGCAGATTTATCTTGGCAACTTGTTGTTTGCACGACTCTTTACAAAACAGCATAGACATTCCCTTGAGCTCTATTGTTATAGTAAAATATATATATTATTCTTAATCAAAATCAGAATCATAATGCCAAGTGTTTTTTTGGGTTTGTTAACGTTAACTAGGAACACATGATCTTAATTTTAGACTTATGTGAGCAAACTGTGTAAACCAGGTGGCACTCGTGTAAATAAACTGAAATTAAGTGTGAGATATGTCCTGTATTTAATAATAATAATTTTATTTATATAGCGCTAAAATCCAATAATTGTCCAAAGCGCTACCTAATTACAAAAAAGAATATAAAAAAAAAATCTTAAGTCTGAATGTAAATCTGATTATTGGTGTTGAAATCTGAGCTAGATCTAACGAGCAGTGGATTTCAGTCTGCGCCAAAGAGCCGTCTTCAAAAGCGTTTTACGAAGGTTATCAGGCTAATGGTGCCTGTGGATGGATAAATTCAAAAACGGTAACGCCATTTCTCGACTGACAGTCTACAAGGCAACAACGTCGTTTTCATATCGGGCGAATTCGGTGCGAGCCGAACTTCACCTACACAATAGTAAGTGACACATTTGTATTTCGTTAGCCTCAATAATATACTCAATAATATAACTCGTGAAATACCCTTCGGATATTCACGAGTTAAAAAATGGCAGCATTTCTCGCCTATGATGGAACTTTAGCTCCCTAATCACTTCTTCGACTTAGCAGTTTTTACTCCTTAACACCGGGCAGCATTCGCCTTGTGTTGCGTTAACCTTAAGAGTGAGTGTTGCGTATTCTTGGTTTTCACATGACGTCACCAACATTCAAACTCAGAAACTATCGCTTCTTCTGAGTTTCTACTTTCACGTGATATTAGAGCACCTCAAAACCTTTATACAAACAAATTTTCGGTTCAAAAGGGTTCTTTGTTTTGCGATACAGGACGCTTGAATTTCCAGGCTTTTGCGTGACGCGGCATTTAGCTGGCGGCCGGGAAAGCTCTTATGTGGGTTTAAATCATCACGAATCCGATTTTTGGACATTTTGCTATCTAAACATTCCTTGTCTTAGAATAAGTGTTAATTTAATCTTTATGAGTTCCTCAAGCGAAGAATTCATGCATAAGTAGGAAAACTCAAAAACAGATGTTTCTGTTGGTTTCTGGCGGCCATATTTGTGCCCCTGAAAGCCCTCTTTTGGACCCCTAAAATTAAATAAAAACCTCGAGCGTCTTTCAGATCATTTACGCGGTATTTGCAATTCGCAATTCACCTCGATCCGGCAGGAAGACTAAGTTCAATTCATAGGCCCTCTTGTGGGATTGCCGCCTTCGATAACGAACACCATCACAAATGTATCTCCACATAAATCAAGGTTCAAATATTTTAATCTATCTATGGTATTCTTACCAATAATATTCACAGCATAAAACTAAACTAAATTTTAACTTTAGCTGACGTACTTCAGTATAACTGAGCTCTTAACAGTGAATGGACTTAAGGAAAGATTTAAAAAGTTTCCGGCACTGTTGTCAACTGAATAAGATGAAAGATATCCTGGACAAACAGTAACAAAACGGAGACAAAACTTGCGATGTTAATATATAGGACGATATATAATACATGCTTGCGCGGAGTTCAAGTTTTGAACACTTAGCTGTAGAAAACGGCGATAAGTATTGCTTAAACATGAGGAGTGATGAGTGTTCAAAAATATTTCACCCGAACAGAAATTTCGTATCTCCGCGCGGCCATTCAATGTCCTCTACATCTCCAAGCGGCCATGTAATGTTCTATTTATTACATAAAGACAAATGAAATACCAAACCAGTTTTGCTTTATTTTTTATGCTGCGAGGAGCGCGATTGATCTGTAGCCATAGCAACGCGGATCTTTTCACGTGTGAAGATAACATGTTATTTTTACATGTGAAGATATCATGATTTCGCGCGAAAGTTAACCTGGTATTTCATTGGTGGTTATATAATAGAATTATTCTGTAACATGGCGTGCTTTCATTAGTATCGTCCTGCAAAATAGTAAATAGTAAATGTCCTCTTGAACAAATTCATTGTTCATTTCCCCCCGTCTCCTCTTTCAGTGCTCCAAGCGGTGATATAGTCATAAACTGGATCCATTGATCATCCTTGGAAGACACCACAAGAGTCCCATCGGAGAAAAGCGCTATATCGGTGGGGCGTCCGTCGATGGGGAATGCCCCTTGGAAACTCCCGTCCGGTTTGTAGGTCTGAATGGAACTAGAACCCCAATCGCACACCAGAAGTATTTCGTCATTAGGGTCAAAAACCATTCCTGTAGGCAAGACCAGATGACCGTCGCTGTAATTGTCGTCATCCTTTCGCCCAAAATGTCGAAGAAACTCTCCATCTTCATTGTACACCATAACGCAACCTTTCTCCATATCAGTTACGTAATAATGTTTGTTGTGGTAAAGAGCTTTAAACGGAAACAGCAAAGCACCCTCGCCAGCAAAGCCGAACTTCAAACTGGGTTTTCCGAAAGGCGTATCCGAATGCACGACAATACACGCTCGGTATTGCTTCGCCAAAGGCTCGCAAGTGAGCAGTAGTCTACCAACGCAGTCGGATGAAACGAAGCAATATTTTACACCCCACTGGGAGCTGCTTCTATAACTTACTTTGAACGTTCCTTTTTGGGGGTTTATTACATGAATATCGCGAGCGCCGTTGACAGCTATAAGGTCTTTCTTGTCCCTAGAAAACGCGACGCCCGAGAACATCATGGGAGGCTGGGACGAGTTCACTGGCACTGTGAATCTTTTCAAGAAATCCCCATTTCTTTTTAAGAGCAGAATATTGTTGTTTTCGGGATCAGCAACAGCGACATGCGTCTCTCCATCTGTGGCAACGCTTAGGGGAGAAAATGACTCAAAACCGAAGTTCGACGGAATAATCTTACGAAGGGTGGTAAGAGAGACTCTCATGGCCTTCAAAGGAGTGCAAAGTCCGATTTTTACACCGCAGCTGTCGTTCATTGACAAGTTACCAAAACCATGATGTTCAGCCTTTTGTAGAAGCTCTTTATTTGGGTCAAATCTCACGGTGAATGAATCCAGTTCATTAATCTCTTTGTGCAAGTTGTCTTCAAGAACAGTATCGTGGGCCAGAGAAGCCAGTGCCGTTTTCATCTTGGAAATCTCGGCATCATCATCGTCTTGATCGAGGACTTTTAAAGAAACATCCACTTGCGTTTGAACTTCGCGGCAAAAAGTTTGCAATCTGGTTTGCACGCGCATGAAGACGTCATTTTGTTGAGAAACAAAATCTTCCAGTTTAGATGTCAGCTCACCCTCGTTTTTCTTGATCATTTCAATAAGACTATCCGCCGCGTTGTGAATTTCCTCTGTTAACAATTGCCCGTGTTCGAGTTTGCGCTTTCGACACATTTCCAGTTCCTTCATAAGTTCCTCTAAAACCTCTACTTTCGTTACACACGCTTGAATTCCCTTGGAAAGCTTTTCTCGTTCTTTTTTCGGCTCCGTCTGCTGCAGTAGCTTCACTAAGAATACGTTAGTTTGTAAGTCGTCTATGTCTTCTACCCGAATGAACGATTGTTGTCGACAAGTCGGGCACTGTAAGTAAGCAGGCCTTGCTTGTGTTATAATATTTTCAAGACACTGTCGACAAACGCTATGATGACACGTTGGAAGAACTTTTGGATCTTGAAACTCTTCTAAACAGACCGGACAACAAAAATCGTAAAAGTCCGCATCTGCATGATCTTGTGAAGCCATTTTGATTCAGCCGCGAATTAAAACCAGTCAACGCCAGACACACAACATCCTGTGAACATAATTGTATGCCCGACGGAAAAAAAATGATTTTCATTTAATAAAGATCCATTATGGTAATGCGTACAGTGTGGCTATCACAGATTTGCATATGAAGAGAGCAGATTGTTCTTAGGGAAAAATTATTTTTGTCCGCGTTAAGATCGATTAATAGATAAAGACAATTAAGGCAATTCGCTCTATTTTAGAAGAGTAATTCACTCGTGAAGAAAGCCTAAAAAAAGTGTACTCTTCATGAAGGCTGTTGTTTTAAAATATTTTTTTGTTTATTCAGTTGTTTTATCAGTAGGCATTGAGAAAACGATACTTTGTGCCAAAACATACAAACAGTCAATACTCTTGATGGTGAATTTTGATCTGCCAATGTTTTAGAACAGAGCAACTACCATTTAAGGGCTATTTACATGATGCCAAAGTGACTGTCATTCCGGTTTTCATTCCGAACGAAATTCTCTTTCTGGTACGACATTTCATTCTGGTATCATCTAAACTGAAAACGAACTTCTTCCCGGATTGAAAATGGCAAATCGTGTAGTTTGGGGGTGAGTGACGCATGCTTATTTGATCTGGCGCAAAAAAAAAAACCAACGACAACGACAACAACAAAAACACGCGAGCCAGAACGCCTAAGGCTGAGCCAGTTGATTTTATCACGTGAATGCAGAACGAACTTCACTCTGGAACGAAACTCACTTCGGAATGAAAGTTATTCCGGTGTCATGTAAACAGCCCCTTGCTTTTTTAAGCCTTGTTGACCATCTCTCTCTCACTAAATGTAATATGTTCCCTTGGTAGGGCAACCGATAACCACAAGCGAGCGCGAAATTCGCCATCCGCAGGATGATCCGACGTACGGGCGCTTTGACTACATGTATTTGTACAAAGGGGGAACCAGTTACGAAAATCTTCACGTAACAACTAACGTCTGATGTTCAGCCCAGTCAAAGTTTTTCTTATTTTATCGCCACACATCTGAATAGCCCCATTTCCTTCACGAACATAGTTAGTTTTTATTTTTGTCCCGCGCGTCGTGGGAGATGATTTCCACGCTCGTTCGAGTGATCGCTCGTTAAATGAATGATTACTCATTGTCTAAGCCCACGTCCACACCAATCCGGGTATATCTGAAACCGCACTGTTTTTTTACACGAATCGGCCTCTCGTCTACCCTGGGTGCCAGAGACTTTTCATGCGCGGTTTCCGGTCTCGGTCAAGTCTCCGCTTGTGTCTTCGGCCAAAGGCCGAAGACGTGTCGGCCTGCGGCCGACGAAGCTCCTCGTCACACGCGAGAAAAAAATCTCTGGTACCTTGGGTACCTTTCGTCGACTCGAAACCAGTGAATCAGCTCACCGAAACTGGTGTCTTTTTTGAACTGCTTTCCAGAGTTAAAGACCACGTTTACACTAATCCGGGTAAAAAAATACGGCGTTTCAAAAAATTGTGTTCGTGTGGACGGAGCCTAACATGCTTCACTAGCGACGAGCAAAACAACTTTTTTCTAGCATTTCTGCAGGTGATAGCTTACAAACGTTCTTAAAACCACGAGGAATGACTGTGAGTTGTATCCTTAATGTTCTGTCTTTTTAATTCTATATCAATAAATGTGATCTACATTTACATATTAATTGACCTTGAGCAAACGTTGAACTTCACAGCGAAATTAATACCTATTGAGCAAGAATAATAATCACTTAATGAGTCGGGAAACAGTTAATTTTGTTTCCCGAGAATCTCAATATTTCCCGCAAAATTAACTTTTTCCCGCGGGTATCAGTGCACTGTTGTCCTCTGACGTCATAGATTTTGCAATGTTGCCCGCCAAGAGATTTTGGCGGGAAACAGTCTCATTGTTAGATGTCATGTGACCTCAAAGTAACCAATGAGAGCGCGCGCTGCTGGGAAAAAAATTATTAGGTTCGTCACATGTAAAGTTCGACCTCACTAGGCCTAAGAGTAAACGATTATTTCATTTAATACAACCTTTAAAAAATCGGCACCGAGTATAACATCAGGAAATCTTAAAATTTCACCTAGTATAATTTATCAACAGAGGTCGGACAGGAACTGTCATGACTGTGGATCAACCATTATCTTACATCCTTCTCCAGACTTCAACAACTCAAACGCCTACAGAAAAAAAGAAAGGAACAAAAAAAGATTACCGTAGAAGGAAAAGAAAACACACAGATTGCATCAACAATGACAGATATTTGCATATTTTTAAAAGGTTTACGAGAGACCTTATTACAGCAAAACATCCATTCCATAAGTCGTTGATTGACTATAGTTCAAGGAAAAACGCGGTTGGGTTGAAGCACGTTTGTAAACAAACTACTACTCAACCAGTCTGTCTGTCTGACCGTCAATCGGTCTACCTCAGTCAGAGATGATCAGTTTTTCTGTCCGCCAGTCATTTAGTCCGTCTCATAGTCTGGTCTATTACCTAAAAAGACACGCAGGAAAAATGACGTCTAACTTAAATGGGCAGTGTCACGGCAATATATAACATTTGTTTAATAATGCAAATTACAAGTCCTTATTCGCAGTGGAACTTCACGTTAGCAAAGAAATTACTTGCAAATGACAAAATCTCTGATTCGTTTTTTAACAAAATCGTTTTCCAAGCATTATATCTAAAGTTGCAGACAAAAACCATGAACTTTGAAAAATTGCAGGTGTTAGGCTAACAAGTTTTCAAAAACCCATATTGCGATCTGTTTCAATATTAATAACTTGTTCATGTTGTCCTTCAGCAGCATTTTAAAAAAATTAATTAAAATACCATTCTAATGAAGCCTTAAACTGCTGTTTAAAATTGAGATCCAAGCTTTCGCCGATCGAAGGACGGTGTCATGACTCCTTGTGTCAGTATTAGCTGTATTATTTATACCTCCTTTAAATGTTTTGAGCTGTTATTTTTGTTTCACTCACTTTGGTGCCAGTTCCCACTAGATTTCGTGACACAGTTCCTTTAATCATTCGGTCTGTTTTCGCTCTCTTTGTACACTGTCCGTTTAGTTTCGTCTCAACCAGTCAGCGGTGAGTCGCCTACTCTGTCTGGCTTGGTCAGTCAGTTCTTTACAATAGTCCACTTCCGAGTTCCAAAGACCCTCCCTTTCGAAATGAGGCCAACTGCACAACCTTTCTTGTGAAAATTAGTTTTATTTGCATGAGAATAAAAATCATTTCCATATCAAAGGCTGAGCACTTAACCTCGTTTTGATTACTAGACGGACTGACTGAGCCTGTCTGCTAGTCAGATCGCCTGCCCGAAATCAGCAAGTCTCAATGCTGTTAGTAAAAGCATCTTCGTTGAAGATGAGACAGTAAATACAAAAAGGGGGCTTTCAATCTCACCTTTTCAAACTGGCTCATAGGAACTTGATGAGTAATCACGGGTGTTACATCAACTCTGGAACAAATTTATTCAGGTTATATTATAGTGACAAGTGTATGATAACGTATCCAGTCTGCTAAAGTAGTTCCTATTCTTGGAAGACATGCAACGAGCTAATCATGTTCGTCAACTGTGCCACTCGACTAAAAGTGAGACATTTTGTTGCGAAGTTACAATTTAAATCAAACGAAGCTTGGATAAAAATGGCGCAAGACGCCGAATGGAATGTTAAAATGTGCACTTGCCGAGAGAAAAGTTCACACTATACCGGATAGCTTCTGCGCATGCACGAAAGCCATACCGGATACAGCTTTTGTTCAAACATAAAAACGGTGATTTCGGCGCGATTTCTGAGCAACGGAGTAACAGAGCGAAGCTGGGCCGCGCCGATCTCTTAAGTGGAGAGTCAGATATCGGATAGGTGTTCATACTATCCCGGAGAGCTTTTGCGCAGGCAGAAAAACCATACGAGACACCAGGGCTTCTGTTTACACATAAGAACGGTCATTTTGGCGCGATTTCTGCAACGGAGCGAAGCTGCGCCGCGCCGATCTCTAAAGTGGAGGTAGTCACTATCGGATAGGTGTTCATACTATACTGGATATAGCTTTTCGTGTCGGCTTTGTGTCCCACTATACCGAATAGCTGAGCTATCCGGCAGAGTGCGAACATAGTTTTAAGAATGCTTAACATTGGAGATCCCTAGTAACAGTCTATAAGGACAAATGGAATAACCTCATCTTCATTTTTAAGCACAGTTAGCAGGGAGGGGACGAGTGATTATAAAATCCAAGAGAATCACATGCGTTCTGTTTTACAAATCAAAAATAACCAATGGAACAGTTGAACAGGCTTCACAGACTAAATAACGAGGGATTTGAAACAGTTCGGTAGTAGGCAGTGGATTCATAACTTACTTGTTACTGAATAAGAGCTCTTCAGATTTTTCCCAAGTACTGAATATCTTTCTCCCGTGAATTGTTTTCAATGTTAAGGACTTGAATAAAACATCTTGAAGGAAGTTCTCTACATGAAGAGGTTGCTTTAAAGAAGTGAAATGAGATCTACATTAAAATTGATTACAGTTCTGCGGCATCAACAATTTTTAATAAAAAATGGTTCACTATACGGCGTTTGGGAGCTAAGATTGATTTCAAATTCGTTTAGCACAAATATTTCCATTGAAAAAAAAAACGCTATACAGCAGCCACAAGTGAATTATTTAGCCTTTATTATTCTTAATTTTTGATTTGTGGTTAAAACAACCCTTTTAGAGTTTGGCGCTGATTTAAAAAAATGAACGAGTTCTTTCTAATAGAGCGATTTTCGTATGACCTTGAAATGAAACCGTGCGAACAAAAGAGAAACAACAATACGAACCGGGAAATAGAGTGATTTGATTGGTTTGTCGAACGGATACAAACGCGCGTGGCTTTTGGCTGGTTAAGCGAACGCTCAGGTGAAAAAACCGATACTTCGCTTTGACGTCATACTGCAACAGGATTGGCCAATCGAACAATGCCTTTTCCATATTAGGGTTTCCTTTGGCGGAAAAACGAAGAGGCCATGTTTTGATCTTTTCATCCACTGGTTGTTAAAACAAATATCGAACACAGTACCGAACCCATTTTCCAAGGTCTTACGAAAATGTCTCGATAAGAAATTCTAAACGAGACACTTAAAATAAACCAACACCTAAAGGTTCATCTTCTTGCTGATGCTTGGGAGGAATCTGCCTCGTGCGCAGGCGCTTCTAGGAATTTTTGCGGTTGTCGCGGCGCGAAGAGTCATGGGAATTTTTTATGTAAAGAGGGGAGTATCATGGGAGAGCTTCATAAACGCAAAGGCACTTGGGAAAGAACAACGTGAAAAGTGACATGCCGGACTACTTGTGCGGCGACTACCGACGAAAATCCCTGGAGGCAGAGGACGAATAAAGCAACACAAAAGCTAAGCTTGGTCGCATGAGTGACCACTAGAGCTGTATAAGCTACAACGCAAGACACGAGCAACTGATTTTCGATGATTTGGAATACGATATATATAACCGTTCGTGGCAACTCAAATATGGCTAAGTGAGAAAAATTTAGATCGAACAGGTCAGACATGTCGACATCACTGGAACACCGTCAGTCTACGTGCAACAAAGAACAAAGGAGGGGTCTAACAACAGGCCATACAACCGTCCGTCTGCAATCATACAATTTCTCAGGCGAAGGCCCTGTAAGGATATGTTCATACATGGTGCATGGGATAGCCATGAGTATCGACACAAAGTGAAGGGCTATTCAGACACCGGCTTTATAACCGATATTGTATTATATACACTTCATTTCGCTACGTCAAACACCACTATGAAGTGAGAGTAAAAGGGTGTTGTAGGATGTAATAAAGTGACCTCTGGGCAAAGAGCCCTCTGGGTAAAGTGCCTCAGAACTAAGAACGTGTGTACACAAGGAGGGGTTGGGGGGGGGTTAGGGGGGGGGGCGGAGGGGAGTCAGAGACACTTTTCTGGTGCCTGAGTAAAAAGGAAATTCAATTGAACTTTTACACGGGTAATTTACCAGTGTGGCAAGGTTTCTCAGACTCTAAAGCAATGTTACACTTGCGCATCTACATGTGAACTGAATTGACCCCAGGTGTTGACCACATACTCTGCCAGGCACTTGCCCGCGGTACACAAATTTTGGCCGGCTGAGTAATTGAGAGAAAGGAGTAGCCACATTAGCATCCCGGTTTGGATTGTACTCAGGCACCTTGCGGGGGATCCAGTGTGAATACAATTGCAACGTGAAAGGTTTCGAAGACCATGAAGAGTATTGCCCTTGGGTACTACGTCTGTCGATATTTATCTTACAAAACCAGTTTACCTTGAGAAGTCCTACAAGAACGACTCGTCCTCCTTTCCTATTATACGTAAACAAAACGTGCACATTAACACAGATTGCTCTAACATGTGGTATTGGAAGCCAGGTACGGTTAAAACAGTACATGACACCAAAAATACTAAAAACTCCTCAGGCTGAAACTGAATAGAACAACGTCGTTGGAGATAAATGAATAAAAATCGCAAGGAAACAAGAACAATGGAAACAGCAATACAAATTCTTGAGGTTGCCCTCCGAGTTGTCTTCTTACTGTTTTTGTTACGTTTTTAGCCATTATTTCGCCTAGTTCTAGCTGCAGTTCTTACTCTTGAAACGAGTGAAGTGTCCGCCATTTTAGTTTTTACAACGAAAACAACTCAATCTCGTCCCCAGGTCTTCTCGGTTAACGGTGCATTAACCTGTAGAATGCTGCATTTTTGACGTCATTTCCTCGTTAAACACAAAATTCTTCCAAATTTGGTCATCTGTAACTGGTTATGGTCAATTATGCGTGTGCTTTTAGCCAATCAGAATTGGGGAAATATTTTGAATGAATAATAAAGTGCGTTAAAACATGGACACACATTAAAATATCCACTGACCTTAGTAACGAAAAACAATTGTTGACTAATGGCGCCGCCCCGGAACATTCGAGAAGACAACCAATACCGTTTCCCGATGTTTCTCTGAACACTAACAGTAAATGAAAAAGCATCTTATCCACAGTGAAAAACAAACAAAAAAACCAGCAAGTTTTAGGAAACCAAAAATATATTGATGGTAAAAGAGCTATACTGTCCCAGACCGTCTTCTTTGTTTGCTTTGTTCTTACCAAGTTTTGGTTTTGCAAATTCTCAAACTAAACTGTATTACAAGAACGTAAAACATTGTGGGGGTCCAACAGACTTTATGAGAACAGAATTTTTTAAAAAGGTAGACCTATGAAACAGAGAGTTTACGGAAGTTTCTCTAGTTTGTGAACTTCGCTGCATACAAAAAAAAACCGAATAGTTTTAATTGTAACAGACAAACAGGGTGTAGCGGTAATTTGACAAAAATAAAACTAAAACTTAGCTGTGTAAATTAAGACCTTGTAATAACTTTTAAGTGTGGCTGTTGGTTTATAATTCAGTGGTTCGTACGGTGAACAATATACAAACCAGCTTCCTTAAGGTTTTCTGTCTTTCCATCAACAATGACATCTGCACCCATCAATTTTGCTTTGTGAAGTCGATCAGCCATGATATCCGTTGCAATACTGACGGGGGAAGAATACAGTGCAATGCATGTTAAATATAGTTATTCGCTCAAAATATTTCGCCGTTTCTGATTAGCTCAAATCCAGTTCTCCTCGATCTGTAATAATTCACGTCAAATAATTGTTTATTGTCGCACAGCTCGTACCCTTCACTGAATGAGATAACAAGGCACTCCCTTTACTTGTAACAGACAAGGGCAAAAAACATGGATACAGAGCAACTCAATACAGTAATGTAATTGTAGGAATCGTACAATGTCATATAAAAAAGTGAAAAACTATTGTATGCAAATTACTTTTACTTAATTACTAACAAAACTATCGAGAAAAAAATTTCTCAAAGTACGTTTGAATGTGTTTACGCGTGACGACTAGTGCCACTTTTACAACCCTTGCCATGCACGAAGGCTAAGAATATACAAGTGGTCGAGCGCCAGGAGAGAGAAGAAGGAAAAAATTATATTTCAAACATTATTTTCCCTTCTCTCAAGCTGCGTCCTAGACCAAAATATATACTTCTGCTTCACGCTCGACTAAAATAATGGATACTCGTAAATACGGTCTCTAACAGGCCTTGAATTTGCCCGTATTAGCGAGGTGTCGGTATTGGCTGGAGAGCGGGGTAGGATAACATTTCCAGGCCCCTTTTCTTTTCGTTTATGATGTCAAATCAGAAAGGAACACACTACAAATCTTAACAATGAAAATGTCGTTATTACGTCTCAAGATTTATTTCTTTCTGTCACTTTCTATTCTTTAAACACTACATTACTGCTATTCTTTTTCTTTGAAACAGCGCGAATTCATTTTTTACGAGTTATTATTATTATTATTATTATTATTATTATTATTATTATTATTATTACATCGCTGTCCCTAGTGCTTGAAAATTTCGCTCAGCCGCCCCAGACAAATCAAAGTTGCATAACAACAAGGAAGCCGCGTCTGGCCGGGTTCTATTGTAACCCCTCTCATGCAAGATACGTACGAGCGACCTTTAAGAGATTCGTAAGCAATTATGATGGGTGCTAGAGAAAAGGGGTAACCTCTAGCCCGGCTTTCTTCCTCGGTCGACCGAAAATAATGTGATGACGTTACAAGTGGTGCAAGGATTGAGGGGCACTTTTCGGGCAGTTTTGTTCCCGTGCAAATGGTTGAAACTCAGTGTTCTTTTAAGCCTGTCCAAAACTTACATTTTGATAGCTCCCATGCACTTGGCGATTCCAATTGCTAGTAAACCAATAGGGCCACACCCTACAACAAAGAATGATACAAAAAGGTCAAGTTCAGTCAGCAATTCCATCATCACAAAAGTGAACTAGTTATTAATAGTCAACAAAACTAAAGGAAAACTATCAAAAGTTTTTTTAAGTGTTACATCTAATTCAATGAATTTCCAGGGCAGGGATCGGAAGACAAAAAGCCAATAAAAGAGTTTTGTTCATAAACGGGCTTGGAATGAACAACTATACAATGGCCATGTATTCTTGTTGCTTCTCCTTCTTTGTTCTTTTCTTCGTTCACTACCACTCATTTAAGTTCCTTAATTAATAAAGCTCCATTATAGGACAAGGAAATGTGTCTAGGAATGAACATTGCAGAGACGTTCAACAAAACATGCCTACGTGTATGTGAACCCAAATGAGCAGAATATGGGAAAAGTTGCCATCCTCTGGAGACAATGCCTGTTCACATCGTTTAGACTCCAAAACAGTTGGGAAAGTAACGGATTTGTTTTACACCTGAGCCACAACTAACTTATACAACCCATATGCTTGTAAACTCAGCCCACCCCAACCCACCCCCCACCAATTAGCCTGTGTTCATACTCCACCCCCTAATCTCTATATAGGTCACTTGTGGAAAACAAAATCTTCACCTTGAACAAGTATAGTATCCCCACTAGGGTCAACTTCTTCCACAGCTTGATGTGCAACACCAAATGCTAGGAAAAAAAATAAAGAAAACACTGGACCTGATGAATAAGTCAAGCAACACTTAGCTTACTTACAGTGTAACACACTGACTTAAGTCATATTTGGACAGACAATCGTAAGTCATTCTCTTAGAAACCCCGTTCTCTCTACTTCATGATTAGTATAGTTTCGAATCCTAGCTTTCAGAGGAAGGTAAGAGGAATAATGTTATTCAATTGCAACTTATCATATGATCTTACGTTCCAGTAAGCAAGCTCTGTCCACGTCCAGGTTTGTTTTCAACTGGTAACAGTAGTGAGCTGGAATGATTGTGTACTGAGCAAACCCTGCAAAATATGATTCAGCAGCCAGATGATTATAGAACTGAGCTACAGGTAGTGCATATTATTAAAATCAATCAACAATATATTTATGGTGTTGACTTTGAACAAGACCAGAACATTTATCACAAATTACAGTGCAGGGTCTTTATAACAAAGGACAAACAAAGATTTTGTGAGTTGAAGGACTGTCGATCATTCTGATTTAAGATTGCCTGACTTGATTCTCTAAAACTGAAAAGCATTGCAGATTGATTTTAAGGAAGTAGGTCAACATTCAATCTACCCTACCTCCATAAATAGTACCTCTTCCATGTCCAAACTGATTCAGATTTTGGCAGATGTGACGTAAATCTGTACTAGACAAATATAAAACAGCTGCATCATAATACTAAAATATTATTAAAATGGAGATAATAAAAACTTTCAAGACAATTTGTCACACATGCACATTGCTCTTATTATAATTTTTTGTTAGATAATGTCTTACCATGCAAACATTGGTAACACTTTCCACAATAAAAGTGATTTTCACAGCAGACGAGCTGTCCAACAGAAAATTTCTCGTCACAATCAGGACCAACTTGAACAACCTACAAATCCCAAATTGTGATAGTTTGACACGATGAAGGTGCGCACACCAATAAGCTGCACATACAGTCTGCACTTTTTAAGAAGGCAAAATAATATTTATGTGTTGTTACTTTTTTTGACGCCATGATATTTCTTAGGATTTGGGGTTCAAAGTAGCAAGACTAAAATATAACATTAAATATTTCCCATGGAAGGTTAGCCCAAATCCTTCTGGAACTGCGAGCTTAAATAATTTTCATACTTGGAATATGGTGGGGTGGTGTTTGGTTGATGATTAGGTGCAATAGAGGAAGTTTAAAAATTTCTCAGCTGGAAACAAGGCAGCCAATGGAGGAAGCCGGATTATTCAGGAGACTCTTTGATAAGATCAAAAGGGTTTCTAAAAAAAAAATTCAAGGGACCTCTGATAAACTGCCAGGATTCCCTAGTATGTAGTTTTGGTTCAATTGATTTATCCTTGAGTTAAATTTTATTTTCCTTTGTTTTAAACTCATTATCATACATTACCATACCCCAAAACAAAAGAAAATAAAATTTAACTGAAGGATAAGATTGAACTGCAACATATACATGTGAAAAAAAGAAAAAATTTTGCACAAGATTGAGAGTGATTTCCAGGGTGTATCCAGAGGGTCCCATAAGGGTGCTTCCTGCTTCTAATATCACATATACTTACCCTACTTAAACCAACCACAATGGAAGCTCTCATGAATGGACACCCGCAGGATACAAAAAAAGGTGACCAAAACTGGAGCTGGCCACTAACTTAAGGGAATGTGAAAATACAGAGTTTGTATAGAAAATGAGAAAAACAGGGTTTTGTGAAGGCTGTCCCCTTACAAGAGTGTATGTTCGGAGAGCTTCCACTGTATTCCTTCATTTCAGTTAAGAACCTTGTATCTAAGCCCCGCCCCCCCCCACCTCCTGGGGGTACTTTCTATAATGGCCTGTAAGTGCAGGTTCTGCCCAGGAGGGGAACCATTTACAGGTTTCAGGTATATGAAAGGCAAAGGAGTTCACTAGCTGAAGTATATGTCAATAAAAGGATCTAAAAGAGCTAACAGATGCGTTTTATGGCTGTGAAAAAGACAATGAAAACTTCCTGGTTTAGAGATTTTTTAATGATTTCATTCTTAAAAGACTGTGCATTTACAGCAGTTAAAAGGGATGAAACATTCTAAACTAGCTAAGTATTAAATTAAAGGGGTACAACCTGTCAATAGAAGGTATAGGAAGGGCCACGTTTTCTGTCAAAAATGCTTTAAAAAGGATAAGAGGTTGGAGTTGGCCATGGAATGCCCCCGCATAAAACTTTATGGAGTGTCTCTCCCAAGCTCCCCCTCCCAATCCAACCTTCCTAAGTCCCTGGATCTAAGACCTGTTCCCAGGTCAAGCACAGTGTACATCTTGGGGGGTGGGGGGGGGGGGAGACCCTGATATAAAAATAACAGGGATGCTCGTTGCCAAATTAAAATCAAACCCTTAAGGGAGATCAATGTGGGTGTGGCTCAAGCTTAAACTGACCACTAAAGGTTATCAGTGTCAAGGTTTTATATGTAACTTTCTTTATGCACAGCCCTAAGTGATACTTGAATGGGCAAATATAGTGACTTTCCATCCCAAACACCACATACATGTGAGACCATAATCTGTAATTTACACCCCTTAGCGAGATGACAAGCATCCCATTTGGAAAATGAGTAATTTTAATTTTACCTGTGTTTTCTCAGTTCCCTTGAAATATGGAATTTATTTCCTTGGGCTCCAATAAGAACCTTTTCTTTGGAGCTATTTCATATAACTTTTTACATTCATAGCTCTTGAAAAGTGTAACAAAGAATGCGACATGGCTTAAAATATTCTGGTACGAGGTTTTTGTCCCCTGAAACTAAAATTACTCAATAGTCAGATGTATTCTGTCTTAATACCTCTCCAACACATTCATGCCCAGGGATAAATGGCAATGTTGCTATTGTCTTTGCAGCTAGAGTAAAAGAAAAGAAACTCAGTGGTTTTATAACATTCGGAACAAATAGGTTGACAGTTCTGGCATTCACAAGTCCAGTCCAACAGTACTGTTATACAGCCCAGGGGCGGATGCGAAAATTTAGAAAGAAGGCAGGGGCACCCAACGACAATTTTTGGAAAATATCTGTTCGGAAAACGATTTGAGATCTGGAATTTTCGGAACATTTGTTGTAAAATTTCTTGCCTGCCTGCCTCTCCAAGGATTTTCGAACATCTAAAAAAATGGTATAATTGCCCATTTTTAACGGATTTTTACCCTAAAAAGGTCACCTAGAATATTCAGGAACCTTTTTTCTAGCTGAAATTTTCGAAAAGGTAACTGTTGATCCCGATAATTTTCGGATCACTAGACTTTCAGCTAGGAAATCCGAACAGATGAAAAAGTTTTAGGGGATAAAAATATGCCTATATCTACCGTTTAAATACTAAAATACTTTCAACAATGCTATGTTTAAGTGGTTTTGAACTATGTTCTCGTTGGGTGCCCCTGAGAAGGGGGCGGGACACTTGCAAGCTATATAGATACTATTCATTTTACTGATGAAAGTTCTTTAAAAACAAAACAAAATTTCACTGAAAAGGGGGATGGGGGGAGGCGTGGTACCCTCGGACAAAACCCTGTCAGTACGTCACGTAGCGTCACCTGATTTTTTTTATCCGCATCATGAATTGGTTTCTTGAAAATTAGCATCATAATACTTGCTTGCCAAAGACTTGCGCTGTAGCATTGCGATAAATATACGATTAACCATCCATCTTGAAGGTAGTAACACTGTACTAAATGGTATATACAATTTTTTGCTTCACATTAAGTTTAATATCATGCCCCGGTAAGCCGTTCCATTAATATTTATTCAGGTGTTTACTTTACCTTCATTCCATTCATATAAAATAATATCCGAACCACATAGGGACACTTTGAGTACCTTTACAAGCAGTTCGCCTTCGCCAGCTTGTGGAATCGGGATGTCTTTGTAAACATACGAAACTTTCTCCTCTTCCTTGATGAGGACGTTCATTTTTCTCACATGTTATGACACAGTAAGTGCAGGCCTGGTGACCAGTTAAAGAAAAGGGACAAGCGAGCGGGGTACTGAAGGGATAACGTCCAGCCCCCAAAGTAATTTAGAAAAACCAGAAAGCGGAGACTAAAACAACGTAACAGCTAGACGATTTGTAAAATATGAATTAATCAAAATAAAATTTCAACATTTGAATTCTGTATTTTTTGCCTATTCTGGGCGCTTTCGAAGAGACAAATGTATGGACTTACCCTACCCTGGCTGGTCAAAATTTACATCACTGGCAGGTCAAGATGGCGGAAGAGTTGGAAGAGATTGAAATAGGCATCGAAGAAAGATTAGAAGAGATCAACAACTGGCTGCGAAATGAAGGATACGAGAAGTACAAAGAAGCAAGACGACTTTCAGAGGAAGAAGCCCAAGAAGATCCCGAAACAGATCCGTTTAAGTCAAAGTACGTGGCAAGAAATTTGTTATCGGAGTTGAAGACCAAACTGGAATCTTTCCAAGACGACGACAGTCCTAGCGAGAAATTGAAGATATTAATGTCTGCTCTTGATTACCAGATTGGACAGAACTACATAGAAACCGAGGAACTGAGCACGGGGGAAGAACACATTGAACGGTGCATTAAAACTCTTGGAGAGCATCGTCTAGATAGAAGATGTTGTTCCATTTACTTGCATGCCTTGAACGAACTTGGAATTTTGTGGTCGAAAAGAGGTGATTCAGAGAAAGCTCTGGGGTTTCTTCAGGAGGCAGAGAAGTTATATCACACCTTTAATAAAGAAGAAGGGGGTGCACCTTATGAAATCCATGAGTAAGTAGGATACTTGTCCGGTTTTAAAGGTGTGGTATCACTATTGTGTACATTCCTTAAAATATTATGGTTACAGATCAGTCAGCCGTGGCTTAACTCTTCTTATTATTCATTCAAAATATTTCCCCGATTCTGATTGGCTAAAAGCACACGTTTAATTCACCATAACCAGTTACTGATGACCAAATTTGGAAGAATTTTGACTTTAACGAGGAAATGACGTCAAAAATGCAGCGTTTTCGCAGGTTAAGGCACCGTTAACCGAGAAGACCGGGGCACGAGGTTGAGTTGTTTTGATTGTGAACTTGAAAAAATGGCGGACATTTCACTCGTTTCAAGAGTAAGAACTAGGCGAAAAAATAGCTAAACCATGGCAAGAACAGCAAGAAAGCAAGAAGACAACTCGAAGGGCAACATCTGCTATTTGGAGAATATTTATGGAGCTGGACAAACCTAAACGTACACTATCGAAGATGAACTGAACATCGATGGATCGATGGAGGTAAGCATGTTTTAGCTATGTTTTTAAACTAGGAATTATTTTGAATGAATAATAAAACAGTTATTGAATTCGGCTTTCGTATCATATGAAGAATTATGGAGATCTCGGAGGGTGTTATCCGCATCGGCCTACGGCCTCGACGAATAACACCCTCCTCGATCTCCATAATTCTTCATAAGATACTCAGCCTCATTCATTAACTGTTAATTAACCCTTTTGCTCCCAGAATGGCCAAAGTAAAAAAAATGCCAAATTTTATTTTTTGGAATGCTGAAAAACAAATTGCACCATGTGAAAGAACTGGTGAAGAGGTTTGATTCCAATAGACCCCTTTATGGTTGAGAGGACATGCTGGGTAATCAGGACAAGATGGCGGAAAAATCAAAAGTTTTTATTTAATTTTTGCTAATTGAATATATTTGTCACTTTCCCTTTGAAAAATGTAACTAAAAAGGTTTCTAAAGAAACTACACACTAAATCTGGAGTGCATAGAAGTCCTTTGTTGCTTTTTAGAAAACCCGATTTCTTCCATTCCTTTTCTGTAATCCCACAACACAAAAATTACAGAAAATGTATGGAAGACATCAAATTTTCTAAAAAGCAACAAAGGACTGCTGTGCACTCCACATTTAACAGGGTTGTCAAAAATAGCCAGCTGCAGGCTAAAATCGCTGCCTACTTGGTTAGTATGGGTCAGCTACTCTGTTTGGCATTTCTTTACGGATGGCATTTTTTAAATAAAATATCCCTGGTTAAGAAACATCTTCTGAAAACTATGTGTCACTTACAGTTGTAGATACTATGAAAAATGCTACCAAACTCAATACATTGCTTGTGCCGCTTTGCTCGAAAAATCTCAGTAATTCGTAAATGTCAATGCACTTGATTTTTACACCGCTCACTTCTAAGAATGATCTAAATGAAGAAATGAGAAATTTAATGCCTACACGTGGTAATTCACCTTCTAATTCAGGGTCCAAAATTAACTCTTTAATATGGGCACCAACTGGCGATCAAGTATAAATTTTTGGGCGCCAAAAATTCCCCCTCCCTTTTTTTTCAAATAAAAGTTACAAAACAAATAAAAAATGCATGGTATGGACGTTTCTATGCTCAAAAATTGCACTACTTCCGCTCCTGATACTAGAAAGCAACCATACTTGTACGAGTGAAGTCTTATTTTTTTCCACAAATTACTTCTATCTGAGCTAGAACATAGGAACAGAAAGCTGTCTGCCCATGACTGCACTACTCATATCAAAACTCTATTTTCTTCCCATAACTACCACGAAATAAGACACAAGAAGACATTTGAAGCCGCCATGTTGCTCGTACCAGGCCACAACTGTGCCACATTACTCGTACCAGTCCAGAAAGTACATAACGTAGCTATGGAAAACAACATGGTGGCTTGGAAACATACAACTCGTATTGATCGTAGCTGTTGTGGAGGTATTATTACAGGAAGATTCGTTTCACTTTTAATTAAAAAATATCACCAGGACAAAGAGTAACACACCTGTTGGCAAATAGCTTCGAAGTTTCTCCGAACGTTAAAGTCCACAATAACAACCAGCTTAACAAGTCGCTAGCTGGCGACCAGCTATGAAATTCTGGTTGCCAGGACTGAATTTTTAGTTGCATTGGCGACCAGGAAGGCGCAATTTCGGACCCTGTAATTCACTTTAGATTTTCAGTAATTTTGGAGAGAAAATAGCCTAGAGAGTGCAAAAAATAGCATTTCAGAGTGTCTAAATATAAAAATTTTCTTGGGGAGCATGCCCTCAGACTCCCCAGAGGCTTGCATCTTCTGCGCTCAGCAGCACCTCCAGAGCTGGCCGCTCACTTTGACAACTCACCCATCTACTTCAAAACTTTCTGACAACCCTGCATTTAGTGCATAGTTTCTTTAAGCTCATTAGTTAAAGTTTGCAAAGAGAAAGTGATGAGTATATTCATCAGGAAGAACTTGTTGACTTTGAATTCCCGTGCAAACTTTGGAATTCCCTGCCATCTTGTCCTGATTATCCAGCATGCCCTCACAACCGTAAAGGGGTCTATGTTCACATGGTAGCATTTTGTCCACAAAATTCTACAGCTAGAACAACCTTACGAGACACCTCTCAAGCCTGACAGTCAGGGCCAGTTGTGATGCTGTCTGATTTTGAGGAAGTTGACCATATTACAGACTGTCCAAACATCCCCATCTCATCGGGATTCTCCCAGTTTTGCCCTTAAATCCCTTATCCCAACCAACATGTCAATCAGGATAGGAAAAATCCTGATTTTGACATCTCTTCTGATATTTTTCTTCTGATGATTTCAGACAGAAATTGTCCTCTCAAAACACTAGAATGGGATTTCAGAGCATCAACATTTCAAAATTTATTTGGGAGCATTCCCCCAGACCTCCCTGGTGGCCCCTGCCTTTGGCGATTGCATGATTCATTGGTGATCAAAAACTATCCTGATTTCACATCCTCACATGGTTGGACTGTCTGATAACAGGAACTCTGCTTTTGTTTTCTTTTTTCAAGTATTTGAATTCCAAATGTTTCTTTTTTAAATGGTGAACAAATGGTTTCTCCTCTTTGCAGACTTTTCTACCCTGAAAACAATTTCAAATCAGATCTTGAGCGAGAAAGGCAATTTGGTGCAACATTCACCCATACCCTCTATTACCTTGCTCAAGTCAATGCAGCCATGGGACAGTCTGAAAAGGGTGCAATGTATTGCCATACAACCCTGCTTCGTCAGTTGGAGACTGGACAGTATGACCCAGTGGACTGGGCACTAAATTGTGCTACACTGTCGCAGTATTACATCACGCAAGGAAACTACATGCTGTCCAGACACTGTCTTGGTAAGTGTAGATCGATATTGGTAGTATTTATCAACCTCACCTCTGGGGAGCAAGGGCGTCGCGATGGTGAGAGCACTCACGTGATATATGGGTTGAGTTTATTGTTGGTTCTCTACTTTTCTCTGAAAGGTTTTTTTCTGGGTACTCCAGGGGTGCTTACCATTTGACAGAATGTTTTGGAAATTCCAGCTGGAAGGTAAATGGTAAGGTCACTTTTCGGAAATTCCAATCGAAAATTTAGAAGTACATTTTGAGATAGTCCGTTTACCATTTACCAATTTCTCGTTTCCTTCTCAGTTCCAGAATCATGCTAAACAAAGTTACCCCTTTTTTGGATTCAAACCATAACGGATGTGGCAATTCTGCGGTAAACTGGTAAATCGCTTACCATTATGCTTTTGACACACCAACCAGATTTTTCTGTCAAATGCTAAGCAGCCAGTTTTCCCCTCTCCTCAAAAACTAACTTTTCCAAATTTTAATTCGGCCGGGAATGGTAGATGAAGAAACGCTTTGTGGATGTGCTAACTGGAAATCTGTATGCCTTGAAGTGCAAACCTCACGAAAGAGTGAACTGAAGTTAATGCAACACAATCAAGGCAATTTTGGGCCAAAAAAAGAGCAAGCTCTTCGAAACCTCTAATTTGTTTCAGTTAACCGTAGGGTCCATTGTTTCTTCTATTTGTTTATTATGTTCTCACCCAATCTTGTCAGCTGATCAGAGAGCTTACAGGAGGCCCCTGAGTTTCTACAATGGGTGATCATCATCGTAGGCTGTTGATGTCCCCAGCCCTTTGATTATGATTATCTT